ATGGATAGTAAGTCTGAACAAGGAACGCGATAAGCAGTAAAACAACTCCTGAATGGACATTTCATATTGCTAATGTGCTAAGATAAAACATACGTCGATATTAATACTGAATAAGAAAACCAGTAAGCAGTAAAACGTCGCTTGAACCAATTTAAAAAAACCAACTGATTTTTTTTACGCGAACCTTCGCAATTGTGAACCCATGTTAATGATTATTTTGTTAATTAAAAAGTATTTACATATAATTTTTTATTTGAAATAGCTACACAAAAATTTATTTTTGTCATAAATTTTCAATTTCCTTAGTCTAAATGATAATTAAATTTTTGCATATATAAAGGCATTTTTGTAAAAATCTTTTATGAATCGTGCTACTAAAACTATTTTTTTTATACATTTTTATTACTTTTTTTCTATACTTAATATTTATTTTAGATTACTACTATTGTACATATTCAAGCAATCGTACAAAATCATAAAGTAACCTAGATTGTAATATTGAATTTACTCAATCAAATACTTATATAAAATTATGTTGAAATTGTAATACGTAAGGTCAAAACACTATTGTTACATTTTCAAAATAACAAAGTGTAGTGACTTTTGTCAGTTTCTCACAGATAGACACTGATATTTCATTTATCAATGACACAATTGTCACATAGTACATACAATACACATACATAAAATAATTAGATAATGATTATGTTGCAAATTAATTTAATAATTATTTATATAGCTAACTTTTACAAGCGATTTCGTCACGTGACCGGGATATGTTTACTGACTGGGATAAAAAGTATATAGGCTACTTTTTCCCTTCTTCATCTCATATAGTAGGTGTGCACCAAATTTCATAGTGATTGGTTCAGCCGTTAAGGCAATAAATAAACTCACTTACACATTCATAACATTAGTATGATATTTATAAATCAATAAAATTATTTTTAGTTTATTCTTATTCAAGTTTTTTATTTACTAACTGATTTATATATCACAGACTCAAAGCCCTTTATTTACCTAAATAGATAAATTTAATTTTTAAATACATATATTATTTTCAAAACGTAATCGAATCATTTATATATATAAACGATTCGACTATACACTTCTATAGTGACGAGACACAGTGCCCTCCAAAAAAATCGGCTTCAATTATGGCAATACCAGTTATTTTGATTTAGAAACTAAACTATTGCACCGATTTCCATAAAATTTCTATGTAATCAACCTGCAAGTATATCTCTTTAGATGAAAAAAAAATTTGCAAATCGGTTTATAACTGACAGAGTTATGAGGTAACAAACAAAAAAATATTGAGAACCTCCTTCTTTTTTAAGTCGGTTGAAAACGAAATTAAATAATAAATTGTTATAAAAAATTAATGATGATGCCTACGGAACCGTGGCAAATACGTTCTTAACCATCATTGAATTTGATAAATACAACGTAAACACCTTTGTTTGTATGCATATCGAATTCCCAAGATAATTATAGAGAATTTGATGGTTTTATTCATATAACCACATGCGATGGTATGGTAGATAAGCAAAACCGAGTGATTATGGTGTATAAATAATTGCGAAGTACATTATTGAGTCCTTGTAACATATCGGCGCGTACGTGGGAAATCTTTGAATCACATAGTAAGTTAATATTGTCTATGGTTTAACAATTTATGGTTTTACTTTTTTATTATGCTTTTTATAGTTATTTGCTTAATCAAATTATATAGTATTCTTTCTTGAACAGTGTTAACTAATTACAGTAAAGCCATTTTATATCTGTTTAATTTAAAATTAACATTCATATAATATTAATTATAAAGTTTATAATTATTTAATAATAGTTCAAAGTAATTTGTTAAACGTTTTATTTTATAAACATATCTAAGATAAAATAACAAATATTTTGCATAATATGATTTAGAATTAATCCTTTTGATTTTTTTTAAATATCTTCAAATTAACAGAAAATAATATTTAAAATGTCTTTGTGTTTAATAGTAAATTCTGTTCGCTAATAACGTATCCTTTGACACAAACGACTTCGGTTACGGTCGAGTAAGGGTGATCTCTAACAAAATATGTGTATTTTGTAATAGTGGCAGGTCAACCGTGACGGTGTGCAATGTCGCAACCGATTCTTTAATATAGATCGACTAAATTTACAAGGTCCTTGGTGGCAGTCTGAACAATTTCAGTATTTAATAATTTTTTATAACTATTATTGATGGGAATGACAGATAAGCTTATGAAAATGACCTCTCAGATTGGTGGAACTACCGTCGATAAAGTTATGATTCCGTCCATAGTATATATTATGACATTGACACTTGCTTATTGAAAGAAAATCATTAAGTAATAGAAATCTATTGTAGAAAGTAGAAGATAAACTAAATAATAATTATGTATATGCATTTATCGAAATATAAATAGATCGACAGACAGATCTAAAAGTAACATAAGGCTCTCTCGACTAATAGACTATACGCCTTAGAGAATTAATATTAAAGAAAATATACTTAAAACTCATTCGATATTTTGTCTGAAATGATGATGAATGAACTCGAGTACCAAATACGAATGAAAATACATATTTTTTCGACTGCACTATCTCACAACAATATAAATTAAAATAGGGCTTGCAATTATTCGATTGTAAGCCCTATGCACAGTCCAACACTGGATAACAGTAACGGTCGGTAGCCGGCAAATTTTTTCATTGGCGCAATGAGCCGGCATGCGCTGGGCTTCAATTGGAAGATTGCTGTACCGGCGTGTGGGAAGGCGACAATCGTTGCCCTCAGCCTGAGGATATCCTTCCAGAAAATAACGCGCCCAAGTCGACGAGATAATCAAATGTTACAAATGGAAAAATGAACACTGTTATTCAACTTATTGACCTGTAAAGAATACTTTTCTTTACTGTTTCTTTATGCAAGTATATGGAGATGTGATTTGTTTTTTTTTTCAGAATATTCTATAAAATTAATTTATCAATTTCTATTCAATTTATAATTAGGTTAGTAGTTACTATTGATGAATGGTCAACACGATTTCCTTTGCTAACGCCGAATGTGCCATTTTGAGTAAATCGCCATTACAATAATCATATCTCTATATACTTTAGATACGTAGAAATGTCTACTAACTATATAATTAAAAATGTCTATTGCCACTATAATATTAGGTTTGTTTATTGAAAGCTAATTTATTTATTGTACAGCTGTTATTATTTGTAAATTATATTGAGTAAAATGCAACGTAACAGCCAATGAAGTAAGAGACAATGACCCCGCATGTAGCACAGGTAGAGATGTTAATACTCATTAAAAAATCTTGTAAGAGTAAAACTTGTTCACGATTGGACACGTAAAATTATACGTAATCAAAATAATCGCAACGCGCAACGCACAACGCACGAAGTTGCAGTCTGATAAAAAGCATCGGTCATGGGAAGAACCTGTTTCGAAAAACTTTTCTGTTTCATTATTTTTGTTTCTCTATAAGTAATTATGTAAAATTACGCAAGATCACTGTAAAATATTTCAAAGTAACCTTTGAGTGTTATATACAAATAAACAATTTACAAATGTTATCACTGTTCATTTATTTTATTAATACTTTAATGCAGAAAATAATTTTTAATTAGAAATTATTTTGGACAAAGATGTATAATAAGAGTTCTCTTCTAGCAAATCCAGAGTAGAAAGAAACATTAATTACCACTTTTCAGATACTTATTACATAAAAAATAATTATACCAAACAGAGAACATTGTAGATATAATAAACGCCATTAAAGCAAAAATGCATCTGTAATATGAAGTAAGAACTGGTCGAACGTAATAAATGGTAACTGCCGAGACGCACAGGCGAGTTATGAAACCGGCTCTCATTACGAGCTGAACTTGATCATTCGCCGAGATCGACGCAATGACATATTTATAAAAATAAAAACTGAAAACGATCATGCCTTTTAAGAAATGACAAGTTTCTGGACAATATTTCGCCCAAAAAGTATATTCCTTAAACAAATAGAAGTAGGTAGGACGAATTAGTTATTTGCATGTATACGTCGAAGAACATGAACAACAAAATGTGAATCATTCATGTGCTGATGCGTACTGCATTACAGATGCCGATTCAATTCAATGAGACAATTAAAATTCAAATAATGCGTTGTCGACGTCTGGCCGGATCATCCATATTTCTAGCGCGCATTTCGCATCCTGCCTGACTCTAACACGGAGTAGGAAGTGTCCATCATTTTCCAACAAATAAATCTATGTAATATTTCGCCAAAGCTGGTGCAATGTACACTGCAATAAATTGAATTTTTTTCATTATCACGGTTTAATTTCAATTGGGTAGTTTATAATTACTAGTAACGACAAAGTTACGAACTACGACTACACAATCTATTAAAAGTTATTTTAAGAATATTATTCCACCACGAAAGGGTGTGATGTATTTACAGTGGCGCCAGACTGCATTCCAGCAGGACTAGATACATCGTCTTAATGCCCTACCTTCTAGTCTAAACTATAAATAGAATATGTAGGGGTCCACGACCTTGCTAGCTAATGGAAAATAGATGAGTAGTTCTCGAGGTATACTGCAAAAAGCGTTTTATAGAAACCGGTTAATAATATACCAAGCATTCATAATCTATTTGTGTTTCACAGGAAAGTGTACAAATATAAGTTGGTTTGTATGCATAAATTAATCCACTTAATATCCCTCTTTTACAAATAGTTTACATCCTATTTAACAGCTCGAAGCGTCTAGAATTATCTATAGGTATTTATTATTCACCATCATATCAGACCCTTAAGATGATTCATCTTAATTGGAAAATTGCTGCGAAACATTAAAGCCCATTGACGCGTAACATTGGCCTTACCACACTCACGACTTGTAGACGTGCATTCAGATTCTAACAATTTTCGCAATAATTGTCTTGTCAAACCACTAATTGCACATTTTTTGTTTTCAGGATGAAGGTCCTATTATTATGTTTGGCCTTTGCGGCTATAAGTCTCGCTATGCCAGTGGCTGAAGAGAAACCAGATACCCCTGAAGCTTCAGCAACTGTTGCTTCACCTAAGGCTGATGAAGTAACTGCTGCTGCTGCTGCTGCTGCCCCAGAAGAAAAGAAACCAGAAGCAGTAGAAGCAAAAGATGAGACTAAATCTTTAGATGCTAAAGCTGATAGTCCACCGGAAGAGCCGAAACCGGCGGAAGATAAATCTGCTGCTGCACCTGAAAAGAAATCAGAGGAAAAAGCTTCGGAAGATAAACCGGCACCAGCAGAATCGGAAAAGAAAGACGCGGATGTAGCTAAACCAGAAGAGAAACGTGATGAACCTGAATCTAAACCAACTGAGCAAGCAACTGTAAAACAGGTCACCGACAATAAAGCTAAATCTGCAGACGCTGCTGATGTTTCAGCTGCAATAATTCCCACTCCAGAAAAGAAAATTGATTTGCCAGCTAAAAGCGCAGACCCTGTTCCACAAGAAAAGAAGGGAGACGCTCCCGCCACTCCAGTTGCTGCTGATGCAGCTTCAGCGCCAGAAAACCCACCTGCAGAAGTAAAGTCTGATGCTAAAACTGATGATTCCAAACCCGCATCTGAAGCCAAGGCAGCTGACGCTGCTTCTACTCCAGTCGATGACAAGCTTCGTGTTGTCCGTGACACAGTTGATGATAAACCTAAGGTAGAAGAGGCACCCAAAGCACCAAAGGAAGCCGAGGCCAAAGAAAAAGCTGATGCTCCTAAAGACACAGAAACTTCAAAAGAAAAGTCTCCTGAAAAAGAAAACTCCAGTGAGCCTCCTAAAACTGAAGAGGCTAAAGAAAGCAAACCAGAAAAAACCAGCGAACCCTCCAAAGATGCACCAGCCCCAGCGGAGCCTGCTGAACAGGCCGACGCCCCAAAACCTGATGCTAAATCTGATGCCAAACCTGAAGACGTAACAGAGAATGCCCGTGAATCCAAAGACAGCTCCGAGGAAAGCAACGAAAGTGGTGAAAAGAAGGACGACACTGATTCGAACTCGTCTGAAGAAAGCTCAGAGAAGCCATAAAATAATATGAAATAGTAGCGCAAAGCGGCGGGCGTGTGTCGACGGCCCTCGACACGCGCCCCCCGCCTGTAGCATCGCTGCCGCCTGTCGCCTGCTACCTGCGCCAACCCACGTGTATGTGATGCGTGCCCCAAGTGAGTGTGAGTGGTGACTGTGACAGTCGCACTGTCGCGTTCGCGTGAATCATTCCGACTGTTTACTAGAAGACCTAGAGACTTATTTAAATAGCCAAATCGAAAAATTACCTGCATTGTAATTATTATTTCTGAAATTAAATTATCGAATTTCCGGTAGGTACTATAAGTAATAAAATATGTTTTGTAATAATGTGGTTTTTCATTTTCCCGCACATATAAGTGGCATTTAAATAAATAAATAAATTGTTGCGATATATAGAAAATATTAGTAATCTAAAATATTATTTCGAGCTTTAGAACATATAATAATAACATATAATTTACAATAAACTATCAACGAAAATTATGAACTCTTAATAGGGTCCTGAGTTCCTAAATAGCTAAATCTGATTCATATACTTTTTTGTCACCAAGTAAGAGCTCTTATAACTGTATTCACTGACTGTAACGAACTACCATACATTTGTTCGGTACCTGTAAAAGACTAAATGCATGCATAGCTTTTCAACCGACTTCAAAAAGAAAGTTCTCAGTTCGGTTGTATTGTGTTTGTTTTTGTTACCTTATAACTTCGTTAGTTGCAAACCGATTTGGAAAATTCTTTTTTATCTGAATGGATTAATTTACAGATTGGTCCCAAAATTTTTTTATCAAAATCGGTGCAGTAGTTTGTTGTAGTTCAATCAAAATGACTGGTTTTGCCACAATTTAAGTCGGTTTTGTTGAATACTTGTCATGCATGTTTAATTACTAATTGTAAAATGTGTAATTTCTTGTTCTCAAAATCGTTCTTAGTTAAATTTGTTTTATTAACTATTTTTTTTTTACTATTTTAGATATTTTTGATCATCAAATTTGGTTATATATATTATATGTATAGCATTGTATGAATAGTGTATTTACATTTAATTCTCGGTATCATTTATGATTAATTTCGATTTGCTGATTTATAAAATGATGGCATTTTTTGATTTTGATTAAATTTGATTAAATTTTGAGTAAATTCTGGATATATTTATATCAGTTTGGCAAGGTTTTTCAAGTTGTTGTCACATTTATTTTCAACCAACTTCCATTGAAGCAGAGTTACTAGACCAAAGTTGGTCATATTTGGCGAAACTTCACCAAATTGAACCAAAATCTTTGAACTATACGAAACTCGATGTAAGTGATCAAACTGATCCAAATTTGGTCAATTTGAAGCAAACTTACGTCTATTTGTCCTTTTCAAGGTGGAAAGTTAGTAATTTCAAATCGTAAATATAACAGCCACCATCTAGCAACCAGTCTTCCTTTAAAGCAACAATAATAAACATATTAAAGAAGGATTCGTTTTTAAATATAAGGAAATCTATACTTATAATAAATCTGTAGAGAAGTCAATTCTGTACATGAAATATATTTCCAAAATAACTATCAGGGGGTGATTAGTGATCGATACTGATGCCAAAAATGCAATCAGTAAAATTTTTGTCTGTCTGTCTGTATGTTCGTTATAGAAACAAAAACTACTCGACGGATTTTAATGAAACTTAATACAATTATTCTTCATACTCCTGGGCAGGTTATAGTATACTTTTCATCACGCTACGATCAATAGGAGCAGAGCAGTAAAGGGAAATGTTGGGAAAACGGGAGAAGTTACTCTATTTTTAAGCTTCCGTCACGTGTACAGCCTTAATGGCCACTTTTTAAAATGTAAAAATGTCCACCCGTTCGAAGCCGGGACGGGCCGCTAATATATAATAAAAGCTAGGTACTCGTTTAGTGAAACAAAAGAAATAGACAAAATAAACAATTGCTGAAAATTTCAACTGTCAATAAAAATAAGTATGCAATGCATCCATAGTGAGATTATGTCAATAGACCATATCAAACAATTTTCAATTCGGAAAGTAAATAAAAGATCCTAATAATAAATCAGCTTTATATCAATTCCAGTTTCATATCAAATACATAAGTAAGGCATAGAAAGTAATGTTATTATTATACCTATTTCTGTTGGGAAGCAAGAAAATGAGTTTTTTTTTTTAATATAACACATTTTCTTATTTTACGAAAATTATCTATATTATAATGAGGAAGGACTTGATTTTTGTGTGTATATTTGTAATGGATTAACTACATATTCAACTGATTTAAAAAAAACCCCCTATAGAGGGCAAAATTAGAGATCACTTCTAAAATTAAAATAATATAACCCAAAATATCAAAAATTTGCCTATTAACATAAAATACTAATTATTACAATATACAAATTATTGTAATATTAGTAAAGATGTTAAATAAAACTTCGTTAAATTTAGTTCTAAATACTCCATAACGTAATGGTTTTGCTAATCTATAACATAAAAATTTTAATTTTTAAGATAGATTTAGAGATTGTTACATCAAAATTGAGAATTCAAAATCCTCACTAGTAGGTCAATACACGGTCAACTACTGAATCGAAGATATCATATTTTGTATTTAGACAAATGTTAAAATAATAAATATTTAATTTACCTCATTTGTCAGCATGCGGCATACAATAACTCCCAAGGACCACCAATCTACAGCATGCCCATATGGCTCCCGGCTCAGCACTTCTGGAGCTATCGACAAATAAAAACATAAAATAGTTACTTTATATATTTAAAAATGTAAGTATTTATAATAATATTTATTCGAAAGCAAAGCATTCACGCTTCATGTGCTCTACGCACCTAGCATTCCTCCATTCATACTTTAAATTTAAAAATAATAAATTATGTTAAAAATTATATGGATATTTACTTTCGATGGAAGGAACATCTTGATGTCGTGTAGCACACGAAGTCCTCTTCGCAACTTTCCACTACTGAATTGTGTTGCAAGAAGCACTGTGAAACCTTACAGATAGTCTTAAAAGTTCGTTTTTGTTTACCAAAATGTGGCAACGTCGCTATTATTATATGCCAAATTTTAAAATTTATATTTTTCAATGTTTCTGACTGATTATTTAAAAAGAGCTCTACTAGTGATGTAAACTTTAATCATAGAATATAAATCCTTTGAAATCTTTAAAATAAATGTTTAATATAAAAATCAAAATTTTCAGTATCAGTGTACTAAGAATATTACATGATTTACGTTCCAATTCGTTAATCAAAAACATTAAAAAAAAATTAATTGACATATAATTGCGGCGTTGCTATACTTCATTAAAACGCTCTTAATTTTAAAAGAAATATATGTTTGTACTTTTTATATAAGATGGAACAGCAAATAAATTGATGGCTCAGCTATCCTATGGCATCCTTTGTGTAACTATTCTTGAGAACTAAGGTATTACGTACGGTAAGGTGCCACGGTAGCCTGTAATTTCATTATCTTATACCACCATTTAAATTGAAACACAACCAAACAAGTACAGCTGTTTAATTGTAGAAACACGCGTAGGACAGAGATATAGACGATTTTTGCATAAATTCTCCCTCTAGCGAATGTGCAATAACCTTCTTTGATAAGTACTAGTATAATTTTGTTCTTTTTATATATGTACCAAATTGGTCTTATCGATTCGGATTTTAACCAGGGACATATTATTGGGTAGGTTTTGTAATTTGAAGTATAGCTTAAGTATGCAAAGTTTGAATGTGATACTCTACAGCCAATAGAGTAATACCTATAGAAAAAGTATTGCCAGATATGTATATTTTATCTATGATTTTGCTCATGAGTCAAGTCAATTTTAACTATTCAAGTATTTTGTCACTTTCTTTTATACTGAAAAACGCAAATGAAAGACAAAACAATTCAGTAGCTAAAATAAATTTATTCGACGTTTGAATTTTTTTATAAGAGGCTTGACCTCTTAAAATAGGTAAAATAGTAAAACATATTCTTAGACGTCTGCCCATAGCTAAAAGATTCGCTTCTAATACTAGAATGGGTATCAGACAATTTAGGGGACAGCACGATCCACCCGATGATTAGTCTTTAGTAAGAAAACAGTTATAACATTTTTATTCGTCATGATAACAAACTGTAGTGTTCATAGTAATATATCCTTAGCATTTTTAAAGGGAAAACATCCATTAGTCGGCAAATTTGAATTTTTCGTTGCTGTGCATTTGCTGCAACATTTTAATTTTACGTTATTATCAAATAAAACTATTTAAGTAATACTTCATCATTTATTCACATATTATTAATATAAATTATCACAAGACTAAAATTTTTTTCAGAATTTTTGAACTTATACATCACAACATATACATTCTGTATCATTATAAACTCTGTAACAGCCGTTCATGCTTCACGACGTTTTATCTTAAACCATCTGTCAAATAAGGCCATAGCAAGTTGTGTGCAGTAATATAATAATTAATACATTTTATTTCAACGTGCAGAATAGCCCCACACTTTGAGAAACAGGCACACAATCAAGGTATTAGAATAGAATTAAATATAGATATATATATATATAGTTATATTGTCTCATCACCAGATTTATGTAAACATTTTAAAACAATATACAATTAGGTACTCAATGATATGGGAATTACGAGTGGATATAAATAAATAGTAACAACATACGAACAGTGGACAAAATATTGAAGTGCATTAGATATAATGGGCTGGGGACAGCCTTGTCTTTGGTGACGAAATTCATTTCTTATAGGTACTATCGTAGGTACAAGTAGTGATTGGCTTCGAACCGGAGTACACGAGTTCCGATACAATATAAATATTTCTGAAATAATAATAGCCATCATATAAAATCCCGATCCGAAAACAATCATAGCACAGAAGAGAAAAACAGAAGAAATGCAAGGAACGCTTTTTTTTTTTGTTCTATTTAATCAATTCATAATAGTAAAGAATTATCAACTTCATTAATATCGTCGTAAGAATTATTGTAAATAGTTCCATTTTGTTAAAAATAGTTTATAATAATGATACCCATATTGCGTAAATATTGTAATATACGAGATTTAAAATAAATGTTAAAATTTTTCCATATAAGAAACTTCAGCGTTTAAAATTCATCTTTATCACTATGAAATAAAGCATTAATTACTGTAAAAAAATATTTATTGCACAGTCCTCACGTTTAATTTTGTGACGCCTGACGCTATTGTATTATGAGAAATATTATTTTGTAACTGTGCCCTAGACAACAGATGTAATATAAAAGTTACGAGATCATTTCAACTAATTTTTCTATTCTGTGCATCGTAAGATACAAATAATGAGTTTTATCTTTCGATCAAGATGCAAATCCCTAAAGCTATAGTCACAAACTGAGGTAGGATAGTAAACAATAAGAAGTTAATCATGGATGGACTCAATTTAACGTCCCTAAATAATAACCTAAAAGCGTTTCAATTATTTTATGAATGAGAAACTACAAGTACTGTTGCAGATAGACATTTCCAAAAATATACAATACCTACCAGGTTTTACGAAGTACGGCGTAGTAGATACTGCGACTGCAGATAGTTTAAAATGTTTATTTTTTACATTATATAAATAGAAACATACAGATTCAAGGTTAACAGATGGTTAGCGAACCAATGAGCGAATACTATAACGCGGCCTATACCGCCAATATAAACACGAAAAGAGTAATAACAATATGAACTGTGCCGAATTCTTGTGCGTACGATTGCAATTAGTATGATACCAAATAAAACTAAACCTGATGAGAAAGTATTAAGGTTAGGTTTTAAACGTATCTGAATCGCTACACGCACCAGAATTTAGGGCACTAGTCACTTTTATAGGGTAACTTATACACTACAAGACTCCACGCATAATCCATCGCTACTCTAACAAACATTACATACATATACGTTATGTAGAACGATCTCACTAACAAACTATGCTGTACTAGCTGAATATTTACTTCGATAAAGCTCTCAATAATCCAATCACATGCATTATTCGAATTATCAATTAAAATATGAGAAAAACATATAATTATACTGTACATTATTATTTTCTATACACAATTCAATGTATAACTAAGTCGTTAGATTCCTAAGTTTCATTAATGGCTCAATAGCTATATAATTCTACATTCATAATAAAATCATAATTTATAATTATTCACACTTGTCAATTTTCGCCAGCAATATCACAAAGCGATTATTTTAATATAATAAAAAAAAAAAACATACCAAATAGTCAAACTATACTATATTATATACACTGAGTGTGATATACAGGAATTCACGGCATTTAATTCATCGGCCGCATGAACAATATTCCACACATTCATCATAGCAATCAATAAAGTAATAAACACTGCAATATCATTTTCACACAATACATAAATATTCGTGCCACCTAATAGGTATATAATAAAACACTGATCGCTATGGTGACCTTAGATAAAAACCAAGTCTAGCTAGATACTAGATAAAACTAAATTATAGGGCAACATTTATTAGGTAACTAATTTTAAGCCTAAAACTTATCTATACAATACGTATCGTTAAAACCTTAACCCTGTCTAAGTTTGCATTTATTTATATAAACTTAAGAGTACGCAAACAACAGACCAACTTGAATTCCTAAATAAATCATATAAGAGTGGACACATCAACCAGCCATCTGAGTCATAGCTCCGAAACTATTACAACTAAACTATAATGACTAATATTACAATAGGCGAAAAATTTATTTTATGTTATTTAAAAGTACAACCATCTATAAACGAATACATAATAAAACTAGCAGTCGTTAGGGTGTTAAAATAAAGCTGGAGTTGAGTGGATTGCAGGATATCAACCGCAACAGTGAACTTAAACGGTAAAGCGTAATTCCTCATGCATAAACATTTTGTGCAATTAACAAAGCGTTGGTAAGTACAAACAACACAATTGCAACTAATATATAGGATTAGGAAATGTTGCATTATTACATCAATCAGTACGAAATGAAACTAACTATATTATTAATCACAACAAACAATTGTTTATATTTTTACATAATTATTTACACAAATATGAAATTAAAATAATAGATTTTTTAAAACATTTATAAGTATAGTAAAATAAAAATAAGATGACGGAAAAGCCGACGTCATCTGTATAGGTGGATCTCATCAATACATATCAGTAAGGGACCTATTTCATCTTATTGGATAATATGCATTATGCCACTATTGTACTGCATCCATCTCTGTCACACATGCCTCTTTTGACGATCTCATAAAATAAACACATATGTGGCAAAAAAACAAATTGTAAATGGCTCTCTATTAAATAAAATGTTCATTGGATTTAAGACCATAGTAAAGCTATTCTGCATAATTTATCATACAATGAATATAACCATATTTTTACATAGAAAAACTTTATTTATTGTCGCATATAATTACAGACAATTTTACTGGTAAATATTAGACATTTGTAAAATTATGAACAGATTGACACCTCTTTTATATAAGAGATAGGCTTCAAAATTGATAATTGTCTCCGATTTTTTTAATTTTGATTTAGCAAAAACCACAAAAACAGTGGTAGTAATATTTATAAAACCCATTGTAAAATTACAACAGACAATAGAAAGACAATATGCATCACAAGGACAGCGTGTCACGTATCAGTTTGCGGACCGTGTTACCGACCGATACCGGCGGCGTGCCGGACAAGTTGTAATGGATTTTGAAAAGATACGGCTGTATGTCCGAATATGAAGTATCGAAGATGAGATCGGCGTCCGAGCGACTCGGCATCTTTGGCACGTATTCGTGCCGGTTAATTATCTCTGTAATGAACACTATTTTATCTTGTAGCATTTCCACAACACTCTCGTGCTTACTGTGCATCTCATGTTCACTGCGCGACTCCGTAAGCTCACAGAACACGGTCCACACCTCCCACGGCACGCATTCGGGCTGGAAAGGCCAACGGTTGCGACGTTTCTGGAAGAACTCGAGACTTATGGACCCCCTAGGAGGCGAAGAGGTGGCGTCGACCGCCCGGAGAAGGTCCGAGAACTCCGATATCTCCCGCTTCACGTTCCGCCCAAGGAGGTCCGACTCGCAGCACACGTAGGTGAAGTCAATGAAATCGCAGTCCACGTCCACGTAACTGACTGTGCGTATGGAATAACTCTCCTCGCTGTTGTACGTGAATTTGCCGCTAGAGCGGTGAAAGAGGACCGTGTGGAAGATGCTAGCAACCACCTCGTCGACTTGCCGACCCTCCATCGACAGCTCAAAGGTTATCGTGCGGGCGTTCATGGTGCCGGGGTCACTGGCCCGTCGCGAGCGCTTCCCCTGATACTATTGACATAATCACTTAAGATCACCCGATTACGCGCACCCGAAGCTTTTCACGTCCGATACAAAGAAGAAGCGAGTGTTGCACTGAGCCATTTCACACTTAAAATAGGTAACGGGTCAAGTCCCACACTGAAATGGAAAATGACCGTTTTAATTACAGTATGCCGCTTGACAGTGTATTGACAAAAATAAAAGTACTAACACAGTTGCAACTAAATAGCGTACATCCGTGTAAATATCCCAGAATTTACTTATCAAAAACAGGATGTTGCAGATATCAAAGAGCAAGAGATATCCTGATATAGCAAAATTGTTCAAAATTAAATAACAAAGTGTATATTATTCTAATAGACTGATCCCTTGTGCACTAGAAGTTAGTTGATGCTATTGGACAACAATACCTACTCTAACAATTACTAAGTGATAGTACAATATTAGACACATAAATACAATGGTTACTAGAACTTACCCATATACTTTAGAGTACCGCAGAGTGTAGATGTCCGCGAGCCTATGGACAACCACTTGGAGAGTCCGAAGTCAACCAACTGAATGTGATAGTCGGAGTCGAGCAGGATATTCTCCGGCTTCAAATCACGATATATAACTCCGGCGTTGTGGAGGAAATCTGTAGACATTAAGAAAAATAAAATATGATTCAATTGATTTATATTATACATTCTGTAAGGACTACCAGTCCCATTTTTATACTACGTCAGGTCGAATTCCACCTGAAAATAATCGTGTTGAATTCCAGATGTATTCATTACGATGGGCTAACTAACCTGCCTTTTCATTCTCACCTATCAAACCTCATTGGTGCCACGATAGAGCGGATAAAGAGCCGTTAAAGACTCCCCCCCCCCCCCCCACTACAATACACAATGTTATCTGGAGCCACCACGTACAATAAAGTTTGATAGATATAACTTCTATATATATATATATATATATATATATATATATATATATATATATATATATATATATATATATATCAGTATAGTCTGATCAAGAAGCAAATCTTTGCCACCTAAGAATATTACATGCGACGACATATGCTACAAAAACCGTCGAGTCCTTTTGTAAAATTACATAATACATTATTAACATAAATAATATAGTAAATAAATATAATAATAATGTAGACAATAGGCGATAAGTAAAAATAACAATATTATGAAGTGAAAAGTGCACAAGTCTTGTTTTGAGATATTATTAAGTTTAACCCCAACTTGGAGACGTAATCGTAAATAATGCTATTTCACGATATAATTATGTATAGCGCAAATCTTTACAGTTACTACTTCAACTATCAATTTTTTAATAATTTATTAAAACGTGAAACGCAAAGTACCTATATAAAATTAGCAAATTACGTGATGTTTAGTTACTAAAGTTCAGCTATTGTTTTTATAGCTATTTTTAAACTTTGATAAACGCAACAGAGATATCTGATCTTATCTTTCATGTTAAAATAGGTTGTACTAAATTTATTAGCAGGTTAAAAAATTACCTATTAACAACGACACTATTTTTAAAACGTTATACTTTTTTGTATTATTTATTTTGTACTGTGAACGATGTTTGAGTGGCATTTTTAGCATATGTTTGATACCGACATTGTTTTGAAAAAAGGAATGCGAATGTAGTGACACTTTTGGAGTTAAAATTTGTGTAATAAATCATAACTCATATTGTCCCACGAAAAAGTGTTTCAAAGTATCTAAATGTTGCACATAGTTTTTTTTTTTTTTTTATAGTTTTAATGACCTATCTCCCGCATTATGCTACAACTCAAAGAGATTAATTGTTCTTTATTACAAATATTTTACTGAACTAGGTGTTATCTTGCGGAAGTCTATATCACTGGTTATTTGATTTAATTAAAAAAAAAAAAAATTAATTCCGCTACCATTAGTATATGTATCTACAACACTCGAAGATTAACCACCACTGTTACTACCAGACTTTCTACAACCTTGCATATTAGCTATCAATGTCCAACTGCCGTTTTGTTCACGCACTTTTTTCGCTCATATTGTTTTATTTTCCTTATTGGTTTTCTTGTACATACTTATGATTATGACAGATTAAAATTAATCTACATACGAGTATACGTAATGTTAAGTGATTAAAAATTAACACATAACCTTTGTGGTACATAAATAGGGCAATATAAACAATTATGATACCTCTAATATTCGCTTCTGGTGCACAAAAACTATATTACATTTATATACATATATGTACATACTTACCATAAAATTTATCATTAAAGAAACGATAAGATGGCTAAAATAATGATGATAGTATAATTAAAGGTCCAAAGTGCGCGTCTGTCTTTCTGTTTTCAGTTGTCAATGGACGTCGTTAAATAAGCTTTTCTAAATAACATGACCCAGTTACACATCATGTTGGACAAAAAAACTTATTCGTTTTTAATTGTATTATTATCTGCGTAATATCTTGTAGTGTGTATTTACGTATTCTAGTATAAAAAGAGCATATAAAGAAATTAAAAATTCGAATTAGAATAAGAAATTTATCATTTTAAAAAAAGTTCGTAAAACTGTATCTATGTGAAAATTTGTAAACTGTTTTGACAGAAGTTTGTTACATAGGTGGACCATAACCTCGATTAACATAGAGGAAACTTATCCTCGTTCACGCAGACACAGGCGATAATTACAGCTAGTCGTGTATAATAGATATAAAAATTACGTGATGCAATGCTCGCCTTGTATTGCAATGATATGGGTGTAGATTAAATAATTTTAATCTAAATATTGTATTTATGCAATGACCGATAGAAATATTTTGGTAGATAGATTTATTATAGATAGATTTGGTAGATAATGTAACAAATATCTACTCGATTATAGGTCTCTCTCTCTCTCTCTCTCTCGCTTTCTCTCTCTCTCTGGGTTTGTGCGTATATGTATGTATGTAAGGAAACTGCATAGTTTCCTTGTGTAGCAATATTATCTATTTTAAAATTAGAAAATCCAAAAGTAAAATATGTTTTGTTTTTGACTGTTTTTTTTTTCAGTGTGTGCAATGTATGCAGTACCTATGTCATTGTCATATGTCACGATTGATGGTAGCTAAAAGTAAGATTCATAAATAAAGTTTTACTTACATACAAATGTTTATGTGTGAATTGATTTGATGTTGGAAAATTTATTTATCAACAACGATACCGAAATTGATAACGTTTATTAATAAACACGATTTATTAGCATATGGTCTTACCTAAAGCAATAGCGATCTCGGCGACGAATATCTTCACAAGCTCCTCTGGTAACTTTCCGTATTTATCTAGTAGACTTAATAGTTCACCGCCAGGAATGTATTCTGAAACTAAAAAAAAAAAAGGAAATTATAAACTGTTCTGTTTACAAATTATATTTTAGCCGTAAATCCGTTATTATATTTATGCTACTGGGAATAAATAGCATACAAGCTGACGGCTCAAATAATGAAAAGTGGTTACTGTCTCCTATAGATATTTCATTTCTTCAGATAATTTTTTTTTATTCTTATTAAAAATGGGATACTACATTGTTTATCATTTCCAATTAAAAATTAAAGTCTTTCAGAGGATATTAATTTAAGAATGTACACAACAAGTGAAGTAAATTTGTATTAAGTATAGTGCGATTGATTGATATAAATCAAGCAGCTTGAAGCGATCCACGTCTAAAGAGATTTATATAAAATTATAATTATGTACATAAAATGTTCTCAAAACGCGGAAATCCTTAACATTTTTTATGCGGGGATATACCAAAGAATTACACAATAAAAGTATGTTTTCTATTCATAGAATATATATACATAATAATATTTTTAAAGCGAAATTAACATAATTCTGTGAATGTCTAATTATTTACTACATAATTCTTTAAAAATAAATATACAATAATAGTACATATGTCGTAAGTAGTCGGTATAATGAATACATGAACATACATCATACAAATCTTTTCATTTTTTGTATATTCCATACCTAAATTATTGCAAGCTTATTTTAAATATGGGGCTATATAATAATTCTGTGTCAGGATGCTCATTCGCGTTTATCTCCGAAACTATTAATAACGATATTAATAAATTATGTAAATGTGTCTTCGATGCTCCAACTTGAAAGACAAAAATGTATCAAGTAGATGGCAGTAGGTGTTTGCCTAGCCAGCCAGTATTAAATAATAAAATTTCAAAACCGAAAAATAATGCAAGCGCCTAATTCAAACCAGTATTTAATGTTGTTATTTATGCATTTTTAATGAAGACGATATATTGATAATATTCTTGTAAAACAACAAATTAAAGTTCATTACGACTATTAGTCTTAATGTATTTTTAATGTGCTCGTATGATAATTGCAATTAAGGTACATTAAGTAGTTAATAATGAGTTATATATATCGCTCTATGTCATGACATTGGCTCTCTTTTAATCTAAGTAAAAGTAAATCCCTTATCTACAAATTATAGTGCGGCGAACTCGACGCGTTTGTGTTTTGACTAGTATATGAAGTAGACACAAAGACAACTGTCTCAAATACCTCACAATCCTCATAGCACTTTTTATTACTTCCAATTTCAAAACAACTTCTAATACATAACTTGTATGCCCTGTATTTCAATAACAATGATTAGTGACTTGTTCCTCATAGAGAATCTTGGAAATCAAATACATTTGATTGTGATAGTAGATCAATCTAGATCTTCCCAAGTACCAATCTACATTTGCACTTTTACTTTGTACGGTACTCCGAGAAAATAAAAAATATTTTCATGTTATCTATTCATTTGCGTGTTTACACGCGCGCATAATTGTCTGTCCGTTACCTTCTTCATGGTTGAAAAATTATTTAATAGATTTGAATGCAACTTCATCTTATCAACGTGTGTGACGTCATTAGACATTAGACGGTTTGCCTTTTATACGTATTATTTACGTGTTGCCTTTAATTTAAGATATCTTATCAATCGACTTCCAAAAAGGAGGTTCTCAATTCGGGTGTCATTGTTTTACATTTGGTAAAACGATTTTGAAAACTATTTTTTTATGTGAAAGGATACACTATCAAATTGATTCCATAGAAATTTTAACAAAATTAGTTTTCAAATAAAAATGACACGATTTTTATTTGAAAACTAATTTTAAGTTGGGGTTTTCATGAAACACAATCTTAAATTACTTTATTTTAGGTAGTTAATCAAACGGACTTTTATGAGTTGGCTGGGTCTGGGTGTTCTGAGTACCCCATTTACATGTCCATTACCTAATTTCCTAGACGAAGTTCAGGCAATCAGGCCGATTTAGGGAGGCGCCAGCCGGGCAAGTGCCCAAGAACAGGAAAATATTGTAGGTTAACATAATTAAATATTATTAAGGGCGGAAAATACTTTTGTCCAGAGAGCCAAAACAGTTAAATCGGGCACTGCAGATAATGTGTAAATATATATTAATTTATCTATACTAATATTATAAAGAGGAAAGATTTTATTGTTTGTTTGTTTATAACTGATAAAATCAAAAACTACTCAACAGATTTAAAAAATTCTTTCACGTATACAGAGTAAGTAAAAATACATTATCAGCAAGTAATATAGGCTATATATTATTATTGAAAATTCTATTTACACGTGCGTAGATGGGTTGAATCGCTTGTTTTTAGGGAATGTATTATTTATTGTCTGTGTAAGCTCAGCATAGAATGGGTCATCCCATACTATCCTGTGGGTGTCGTAAGAGGCTGCTAAGGAAATTTAATGGTCAAGGAATGGACAGCAGTGTCCCTCTTAAAACAATACCAAAGCCTAACTGCAGTTGGGAACCTGCCTGCCAAGCGTGGCAACTATTTGCAGAACCCCCTTATAGCCGACGCCTATGTCCAGAAATGGGCAGTTAACAGCTAATACAGTACAGTACAAAAAATATTTATTGAAATAAATTATTTCTAAAAATCAATTTACGTACGTCAAATAATATAGCGACATTAGGTGACACAAGCGTGTTGACCTCGTCCACTGGACGTCTAGCCTATAAAAGATAACATAATCCTAACCTATACTAACTATAATTATTCCTTATCATTAAAATTGACAATTGATTATGCATATACACATTGAACTTTATCTTGAAAAATACAATAATAATAACATAATGTGTGACCTTATTTATCAATTTACAACTAATGACCGTTTTCGTATATAAAAACCGTATTATTAAAAGTTGTGGACAGAGTAACAAAATCATTAAGGGTGAATTAGAAATCACGATTAGAAATTACCGTTTCATAAAAACTAGTTGAAAATGCATTATCAATTCAAATACCTTGGACAAAAAGAGTTTCAAATACGAGAGAAAAAAAGAAATACAATAATGTACTGATAAGGATACACATTTTATACTTATTTTGTTTTAAATATTTTATTACTTACTTGAGAACAAAATGCCTAGTCCATTAACAATTCAGATACATGATTGTCACATACCAGATTTAAATTTCCTAGAGTAATTCGATATACACAATTCAAAATAATCAATCTTTATTGTAGCACAACAGAGTTCATTTATTGGCGTGTGACTATGAAATGAGTAAATTATTGTCGTAAACAGGCAAAGGAAGGTCACTCCAAACTGCCATCCGTGTAAATGAGGATTAAACGACGCGCAATGAACTCCTGTATTTGAGTCAACGGCCATGACTTCCTTTAACAAATATATTTAGAGTAAAGATAAGCGTCAGCTGCACAAGTGACTATCAAAAGTCTCTTACAATTGTCAGATAATGCAATTTGCAACAGGATTTAAGGGTCAGCAGACCATACTTTTATATAATTCATTAGTCATTATTATGATATTAGTGTGATAAGTTATCAGTGTATATGCATGTGGCAAATTATCGAAGCAAGAGATATATAAATTTGCTTTTACTTGCTTGGTATATTTGTTTGTATACATAAATTTCGTTTTATCATTCATTACACATAATCATTAAAATTGGTGTACAGCGAGCAAAGAGATCGCGTTATACAGGCACATAGAAAAAACAGAGACGAATTGACAACGATTACAAAAGTAGTTCAAAATTGGAACAAAAGTGGATCGTTTTCGAAAGAGGCGCGTTTTTATACACTTTATATACAGATATAGCGAGAGCCTTTGTTTTTGTAAAATGTATTTATTGACAATTCATTACACAGGTGTACATCCATGTATCTAGGTAGACAGCCTCGCTACATAATTCAACCCATAAGGAAATAGCAAAGCCTTTTCAATTTTACTTAGATAGTTGCCATGACTACTGCAAAAGTACCAATTTCTTATATTTTATAACTATCTATTTCCAACATAACGTACATAAATAAATTGAAAAGAGCAACCCCTTATTTTTAAAAAAGAAAACAACCTTTAAACCTATTTTACCTATTAATTGTTTTGCCACTGTCTTACAAATTGAGAAATAAGTGCAACATAAACAAAACACTTCAATAGTAAAAATGGGTTTATGAGAGGTTTGTCGTTTTTATGAATAAGGGGATTACTATTGAATTTCTTGCGGGTTCTTCTTAGTGAAATTCCGTACCCAACAGTAGAATCGTAAAAAATAACTATTGAAAAGAGATTGTAAACAAATCTGTTTTAATAATAGTTATTACTACAGGATGAAATATAAAAATCATTCGCATCTTTTTTAGAAAGAATTCTCTACCAGTGATACTAAACATTCTCTCTAAGAAACATAAGTCGTAAAAGACAAAAAATATAAAGCCTACTCAACTGACATCAAATCTGTCTCTTTTGAATTTTCGACACTCTTTAATAAAAATTACCATTTTTATACATTGATAAAATTAATATAATACTAATTCTGGTATTACTACACGATACGATAATAATACACGTGGAATCATAGTCATCATCATATCAGCCTTTAACAGTCCATTGTTAGGGGGGAAATGAATTGTTAGTAATGGGGTCTAATGAACCCATTGCTAACAATACACCCTATCAGGTCGACCTCTACGTGGTTCCACCTGGAAACCATCGCGAACAATTCTTGTTGAATTCGTCACGATGGGCTAACTGACCTGCTTTATCCTCACCTATCATCCCTCACTGGTGCCTCGCCGGTGTACACCGATAGCGCGAGCGGGGTTACCATTCCATTATCACCATAAAAAAAACTGTCCATTGCTGAACATAAACCTCCCCTTGGGGGAATTTGCCAGTAGTTGCCACGCTTGGCAGGCGGATTGGTAATCGAAGTCAAGCTTTAGAGATGTTTTAAAAGGGATGCTATTGCCCATCCCTCGCCCTCCCTTAGTCGCTTTTTACGACACTCACGGAAAAGAAAAGGGTGGCTTAGTCTATGCCGAGACTAAATGGGCATAACATGACATGTGGATAATATTTCTATTATTACCAGACAAAATCGAATATTTTTTAAGAATGTAATTTTATAAAAAAAAAAAAAACATAAAAAAGTATGGAAGTAATTATATTTACCAATATAAAGTCTTTTCTTTGTCTGCCACCGCGACACAGCCCCTGCTATAAAGGAATGGTGACCACACGCTGTCTGGATTCGGGCCTCTTCTTTCACTTGGCGTATGGCGTTTTGATTTACGATCTGAAAAGAGTCAGCTCTCATTACTAATCGTTTGCAGGCAATTAAATTTCCTGAATAAGCTTATGTGCCTAATCGAATCCTCGTAGCTATTTTTAAATTTGTTTTATTTGGCTTACTATATTTTTCCAATTGACCTATTGATCTAAAATTTGATACAAAACATTCATTCCAATAACAATGCAATTACGTATATTCAATATTATTGTAAATCTAAAATGGCCACCGGCTAAAAATTTACTGATTTCATATTAACATCAAAGAGCTCAGCTAACAGAATACATCGAAAAAAATTAAAACTCACAAGCCGCTACCACAAAATGGCGGATTATTATATATTTTTGGCATAGTTACATTAGGCAGATTAAGGAAAAAGTTAGACTTGTGCCGTACTGAGAAGTAAAGCATCTTGAACGAATCACGACTTTTAAATAGTGAATTAACGGCTAAAACTTATAATGTATAAAAGACAAAACTAGACACATTAGACAAAACGTACCCAAAACTCACGCATTCACGAGAGAGACAGTAGTTTAAGATATTGCTTCACGAAAAAAAATCAATCATGATAGATTTTAAATGTAATAGAAAAATAGTAAACCCTATTGAATGCAAAAATATTTATCAAAATTCGTTCACAGTTAGAAAAGATATCACATATATGCATGCACACGAAGAATTGTAGACAAAATGAGAACCTCGTACTTTCTAAATAAAGTTGAAAATTGAGTAAATGCATAAATTTAAATTCAGCTATATATCGACAAAATTATGCAAATATCAAACAAATGTGTGTGGTTATCAAATGAATGTAAGTCTTACTTTGGAATTAATAACAAATTAGGTATATAGGTCAGTAAGATAAGCTCTGAATAAGTGATAAAGTACACGAACGATAGGGTTGATAACGTCAATCAGAAATATCTAATAGAAATGTCTTAGTAAGTTCAATAAACTGATCAAGATATTAAACATATTTTAACCACTTTAAAAAACATGGGATAAATGCCCCTTGACAAACAAGGATTTGGCCAAATTGACACACATTAGGTCAGTAGCGTAAGATTTACGCAAGTATATATAGTTATTTAGGCAGTTTTTCATAAACGTAGCTTATCATTTACCTAGTTTGTCATAATCGTAGCTTGTTATTTACGCAATCTGTCATATTCGTAGCTCGTCATATGCGTATTTCTCCACGAAATGTGATATAAGAGATTCTTAGTAATGGGAACATAACTAGCCATATACTCATGAGGTTAATCTCCACGTGGTGTGGAGAAAGGTATTGTTAGTAAAGGAGATGAGCGGCCCTGTTGCTAACAATATACCCTAACATGTCGACCTCCACGTGGTGCCCCCCTTGATGCGACGCTAGCGTATACCGATAGCGCAAGCGGAGTTACCATTCCATTTTTACCCATTAAAAAAAACTAGTTTAAAATCCGTTCAGTTTGTTTAAGAAATGAGTAGCGATGATATGTTTGTATACATATGGCGATGAAACGAACACCGCCTGTGATAAATTGCGTTTGTAACGAACTGCGTTTGGGATGAACTGCGATTGTGTGTCGCAAAACGCGTTAGTGATATACTATCACAGAATAATCCTCTGTGAACATAATCAAATGCGTTGGTGTGGAACTTGTAATGCAAAGGATCTTCTTTTAAGGATGCATAGGGTCTTCTTTTAACATAAAAGTGGAGGTTCATATTTTTAATTATGATTATATAATAATAATTATTCTTTTTGCAATCACTAGCATTTAATTTTGTTTTGGTTTCATACTAAGCTATATTGTCAAGATTAAAGTTGTTTTTATTTTATGGAACAAAATATTAAATTGTGACAAATTTTAAGTAGTAGTAATAGAAGCCTTGTAAAATGCAATGGCCTTTGCTAGGTCAATAGCTAAATGAATGTACTTCTAGATCTATAGGAAACATGGAAAATTACACAAGAGGAATTATTAGGAAACAAGCTCCCCAAATTTTTCATGAAAATGAAAATAATCAACTCCCAATTCATAATATAGAAGTAAAATTATAAATTTTATAAAAATAACAACTCACTCTCTGATAAAGTAGCTTTTTATATGTAAAAGACTTTTAAAAATCAGTTAAGATTTGTTTTACATTTATCTGTTACATACAAAAAATGAAATTTTCCATCTTTATAATATTAGACTGATAATCTTACCTGTGCCTTGCTGAGCACTTTCAGAGCGTATTCTTTATCTTCACTCACTTTCTTCACCTTGTAGACTTGACCAAAAGCACCTTTGGCTATAGTTTCCTCAATATGAAAGTCTTGTTGCAGTAAATCAGTGGTGATGGGAAACTCAGGCAGGAAGATGGATTCTTTATGAGCAACTGGCCAAGCTGTTTTACTTGCTTCAAGTGGATTCCTCAGTGTTGCCTCATTCCACCTAAAACAATGATATTATATATTAAAAGAACTAAATAATTAATTCCTTAATCTTTTAATTATACTAACTTAACCACAACATCAAAGTAAGTTTAAATTAAGTATTAAAAATTTGAAACTTAATTTTCTCTCTTCTGTGTTCACTCCATGATTATGTAGTCACATGCCATTAAAGCTAATATTATTAAAGGAAAGATTTAATTGTTTATTTATAATGGATAAACTCAAAAACTATTCAACTAATTTTAAAAACTCTTTTCTTATAGAAAGCTACATTATCTAATAGTAATATAGTATATAATACATATTTTCTACATAATATGTGAAAAATAATATAAAAGCTTTCCTTTATTATACATATACAACACAACATGTATCTACTACAAATTACATTTATATAAGAAAAGAAAAATACTGTATTATGTCCATGGTACTGCTCATGTCTATAGACGACGGTTACCACTTTCCATCAGGTGGGCCGTCAGCTTGTTTGCCATTCTAAGTTGTATAAAAAAATATATATAATATTACTACTATACTGAGTTTATAAATTCAACTATATCTTGGTAGTAGTTTTTAGACCATTGTTCCTTAAGATTAACACAGAGACTATAGTAAAATTTGTAATATCTTAATGCTATCCCTATACCATTAATAATATATTTCCTCTATGTAATGTGCATCTAGGTGGGCATTAGGTTAGTAAAATATTTATTGTAAAAACTTTAAAAAAGTTTCAACAAGACATTAAATATTTACATTTTCAAAAACATTAATATATATTATTATATTTTATCTATAATTATATAATTGACAATGTAATATTAGATCAAATGAAATAATAGTTATTATTTATTCATCCTAATTCATTCAGTGACTACACAGATATAAGTGAAGATGGAGGGCATGTTCCATTATCAATCATATAACTGAAATATATAGTCCAATAATAATTTAAAATGTATTTATCAAAAAATAGGTAATGATATTATTATTATATAATAACAATACTATGTATTTATGTATATATAGTATATATATACTTACTGACGACACAATACACTATTGCCACTCTAAGTTTAAAATATATAAAAAGTTAATATAACAAGTAAAAATATTTTATTAGAATAATAGATTAGATATGCTAGTGGTTGTTTATTTGTTTATAATAATATTTATTTATAATTTGTATAGTTCATAAATTAATGTTTGCATTAGTAACCTTGTCAAAATTTATTAGATATATAATTATATATAATAATTCTAGGTGAGGTATGTAATACAACAGAAAAATTAGCAAAAATAACACATGGAATGTAATTGTAGTAATAAAGCATCTTTCTATAGATAATAGATATTAAATTTCTGTGTGCAAACAACACAAATAGGTCTTAAAAAAAATTAAAATAGAGACTTGCCCTCTTCTGGAGACCCGAGACCAAGGACGCGATGCGCTATAAACAGACTGGTTACTGGTAACGCTCTGGAAGGAGCGTCCGCTGAGGTTACCGACGAAATGGGACAAACTGAACTGTACACAAAAAAAAAGATATGCTCACTTCAAAAGGTAACAAAGAACTGTCAAAATATCATTAGCAAATATCAGCTTACTAGTCATACTTAATACAAAGACGTACACTGAATAGGCCGATATTAGACAAAGAACCGCGCCTCTATTATGTACGTAAGAAAATGTTTATTACGTGAATTCAGCTGGGGATGACATTAGCAAGTTTTCGTATAATTTCTTCGGATTTACCTGGCTATTGTAGGATTGTCTATCACGCTCCGAAGTTGTGGATTGCTTGAAATTTCTGTAATTGTTGCTCTTGTTGTGCGAATTACCCATTAAATTAAAATATCATGTCCTTTTCATGCCGATAATATTATATTTTCATTATTAAATAAAAATATTATACCATCTTCCAAACCATAAACGACCCATAAACAATGAGTAATTGGGTACAGATATACGGTCAAGTTACACAGATAAATAATTATTCTATATATTTATGCTTCTAATGGTATCCATACATGGTTAAGATTTCTTGGCAACTTACAACAATTTATTTATTCGCGTAAGGTAAAAATAATTCATAAGAGGACAGAGATAAAACCATTTTTTCTTGTATTATTGGCCCGAATGATCGAATTAGAAACTTCATTCAATTTTTTTATACGATTTAGGATTCCTTAAAATTTGACGTCATTCACAACTAATACGTCTAATTTTCTTGAAATCTTTCAAAATGTGTTTATTTTCTATATACCTCAAAATTGAGGAAAATAGATGTATTGTCACTTTTGTAAAATAAATTTAAATACTTAAGTAAGTGCTCTTATTTATTAATATTATATTAGGCATTAAATATATGTAAACAAGCTTGATGTGTCGTAACTAACATAAAAAATTATAAACAAAATTATTTTCTCACGTGTTTAATAACATAATTATATAAATTAACCTTATTAAATTGGTAAAAAGATTTTTTATAACCCTAAATGACAATCTATTCACCCCATAAGCGTTCTACGATATTCATATTTCTATCTGTGACCATGTACAGATACCGTTACGATATGCTTACGATATCACAGTCTTTTTCTTTACTTTATAGGCTCTGGAAATACTGCAGACGAAAATCAAAAGATGAAAAAAATTTTTTTGATAGTTTAGAATGAAATGATAATCTTACCTGTTAAACTCCAATAAAAGATTTAGAGAAATTTGAAGGGATACAAAATACCATAGACAAAAATATTTACTATCACACCAACATTAAAACAACAATAGAACTAGGCGGAAGCGGAAGTTATATTCAATCATAGAATGCTGTAGGTACCTATTATAATAGTTTGTTTATACCAATTAATTTATAACGCAATAATTCAAAATTAATATAAACCAAAATTTCCATTACTTGTGTGTTAATGATTTCTGCGACAGTATTTAAAACTCTGTCTTAATTTGAAAGAATGGGAAACCTGAGTTGAAGCTAGAACTTAATACTAAATATAGGCGTTATTGTAATTAATATTTACACACAGCATCAGTGAAGTTCTAACAGTGCGTAAGTATTTTTTGGCACATTTAACATTTTGGTACCATTCGTTAGATAATGTGCTTTTTACAATTATTCTTGTTATCGCCTACCTACAGTTTCTTGTACACTACATCCTGAAATAGAGGACGTGGCAATGAATATTCCCGCCAATGCCCTACTCCTACCTGCGTTTGTTCGCAACAAATGCATATATATTGCTTGCTGTCGTCGAATTGCTCTCTCATCTGTGCGTCGGACCATTGGAGGGTTTCTCAGTGAACTCATAGTGTTGTATTGTGGTAGTTATACCAAGTATATTTAAATTAGTAGTGATATTAAGATCACGATATTGAAAATCTAACACTAATTCTGCCAGTAACGATTTTGCTCAAAACATAGAAAGTTATTATTAATTAATTTAAATATCTAGTCCAAGTAACTGGTTAAATGTTAATTATCAATCATTATATATATTTTAACCATGTGTTTATGTTACTAATATTCTGAAACAAGATAACCAGTGATGTCGTATATTTAAATAAAACTGACACGACATAAGTAAACTACAAAGCCAAAACAACGTAAATCAGATAGTCGGCATATAGTTTTGTAACCTGCAAAATCTTATCAGATTGATTTATAGGAAAGGTAATTATTTACGTTATTAAGTGCTAAGTCAATAATAAGTTTTTTTTTTATTTAGAATATAAAATATAACTTGTTATTTTGTTATTAATTTATATAATAATATAAAATTATTTTATTTAAATCCGCTACCATTAGTATGTGTGACTGCTATCACTCAAAGATTGACTACCATCATTACTACCAGAAGTTCTACAACCTTTCATACTAGCCTTCAATTCCCGACTGACATTTTTTCCACGCACGTTTTGCGACACGTGTTTTATCTTTAGACAAGGCATCTTTACCCAAATTCGGCACTTCGAATGTTGGCAGTCACACACATACTAATGGTAGCGGAATTACAAAATAATTCTAGGAAATAACAGAGATATGCACTTCCGCAAGATAACACCTATTTTAGTTAAATAAGAAAATATAGATATCAATAACTTGCCCATTCATATCCAACTTAAATTTCCGTTCTTACATATTGTTAAAATAGCTGCGGCTTAAGTTTTAAACGAAGAACTTGCAAATTATATATACACCTTCATGTGTCAAAATTTAAAGAGTGCCTTACTCTTCGCTATATAAACTAGCCACTAAAGGTTAGATATCAACAAACCTGCAGCAATAGAGCTATTGAGTCAAAAATTTCTGTTTATGAAATAAATTATTTAATGTGAATTAGTAAAAGAATGTTTATTAAGTAAATAAAATATGTTTATTTTGATTATTTTAATAATGTTCCTGTTACATTGTTATTGTTTTTCATTGTTGTAAGTATATTAATAAAAATGCTTAAACAAGTAGATTTTGTTCCACAAAAAAGAAAAACACCATCTTTAATCGTGGCTAAACCAGTTGATTTTAAAAACAAACTATTAAACTGATTTTGATGAAATTTCTATAAAACCATTTTGAAATTACATATTTTCAGATATGTACATATAGAATTTGCCAAATTGGTTTGTAAACGACGGAGTACCGAGGTAACAAGCAAAAACATACAACTAAAATATAAGCACCCCCCCCCCCCCTCTGATGTATTGAAAAATGTGTTGTTGTTGACCTAAGTGTAAATAATTTTGAATGAACTAGATTCTGAAAAATCACGATAATATCCTATTAGCAAAAGTTGAAATAAATCGTCTTTTATATATTCAATAAGTTGATTTCAAATACTATTTCTAAATATTGTATACCTCAAATATTTTATTATATACCTCAAACTTTAATTTTAGCGAATTTTTTGCTTTAACGTAGACTTTTTTGACTTCCGCACTGTTAGAATTTCACTGACGAAGGTTATTTAATCTAAATTAAGTTACCTTTGTCAGTGAACGTATATATGTCCTTGTCACCCTCAAAACTAGTTACTTACCACTAAGGTAAAGGTAAGGAGAACTATCTCAGATGGGAGAACAATAGCAAAAGTGACTAGCTTTAAATAACAGTTCCAAATCTCTCCAAAATGGCGCTACAGTAGTAAGAGAGTATGAAATGGAGTTAGCGGTTGTCAATTGAATTAAGTGCGCTAAATTTAAAAAATCTTTATTTTTGTTCAATGCATAATTAAAACTTTAATAATGATATTTAACATAACATTAATTCTTATATCGTATTATTGTTTTTTTTTTTTTATTTTATTTTACATGACATTTTGTTGGCTGTTGCATAAATTCTTACTGTTATCAATTACAGCCAAATGAAACACTATGAAATAGATTTATAACGTATTCCATACAAGCGGCTTTACCAGCATGAATCAGCATATAAAATATTCGTGTACCAAATTTCTTTCAAAATAATTCACCTTGAATAAGTAGAATATAAACAACTTATAAACATTTTATTGTTACAAGTTTCGTGAGCATACATTATATTTTAATGTCAAGCTTGTGGTCTAGTCACAGTCGCTCATGACTAAGGATCACGAATTGATTCCGAAACTAGTCAAGTTTTTTGATCTAATTACACGTAAGTTAAACCAGTAGTTTTTACATTAAAACTCATAAACATACTGAAATATTATATTTAAGAATGGACGTTATTTTTCATTTCTTTTTTTGCTTTTAAGTATTGTCTTATTTTATGTAATATACCCATTACGACCTCTATTAAAAATATAAAAGTACTGAAAATCAACAAAAGACAGTAACATTTAAAAATTCCAAGCAAATCATCTAATCTCAGGGGTTTTATTTGATTTTCATCTTTAATTTCTTCGTATCGGTATTCCTCCCACTTCTTTATCAGACCTGCTTCAAAAAGCCAAATAACGTACTTATTAAACTGTTTAGTCATGGGTGAATGCTTAGGTAATATTACATTTAAATAATGGCTGTGTATCTTGTCTTGCATAATGTGTAAATATTGTTCTCCGTCATTGTTTAATTTATTGCGTTCATAATATCGGCCCAATGCACAGTCTATAAGGCAAAAGCGATGTGTGTCATTTATTAACTCAGTGACGCAGCCGATTATGTTCTGAATAGGTACCAGTTTCTGATTTATTTTAGAAAATCGTTCCTCGGTTTCTGGTAGCACAGCATCTGGAGACGCCATACCATATATATTGTATCCTGTAGCAAGTATATCTTCGAATGTGTTCATCTCTTTTCCTCTTTTAAATGAACTAAAAAATGAAATAATCGCTGCCTGAGTGAAAAAGTTTAAGAGGAAAAAACTCCAAATTGAGGTAGTCATGAAAATTCGAAATAAATTGCTTTTTGGTCCCTTGTAAAGGCTAATAGATAGAATATTCCTAAAGGCATTAACTAAATCCTTACCAGCTTGATCGTAGCTAACTTCTCCTTTTTCTACAGCATTAAATAAAAAGAAAATGAACCAGATGCCTAAAAAGCAAAATAAGAATTCGATTGTAAGTTTATAGTTTTTAACCATAAGTGTAATGTCGAAGAGACTAGTTTCAAAACCTGCTCGATAAGATGCTAGGCAAAGACCGCTTTCTTTATAAGGAAATGTAATGTCTACCTCAACAATAATAAGATCTATTTGATATATAGGAATAAGAAATAAATCCCCTTTCCTGTTAGCAAATGAGAATATCTGTTGAATGTTTAATTCGTAATTAAACGGACTTTTCATAATTGCTGTACTTGGAGAAAGATCAATAGTAAAATTCATAAGTTTTGTTATTGTGGTCCATATCAAACCGTCTCTGCCTTTTAGTATGTATGTTCCATTATGATGATCTTCTATGGCCATGAATGGTTTCACTTCGGTGATGTATGATCTGAGCATGTAACCATGCATATTTTTTCCTTTGTCCTCAAATAAGTTTAGTTTACGTAAAGATTTTCTGTCATTGTATTGTATTTCATATATATCAAAACCAATACAAGTGCCAAGATTGTTAGCGCGAAGCTTTGAATGCTGTGTAACGTTTTGGCATTCATTAACGCAAACAAAATTATCCTTAAACTCTTTAATAGGTAAGCCAATTTTTTTCGCTGTCCAACATCCGAAATTGTTTTGAAGTCTGTATTTTGCACTTACATATGGATTATAGTAAGATACAAGAAAGGATTCTTTCGTACAATTATAGTAAACTATGACTGCATTAGACATTTTGTAGTACCATAAAATGAAATAAATTGTAGCCATTTTAATTTTCGTGAATTCTTTTTCAAAATATAAAATCAAATTAGCATGTGGGTGCCAATATCGCGATCCATATACCTTTAGAAAATTAGGTTCAAAATCGTCAAAATCGAAAGATTTCATTAATATGGTATGGGATTTATAAGGCACCTCTATATCTATTTCGTAATTGTTCTTAGCCATGTTCATCACAACAAACGTAAACGGCATGTCTTCAATACTTTTATATAATGTGTTTGGTAAATTACCGAACAATACAAAGTTGTTTCTGTCATTACTGCTTCTTGCTAATGTAATTAATTCCAACTGAAAAATCAAAATTAGATAAATAAAAAAAGGCTCTATTAGATTTCTAACAAATAAAACTTGGATTAAGTTCTTAAAAAGTTTTAGATTAAATAGAGCTTGCATATAATAGACTGAGTAGTATAGTATAAGACAGAGAGTTGTGGACTTGTCGTTATCATTTAAAACAAAAAGGTTTAGTAATCATAATCGTGAGTTCGATTCTATCATCTAATGCGGTAATTAGAAATTTGTCAGCTGTTATGGTTTTGGTAAACATAATACCTACTCGACCTCCCCGAGCATACTAGAATCGCGGCAAGGGGCGAATATATCGCCGTCACTCGGATTAAATGGGTTTGTTATTAGTGTTTTTCATTACAAAGAAGTTAGAAGATTATGTAAATTGATAAAAAAATTATAGAAATTTAGTATCGGCCAGTTACGAACATGTGACTTTGAATGTATCTTCTGTCGAATATACATATATTCGACAGAAGATACATTCAAAGTCATTACAAATTCGGCCATTGCTTACATAAGCAATGGCCGAATTTGTAAATCAATTGCCAAATATATGTAAGCGCATCACTCTAAGACCGCTGCACCTATTTCGCTAATTGTTTTTGTTTGTAATTGTCAGAACAAGATTTGCATGATTAAAAAAAAAAATTTTTTTTTTTCATTAACTCCTGATATTTGGATAAGGTCGACGTCGGTAACGATGTCGAAGCCTGTATTTTAAAACTTGCTGGTTATCTATTTGAATAATTCGTGCTTTTACGAGAAAGGATTTGCGTTCTTATCTACTTTCGAGCTCAGGTAAAATGTTTGGGGAGTGTTCTTTATTATGCTTCTCGAGTCCGAAAGATTGATTGTATTGCTAAAATCGTCCATTTCAATATTTATATTTTAAAACAAAGAACAAAATCAAAACTGATTTTTAAGAATCGTGAGATACCTGAGGTTAACTAATATATCTACAGCATATATAGAGTACTTATTATATTATTGTAGAAAAAGTAATACCTAAGTTCAATATTTACTCACGTCTATAATTTATTTAGGCTAAACAACATCTAGATGACACTCAGTCTAGATAATTTTATTAATAAATGAATTTGAATTAATAACATTGCCGGAGTTATTTGTTTACGTACCTAAGGTACCTCTCTTATTATAGTGGGAAAATAAAATAGGTGACCAGGATAATTTAGTTGCCATAGTTTCTTAATTAAAAAGAAGTATTGACGATCGTCAGAACAGGCGTGCACGACAAATTTAAAAACGTTTTGTTTATCTTCAGGTACGGAAACCCCAAACTATCTGTGTGTATTATTGTAACAATAAAAAATACCCGACCATGTCCTATTGTCCAGAAAAGGACATGCACATTTTTTTTTTGTGAATTGGCAAAGGCACCACACAAAAAATCGTCGTTATATTACATAGGCAATTTTATTGTTATCGGAGCACTGATGGACAAAAACAGTAGAAAAGCATATTCGTAAAATAATGTGTAGTAAAATATAAATCACATGTGTACGAGATCATTCTAGTTTCAGCATCGAACCGGCGTTTTAATATTACTCAGTTTAAGCGTTAATATATAACAAGATTTTTTTTTATAATAGCTTTAAGACTTTAAATATTTTCTCACAACCCATCTTTAAATTATATTAGTTTTATTAAAACTGTAATTAATAGAGTTTACTCCCCATATATGTAATTATAGACCACGTAGACATAATACCATAGTCCTCGAGAAAGGGGGGAAAGGGATTGTCAATGTGGTCTAACAGTCCCATTGCTAGCAATATCAGATCATCCTCCATGCGGTTTCTCTAGAAATCCCTAAGCGGCTTTTATCTGTCACTGGTGCTCCTCCAGCGAATACCGAAAGCGCAGGCAGGGTTTTACCACTTCACTTCCACTCATTATAAAAATACCTTCGGGAATTGCAACACATGCTGGGGTACTATGCGCGTCACTGAGTAGAAACTATTTTGTGTCGTTCATGTCTATAGATGACAGTTACCACTTTCCATTAGGCCATCAGCCAAGTTGCATAGAAGTAAAAAAAAAACGAGATCACGGTCACTAACGATAGTTTAACTTACTATAAATTTAGTTTGCTCCTCTTCCTTATTTATATCTATCAATTGTATATTTCCAAATATAAAATTTGGAAAAAATAGCAACAAAAATAGTTTACAGTAATTCCACATTTCAACAATACGACCAATATGTTTAATTCATCAATTATATCTGACAACACCTCAACAAAATATTGCTACTAGCAGTTTTAGAATTCCGTATGCTGTACATAATGACCAAAATAATATTGTAACAATAGGTAATTTTATTAAAGTTTTTACATTAAAAGCATAATTTATATCTAACAAAAATATAATAGGGAGGTCAAAGGTATGGGACAAATGGCATGGGACAGAGCTGGCTGGAAGAAAATGCATGAATCAGTTGCACCGTCAAGAATAAACTCTTAAATGAAAAAAGAAAAATATCATGTCACTAATATGACATGGCATTCATTCGTCCAAAATACTTCAAAGTTTAAAAACAAAGGTCGATTAACCAGAGCATGTTGCCAGTGATAACCTATGGAACCGAAATATGGTTCTCCACGATTTACCGTATGCAAAAGCTTCAAGTTACTCAGCGAGCTATCGAGAGGGGTAAGCTTGAAGTATTTTTGCGTGACAGGATCCGAAATGAGGATATCCGCAAAAGAATCAGACTGTCATACCCTGAAAGATAAACAAATTGAAGTGGCAATGGGCTGGTCACATAGCTCGAAAAATCGACAACCGATGGAGAAGAATAGTTCGTGAGTGGCGACCCCATGGGTCCGACACGGGCAAACGCAGTGTAAGACTACTCTCCACTGGATGGAGTGACGGACTCAATTGTATTGCAGGAAGTCAGTGAACCGATCTTTATAGCAGTCTAAGGGGGAGGCCTATGTTCAGCGGTTGTCAGATAACGGCTGATATGATGATGATAAGATTCATTCACTCTAATCTCCAAATCCGCTTAGCCGACTTTTTGTTAATGAAATGTAAATGGGTATTGTTTGCATCAACTTCAGAGGTGGGACAGTTTTATCTCAACAGAAAAATGGACGTAGTAAATGATGTTAGGATATATAAAAAAAACTTTACCAGGTCAGCTAGTTATTGGTTATACAGCATTAACACGCTGTCACCAATAATACCTCTTTGTGATTGAAGCAAAATAATTTTGGTAACATTCTTGGGTCCAAATCTTATCGGATCTGATATTTGTAAAGATTTCAACATTCAAATGACAGGTTTATTATGAGATTAATCGTAAACCCGCCCGCTCTATTAATACTGACGCTGGCGGAGTACTAATGAGGGATGACTGATCAGATCACTTGGCCCATTGTGACATATTCACCCGAAATTAACTACGATGGTTTCCAAGTGGGAACGCGTGGAGAACATTTGACAGAGTATATTGTCAATGAGGCCTTGACTTCATTATAAGCAATTAATCCCCGCTCTCAAAGCCTGGTGTCAATTCCACTGTTATCTGAATTCTTTATTAATATGTGATTAAAAGTTTTAATACACAAAACATCGGATCACACTTGTCGGCCGAACATAATAATATTACAGTAGATTTAAGAGTAATTTAGACCTAATTGGTCAATTGAATTGTAATTCAATACTACCGTATAAGTATAAATAATTATTTGAATCATTACCTTTATCTGATCAATTTGGAAGCTTATAGGTACATATTTATAAATTATTCAATGTTATGAGATAATGCGATTAATGTTATTGGAAATGCATAAGTAATGTAGTAAATATACATGATCGAAGTAATTACATTGTAAATATGTATTGTATGAACGGAAGATTTATTTGTAAACTTATGTTCATATCGTCCCATGAATTTGTTTAGAAATCTTTTTGGGGATTAGTTTTTCAGTTTTCAAATTTTATTACCTATACAGGGTGTCCCAGTAGTCAACGTCAAGCCGAAATCTGGTAACAAGATAATTCATAATAGTTATTAGAAAAATAAAACATCTAAGTTACATATTTTAAAAATTATAGACATTTAGAAATAAAATCGAGAAAATCAACATACTGTGTGTCTTCACTGCTGTTACTACAGATATTTACTTTTATATTTTTTCAGTTGTGTATGCAATAGCAAATAACTAGCATCACTGTCTCGCTCACATTTTGTAAAATGAATTTCGCCGTCTTTATCACGACAGCGTCACTATCTGTCTCGCCGCACTTCCTAAAATGTCATTGTCTGTCTTTCTCTAACTGGAATTTTTAAAGTTACAGCCACAAGAAGTCTTCATCACGATAGCGTCACTATCTATCTCGCCGCACTTCCTAAAATGTCATTGTCTGTCTCTCTCTAACTGGAATTTTTAAAGTTATAGCCACAAGAAAAACCGCGTGTACATATAATTTTTAAGTAAGAATAATTTGTTTGAAACTAGTTTATATTTGGAAAAGAAATAATTTAGCAAGTGCCATACCATTGTGGAATCCTTATTAAAAAAACACAAACTTTTAAAGTTGCTAAACTTGCCTAGTACATTTTTTTTTTTCAGTATGGTTAGTCTAAATTGGGCTAAGTATTCATTATGAATCTTTGGTTGAGTAAAAAATGACATTTACTTGCGAGCTGGAGCAGACTTTTATTTTTAGGCCAGAATTTAAAGAAGTTTACAAAACAGAAAAAAAAAATTATAAATGTAGATATATGTAGTAACAGGAGTCAAAAGATAAAACATAAAATTACATTGTATAACGGACAATATTTCGTGGCTGACAAAAGAAAGGATTTTATGTTATATGTTATTTGTATGTTATATATATTACATGTAATATTTTTAAATGTTAAAATATAATAAAAATACCTAATTAAATGCCATTTTCTTTTAATAACATTTCAATTAACCCTGATAATAAATAAATAACAGAATCGCATTGTAACGTAATTATTTACAATTACTTACATAAAACACCTTGCTTTTTATTACATGCTGTGTAATTAATTTCTTTGACTGATCAGTCAAAGAAATTAATTACGTAGAGGTACATAATTTATTCTGACATTCTATCTAAACTCTATAGGTGCACATACTTATATACACAAAAAAAATTAAAAGAATGTAATCTTATAAAATCTTTTTTTCTTTATATTTACAAAAATATCCTATTCAACATGTTACCTATTCATATTGTACATTACATATTTGTACATTTTACACATATTATATAAATTGTAGTGGTTATTGTCGTTAAAGATTTATTAAATATTTTTAATATTACATTTAGGTAATTTTAAAACATCATTATGAACACAACGCAAAACTTCGGTATTGTAAAGTATCCAACTAAAACAAAATACATATAAATTAAATATAATATACTTTCAATATGCTGCTGTGAAGTAGATATATAGTCTGAGAGTTTATATATGTATTTATAACAAGTTTAAGTAGCATATTATGTATTTATAATAAGTTTACTATTATAATCTTATGAAGGAAACAAGAGTATCTATCTATCTATCTATGTAAAAAGTTGCAGCTGAATTAAAAAAAGCAAAGGATCCCAATCAACATCAAAATCAACTGTATTTTTTTTATATGTATCTGTCCTTTTATGAACCTATTTTAATTATATTTATTGAAGACAGAAGTGTGTTTTTTGTGCAACAATTTCTTAAATTATTACTTTATTAGTAATTTACAGTAAAACGAGGTATAATATCAAAATTAATAAAATCATATCTATGGGCCACCGATAGTTCGTTATATGAATATTTTTACAATCTAAGCTCGATAGGTATGCAATAATACATATGCTTTTTTTATATTTATATTGCCAACAAATAAATTCTATTTTGTATTACGTGATCTGTAATAGAATTATAAATATACATTGCAAACTTCAATGTTTATAGTTATATACAAATTGTTTGCGGCGAACTGTGTTTAAATCATAGACAGGGATAAACAATACAGGCAACTTTATAGAGCCATAAGACCAAATTATCTTAAATAACTTCCCCGATAGAATTAAGAGCGTTTATAACTTTAGATCACCGAAGCAAGGCAACATTGCAATGACCTGTCGATTTTCATAATAATTGAATATTTACAATGTTTCTGATAAATTATTTAAAATTAACAATCGTAGAACACGCTATATATTAATCCAATCACTAAAAATTTGCACCTGCTCATAATTTGCTTCCGAATTTTTCGAATACATTTTTCACAAATTTTCAGTACCAATAAGAACATTAATTAAGATTAACGTACATTTCCTCTTTAATAATGAATGAAAAGAAAGCAATGCAGAGGTAACAGTCTCCTCATACTTTATAAAAGTATCGAAACATCTAATAAAAAACATTAGCGGTTGCATTTTTTAACATCACCTTTATGCATAAAAAGGACACTTTAGCTGTGCCTATGACTTTGTTCTGGTTAAATTCTTATTTTATTGCAATTACGGAAACACTTTTCTAGGGCATAAAATATGCTATATGTAACAAAATCGATCACATTCTTTTTAGAAATTTTCCGCTTATAAATAATATAAACTATCTAATGAAGCGTAACTCAGATTAAGAATATAGGGTATATTAGATAGTTTATATTATTTACACTCACCTTACACTCTTAATCCTATAGGACATACTACCTAGATCTACTGGTATTAATTACATACTGAAATGGCCATAAGGTATTTACGTATACAGCTATATTTTTTTATCATGCTTATAATGATTTTTTTTTATACAACTTAGAATGGCAAACAAGCTGACGGCCCACCTAATGGAAAGTGGTAAATGTCGCTTACAGACATGAGCAGTACTATAGACATAACAGAGTGTACTGTTTCGCCCATGATATTCCCATGCATTGCCATTCCAATTTGTAAACTTATTGACTTCTAGAATTTAGCTATCGGTGAACAGATATAGATACAGGTCTAGGACTTAACGATTAAGGGACAGCAATAAAAACCTGTGGTTGCCAACCAGTCTGCCAAAAGTGGCAACTACTAGAAAAACCTCCCAAGGTGGAGGCCAATGTTCAACAATGGGCTATTATTAGCTGTATCATTAACATATATAAATAGTGAAATTCGATGAAAGAGCCCATATCGTAATAGGATTTATTTTGTATAATCTGTCGTTGTAAGTGTACAGTACTAACCTGTTAATGTTACTAAGGACGAGAGGTTCATTTAACTCGACGGGTTATGCAAAGCAAATACTAAAATGAATCGTATAAAGTCTAGTATTATGTAATTAAATTCATTTTCTACTACGAAGGTACTCCTGTAAATGGCTCCAGGCTCGATCGATTTGCGATTGAGTGTATTCATAGCTCCAGTACGGGCTAAATACGATGTTAGCGTTCGCAACTTGCTCTAGATTGGATGGTTGCGATGATATCCGCTGCTTAGCTTCCTCTTCAGATAAACCGTTGCGTTTTTGAAGTCGTTTGACAGCCTGAAAAGGAAATATGTCGTATATTTTGCTTTGATTGAACAGTTGTATTTTTGTTAGTTAGTGGAATATGGCACTTAAATTACAGGGTATAGAGACACAATCTATCCCATTATCCTTACTTTTTATGAAGTGAACTGTCACTTTATTGCCATTCTAAATACTTATAGTTGTTTCAGTGAAATTTAATGAATAATAATAAAAAGTTTTGTTGAAACTGTTACAAAGAAACTTTCTAAATCAAATTTAAAATAGTAAATCAATTAGTCGATTTGAAGATCAGCAGGTTATCAATGGCTAGACTATTTATTATTATTAATTTATTTACATTTTCATTAAACAAAAATGTACTATAGAAATTTGATCCTATGATGATAGTTTTACATTTGAGAAATAAACAACTCTCACCTCCTCTGGCGGTATAATGACGGACCACAGCTGGTGGCAGTGTGTGTACCACTTGGCGCGTACCATGACTGCTGCTTCCATTACAACCACCTTGTGCCCTTCCTCGCCGAGGGCTCTCACGCGCCGTTGAGCTTCCTCGATGACCGCTGGCCACACGATCGAGTTCAGTTTCTCCAGTTGTTCCTAATTGTTCAATAATGACAGACGTAAGTTATATGGAATTAAAACTGCTTAGCTGACACGGGAAATATTGTTCAGGAATACAACTATGAAAACCGCAACCAATTGCAGTAGGTTTCGCACAAGAATCCGGTATCACCACCAGAATTAACATACAGACAGATAGACAGATACAATTTTTAAAAATTATTGCTTTGGCATCTATTGGTCTTAACTTTATGTAACCTTTAGATACCTTGTCACTAAACACAATCGTGCCGAGTTTCCTCCTGTCCACTTCTCCAGTTTCAGTTATTATATTTTGCCCGAATGTCTCAGACAGTGTGCTGTTAAGCGGCAACCCTGGTTTGTACAAATCGTGTGCAATGATATCACAGTTGATGATGGCAGCTCCTTTGGCCCTGTAAATATTTTCATCATCGTCATCATCATCATTTTGCTATTATCCGTCCACTGCTGTAAATATTTTATTACTGGTTAATTAGATAGAATTATTTTGTTTAATTTCTTTTTTTTATTATGCAACTTAGAATGGCAAACATGCTGATGGCCCACCTGAACGCAAGTGGTAACCGCCACCTATAAACATGAGCAGTACCATGGACATAACAGAGTATACTGTTTCGCACATGATACACCCATGCTTTGCCATTCCTGAGGACTCAGGTGTTATTTCTCTGTACCTTGTAAATTCACTACCATATCCCACCCTTCAAACTGAAGCACAGCCATGCAAACACAATTGCTTCACGGTAAGAACACGAATGGATAGAGGTGCCCAAGCAAACGACTTTTATACAAAATCTCCCTCTGGTAAAGTTGCGCTGCGTTGCTTTAATACAGCAAAAATTTTTCGAAGAATTGAATTTGTTTCACGTAGAGTACATAATCGGTTAATTCCAAGCAAGCAAACAACTTTTATACAAAGTCCCCCTCTGGTAAATTTCGCTACAATTAATATGCGTATGACTGCCAACATTTAAGGATTGGCTACAATTATTATTAGTGAAAATTCTACAACTTTCCCTATTAGTCATCAACCTCTGACCGTTATTTAGTCTATGCACGTGTTGCGACACGTTTAGCATCTCTAAATGAGGTATCTTCGTGCAAATTAATAGGTCACTGCTCGAAGCTTATTGTCGACCGTTTGGCATCCATACTGCGAATACGAACACTAGGTAGCGGAATTAAACAAAATTCATTCTAATCAATTAACCAGTGATATTGACTTCCGCAAAATAACACCTAATTCTTCATCTGTATATGGATCATCTGTAATGGATGTAAACAAAAACTCAACGGATTACAAATTTTTTTTGGTGTTGAGTCTCACAGCTTATATTGCCAGTGATTTTAGTGTCTGCTAATATATACAATCTTGTGTTGATTTGTCTACAAATTATGAGCGACTCTTCGATGACTAGAGTTGCAGGCGAGAGCAGCGAGCATGAGGGAATATTGATTGTTTATAGACGAAATCAGAAAACAAAAACGTCTTAGAAAATCCGAAAACATAGACAACTTACTTTAGTTTTTCTGCTATATTGCTCTTTCCACTTGCAATCCCGCCAGCTAATCCTATTACGTATGGCCAGTCAGGAATATTAGGATTAGGCTAGAAAGAAAAAGAAACCTTTGGACACCTTTGTCTCATTGGACAAGAGGGATCGTTAATAATTAGGATGTTAAATCCTATTGCTAGCTTTACTCTATTTTTTTTTGATAAAAATGAATGGTTTAATAACCCCACCTGCGCTATCGGTATATACTGGCGGGGTACCATTGAGTGATGATAGGTGAAAATGAAGCAGGTCAGTTGACCCATCATGACGAATTTAATAATAAATCAATCACGATGGTTTCCAAGGGAAACCGCGAGGAGGTGGACTTGGTATGGTATATTGCTAGCAATGGGGCAGTTAGATCTCATTATTGACAATCCTTTTCCCCCCAAAATACTCTTGTCTTTTTTTCTCTGCTTTACTCTGTCAGGTCGACCTCCACGCGGTTACCCTTTGGAACTATAGTATTTAATTCTGACCTGATTTCATTCTTATCTGTCACCACTCACTTGGTGCCCTGCTAGTGTACACCGATAGCGTAGCGAGGTAACTATTTCATTATCACCAATTGGTTACCTCTGTCTCATCATGCTTTTGCCAAAACTATGTTTGATTTTATGAGATTGAGTAATGAAACGAAAGTAAAGATCTTTACGCCGGTAAAATGCAAGCGATTCCATTTGTGATGCTAGCGTAGGCTGCAGTGGCACAGGTCATTGCAGGATGTAAGTGGTAGGTTTTAGATTACACTCTGTATCGTAGGGAGTGTTCTGCCAGTGATTTTGAACACCCCGTCCCAACAAAACATCGGCTAAGAAACAACTGCTTAGCCGATGTTTTATTGGGATAACTATATGCTTAATTCTTTTCTTATATAAATATAAAATCTTACCACTGGTGGTTTTAAAATGGTGCCAAGCAGTCTCATTCTATGATTGGACGAACTGACTTTCTCCTCTTCCTCATGAGAGCGTTCAGGATGTAAATCCTGAGCCAACTTGATCACATATGTCTCTAATGGCTGCAAACCATTCTCTTTTCGTTTTTCATTTATTTTCACTGCGCCGCGGGCCGTTTCTTCACTAACTACTATTAACTGCAATTCAATTATTAAGAAATGTTAATGTTACCTCATGTAAGGACCTCCGACAAAGATGGGCTTTGCCTGAGTGAACTAAAATAAGATGTGTTAGGTTAGTCAGAAATATGTTCTATTTATGAATTAATGTTTCATTTACATCCATTCAATCATTTACGTGTGACTGAGAAACAAACCTACAAATCTCTTTATAAACTTTAACATTTACAATATTCACGAGTTTTTTAATTTTATTGCATAAATAACAATTTCAATAGTGACGGAATTTATATGAAACTAAGATGGGTGTAAACAGTCAATTTGCAATATTAATCAGTAAAATGATTAATTTCGCAAATTGAAATATAAAAATCATACAGTTCATTAAGCCCACCTCTTTTTTTCTTAATTAGTTGAGTACATCAAATAATAATATAATTTTCCATCAAATACCTGGTATCTGGGATCGTCTTTTGTTGGCCCATATAAGTCTCTTATTGGAACTACATTGTACTCCAAATCTGGATTTATGTCAGTGAGAAAATCCACAACAGCCTTTATTCTGTTTTCAATAGGTTCTATCAATTCCCATAACTTCTTAGCTGCAAAGTAAATATTTTATTTAAAAATAATAAATACACTATTGTTGTAAATCTACCCCCTATCGAAAAAAAATGTAAAACCTCACATAAACCCATTTTATCCATTGAAGTGTTTTGTTCTTTTCTTTTGCAGTAATTTCTTAATTTGATAAACAGTGACAAAAACTTTAAGAAATTTGTTGAACATTTTTGTTTTTATGAATAAGTAGGCTAGTTCATAATTACATTTACAAAATATTGATAATTAATGCAAAGGTGATTTTATGTGGCTTGAAATAGCAAAGAAGCTGATATATGACAAAACAAAACTATGGGCATCACAGGGACACTCATAGTACCTTACATTTATAAAATTTTAACAAGTAATGTTGATTATCTGGTGAATTTGATTTTTCCTGTTGTTTTCGGTAATATAAATATATGTAGATGCCTATTTAAGTTTAGGAAAGCGTGACCAGATTATAAATATTAAACTTTTTCGTAATTAAACTCATCTATTATTTCGACCACTATGCACTTGTTCGCATGCTATGTTGCGATATGAATGGTAAGCTTGATAGCGATGGGGCAAGGGATTGTTAGTAATGGAATCTACCAATCCTATTGCTAGCAATTATCCTATCAGGTTAACCTCCACGCGGTTCCCTCTGGAAAACATCGTGGTTAGTTCTTGTGGAATTTGTCACAATGGATACTAAAAGGGACTGACTTGCTTTCATCCTCACCTATCATCTATCACTGGTATACGATCAGCGTATAGAAAAAAAAACTAATAATAGTAATGATAGTGAAATAATTGGACACAAGATTTTCATCTCACAAAGGTGTCGGTAAACTTTTCCAGTTTAAACTAAGCTTCATATTAGACTAAACAGTGTTTTTAAAGAAAGTGCATATGTATATAAGTAAAAAACATCATTTCCAAATGCGTTCCTTACACTGAATCATATTAACATCAGTAACTCCCACCGTGACATGCTTGGTGGCACGGAGCGCTGCCTGCGAGAGCAGGATCTTGTGTCCATTGTGTAGACGGTCGAAGGTACCGCCAAGAGCCACATACTCATACGTTTTTACAGGCTCTTCATTAGTTTTTCCAAAATCATTTAATTTTAATTCTAAAAAAGAAATTATTAAATTACATACATAAATTACAATATACATTCCAAATACACATTAGTGATTCAAGTTCTCCTTCATATTTAAGAGGAGAAAGAATTTAAAACATGGTTCAGTCTATCCCATAGGGACCTGATTTTTTCAACCGACATCACAAGTAGAGAGGTCCTCAACTTGGTTGTAATTTTTTCTGTTTGTTACTTCATAACTTCGTCAGTTCTAAGCCAATTTGGATAATTCTTATCTATACAAATATAATTACAGATTGGATTACAAATTTTATCAAAATTGGTTCAGTAGTTTAGTTTTTAACTTAAAGGAACTGGTTTTATCTTAATTTGTTTTTTTTAAACACAATATTTTTAATTTGTAAAAAAGGGTGGTTTTCAAGTTGTTGTCACCCTAAAGGGTGTCTGCAGGGTCGGTAACGCACGCGTAATACCTCTGGTATTACAGGCGTTCATAGGCTACGGTAACCACTTACCATCAGGTGGGCCGTATGCTTGTTTGCCACCTCAGTGGTATAAAAAATATATATATGTTGCCTATTAAGTTTTTAACTTTATTTATAGGTGTATTGAGAATTGATTTAAATGAACATAATAATAATCCTTACTTACCTATACTATGTACTTTACTTCCACTATTTAGAGATAGTACTGATTGTTGCAAACTATTAATATCCTTTGTTAAATGACTGTCATACAGTATTAGATCAATTGGGTAGTTTGTTTTGATATTTTTCGATTCTGTAGACTTTAATAATAATCTTACATCTAAATTGTTACATTTAGATGTGGCCTGAAAATTATTAAATATATAAGAATTCAATTCTCATCAGTCATACAGTTTTTGGAAAACAAAAGAATATTTTAAAGGTCAGACAAATGGCTTGATTGTTTACAATACGACATTTATTGACACATTCAATATTATGTTCACCACAATGAGGAATAGTGATCAAATGTCTTGATTACTTCATTAGGAATTATAGTTATGTGCATATTCTTTAAAACTAAATATTAGATTTCAGTCCTATAGATATTAGTTGTGGATGAGAACATATTGATCGACTAGGATAAAAAGTATCCTAAATTCAACTATAATAGTTCTTTAGGCATTTGTTACTTACTTCTTTAAAGTCGGTAACAAATGTCTCAACTCATTACTACATTTATAATATAAAATTAAATTTAAATACATTCAAATTTCTTGTCAATACTTTGGCATGCATGAAAATATATGCCTTTTGAGTATTTTATATTGAAGCAATAGAATTATTAATGATTTCTAAATACAATCAAATTAATAGTAATTATGTTAATTAAATGATGATTAATGAATACATTATGAACTCCTTATCAGTTTTAATTTATAGACTGTTCAATTACCCAGATATTAATTTATACCATCATTCACAGCAAACATTTTTTTGAAGTAAAAAGTAGCCAATGTCAATTATATGCTATTTACATGTTCTGAGCATATGCAGAATTCAATTTAGATAATAAATACAGATATATAGTTGTATACTGCTTATAAATATTTTAAAATATATATCACAGAATACACTGTAAATCCTATAGTACCTCTTATACGTTATAAAAATACATATTATAAAATATTATTACCTGTGAATATAAATCCACAATTTGCTTACTGACAACTGGCAACATATTGTCAGGTTTACCATTTATTTTAATATATAATCTATTCTTAACATATTTTGAAGCTTTCAAACAAATGTCATTTATTTTGGTAACATTGGATAAAAAAATTAATCCAGTTTTCGCCATGAGTTCTGTAAAAATTGATAAGAAAAACTTTAATTAAAAAACACAAATATTGAATCAAAAATACTATGATTATATTTTTGATTATTGATTTACATATGACTAAATAATGGGATAACCAATTAATATTTTTACTGTTTCAAAAATTTTATGTATGAAGTTTTATATCTTTTATATAAATTTTAAATATATGTAACATCTTCATTGCCGATACATTATTGAGTAGGCAGAGAAAATTGAGTGTTTGCTTTTTCAAAGTTTATAGTTTATCTGACAAACATACTTATGACTTCTCAAATAGAGAATATACAATAAATGTGATCAACTATTGCCAAATTCATCGTCATGATAAAATTTTACCAATAAAGATATTAAAGCCCTGGAATTTTTAATGAATGTCAGTAGGCAATGATTGGTACTTGCCATCAGTATCATTTAAATATCATAAAAAAACTATACACCTTTAAAAGAATAACTTGAATATTTAAAAAAAAAATTTACAGCATTACAGAATTGAAGCACTTTCTTCTAATACTACTTAATTCACCTTTGTATATACTTCAGTATCCTTATCATACTCATATCTCTTTTCAATAATATTTCAACTAACACTTAATCTAAACTCTCAATATTTAAAATTAATTTCTAGACCAAATATAAATAATTCATAGCATTAATAAATGTAAACTATTATATGTAACTATGTAAGCAATATAGGTTTTATTATTATTGTTATAAAGGCTATTTTATTGAGGAAAAATTATCCAACTTAACTCCTTATTTAATACATTTCAACATTATTTATTCTGCTTATTTGTCCATAACTTAATAATAGTGGAATGAAACAAAATAATTCTAATCAATTATCCAGCAATATAGATATCTTAAAAAAATACTTTATTCAGTTTATTAAATATATTTAATTCTCCATTACATACTCTATCAATCTAGTCCTTCACTTTACCTACTATAATTCTTATAATAGTTATAGATATATCCTAATTACTTTTAAAATTTATACACTATATTAAATAAGCTTAGACCTAAAATGTAAAGTAATAAACACTTTTTTAACTACAAAACCTACCTGTTTGTTTCAGATTCATCACAAAAATATATGAGACAATAACTGAAAACAACAGTACAGCAAACGATACACCATATGAGATGTTACACATTCTAATGAGGTCCAAAGGTTGAATGTTATCAAATTTTTATGCAATAAAAGTGAATGATAAAAATACTATTTGTTTATGGAACTGTACTAAACTGAAGTGGAATGAAAAGAATGAATCGTCCTTCGACTGAACAGACAATAACAGAAATAATTTACATATTTATACTATGTTCTTTAATATGAATGAAGAACCGGGATACATTTTTTACACCACAACTTTAACATTACCTAAATATATGTAATACAATCGGAATTATTGCATTAAATAAAATCAACTTGAATAAAAATATTTGTTTTCTTGATTAAAAAAAAGAAATTAAAAATATAGGAATTGGAAAAACAATATTTTAGGTTATATCACTATGTTGACAATTAATTGACAGGACACTTGACAATGACAAGTAAATTTAAGATTATCTATACTTATAATAAATCTGTAAAGAGGTTAATTCTGTCATGAATTATATTTCCAAAATAATTATAAGGAGTTGATTAGTGATCTATACTGATGCCAAAAATGCAACCAGTAAAATTTTTGTCTGTCTGTCTGTATGTTCATTATAGAAACAAAAACTACTCGACGGATTTTAACGAAACTTGGTACAATTATTCTTCATACTGCTGGGCAGGTTCCGTTTCGTATACAGCCTTAATGGCCACTTTTTAAAATGTAAAAATGTCTACCTGTGCGAAGCCGGGACGGGCCACTAGTCCTTAAAAAACGAATACTGCGTGAACGATATTCTTTTCCTCCGATAGGTAACAAGCGTTATTTACGATCATCATCATCATCATTTCCACTCACATCATTCCACTGCTGGACATTAACCTCCCCCATAGACTGACATAAAGAACGGTCCTGAGCCACCTGCATCCACTGACTCCCTGCAATGCATTTCAGGTCGTCACTCCATTTAGTAGGGTGTCGTCCTACACTGCATTTGCCCGTACGCGGTCACCACTCAAGAACCTTTCTTCCAAATCGGTAGTCGGTTCTTCGAGCTAAGTGACCAGCCCATTGCTACTTCAGCTTGGTTATTCTTCGGGCTATGCCGGTTATTTTGGTTCTTTTGCAGATATCCTCGTTTCAGATTCCATCACGCAAAGAGACTCCGAGCATAGCCCTCTCCATGATCCATTGAGTAACCTGAAGCTTTTGTATACGGGCAATCGTGTAGGACCATGTTTCGGTTTCATAAGTCATCACTGGCAACACGCACTGGTTAAAAACCTTCGTCTTCAAATTCTGAGGTAATTTGGATGGAAAGATGTAGCGTAGTTTCCCGAACGTTGCACAGCCGAGTTGGATTCGTTGGTTTACCTCTCGGTCGAAGTTGGACTTACCCATTTTGACAATTTGTCCCAGGTATACATATTCATCAACAACTTCGAGCTTAGTGTTCTTAATCATAACCGGTATTGATGTGAAAATCATGTCTAACGTCCATGACGTTTTAGTCTTGTCCATGTTCATCTTAAGACTTACCTATTGAGAAACACCATCGAGGTCATTGAGCATAGTATTAAGATTTTTTATTTATTTATTTACGATATAAATATAAATTTCATAATTGTATTAACGTTAGCTCATTAGTATCTTTTAAGTAATATTTTGTACTAATATTTATATTTTATTATTAAGTTTTGTAAGTACACATTATATGTTAATGTAATAACTGGTTTAACTTAGGTGCAATTACATTTAAAAAAGCTAGTTTCAGAAGTTATTACAAACCGGTACATTAAAATTACTTACATTGTCAATGATAATATATAAAACATATAAAAAATATCGTGCAATTTTCGCTTAACCCCAACTGTTATTATAAGAATCACTCTTAGGGATCACTCTTCAATTTAAACAATAGAAGTGATAAGCAAGGATATAGATTAAGGATAGTACCTGGACAGAAGGATAGATTTAAATAAAAAATATTTAAAAATAAGTTCTCCTTGACACATAATTCAATTAATCTTATTTAATTATATTTCTTTATGAAATTGATTCTTTATTTACATACTTAATAATATTAAATATAACTCTGTAAAACGCCAGGCTGGTATGTTCTCGAGTTAAGCTGATATACAGTCCACGATCAGTACGTAAGTAGATAAAGTAACATTTAATTTTGCATCATGTTAACTATTGCCCGATCTATTAAGATTGTAGTAGAGCCCCTTGAGCCGCATGAGGTGGTCGTGCGTGCCGGCTTCGAGTACGCGTCCGTCGCCGAGCACGCAGATGCGGTGCGCGTCGCGCACGGTGCTCAGCCGGTGCGCGATCGTCACGCATGTGCGGCCCGCGCTCGCCGCCGATAGCGCATCCTGCACTACCTTTAGGTACAACAAAAATTAAAATAATCGATTGTATCTAATGGGAGAAAACAACTATAATATGTGAGCTTACATCGTAATTTTTTTATGGAGCGAGTTATAAATTCTATAAAATTTTTTTTCGATGCGAAGGCTTTTGCATTGCAAAATTCGACCAAGACCAAGCAAGTAATATACTTCTTTCCATGCAACTTGTACGAACATCTATTTAACTAAATAGTGTTCCTCAGTTTCGATTCATACATAGGTATTATGGTTGCTGTGAACTCTATAGAAAGAGATTAAAATTTTTATGACTTAACAAAACCTGCGCGTGCATATGCATGAAACTAGCTGTAAAATTGGATGTATCATGAGAGCTGTATAAAGGGACTTTGGAAGCGGTTCCCTCTGGCTACCCCACAAGCTATTGACATTAATATAGAAAAAAATATTGAATAAATATTACCTTTTCACTCTCGGTATCGAGGGCACTAGTGGCCTCGTCAAGTAGTAATATTTGTGGACGTCTTAGTAATGCCCTGGCTATGGCTACACGCTGTTTTTGTCCACCGGATAACTGCGCACCTTTTGAACCGATGTTTGTATTGTATCCCTTATAACATAGAAATTTTGTTTTTAAAACATTTTAGTCACACTACATGCCAACTCGAAAATCAATCTTAATAGGTATTTAAAAATAGGATAAGCCACCTCTTCCGTGGGTGTCATAAGAAGCGACTAAAGGATTTATGGTCCTCTTAAAATGTCACCAAAAGCCTAACTGCGGTTGTCAACCCGCCCGCCAAACGTGGCAATTATTGGCAGAACCAGCAAATGGGAAGGTCTATGTTTAGCAGTGGAAAGTTAATGATGATGATGATAACAGTAGGACAGTGCAAAAGTTATTTGTTTGGATACTTCTGTCCCACTCGTGATCGTGTCGTGAAGTGGTTGTGACGACCTATAGCTATATTTCGAGTTTGGAGATTGAAATATGGCAGTGAAATTATATGATACAGAGATACAGAACGGAGGAGGGGTACCATAGGTATCAAAGTGTATTCTATGATCTCCATAGTATTAGTTATGTCTATAGGCGACAGTTACCGTATCCCATTGTATAGTTCGCCAGCTTGATTGCCATTTTGATTTTCATAAAAAAAGAATTATGGTCGATATGATTTAATATTACGTTGTCAATAATGTTTTTGGTATGTATATTGAATTAAAATCCAAATTAATATAAATTTTGGTTTTATACCAATATTTAATTTAATTTACTTACCAAAGGCAATGATATAATGAAGTTGTGTATATTCGCTTGTTTGGCAGCTTCTATGATTTCATCCATACTTGGTTGCCGCGAATTGTCCCCGTACGCAATGTTTTCGCCGATGGTTCGGTCAAACAATATCGGTTCTTGTTGGACGAAGCCTATTGTTCTTCTAGCATCTGCTAAGTTTAGATGTTTTATGGGTACACCATCTTGAGCCTGATGAAACGAGTACATAATATTGAGAGAATTACACAAATGGCACGTACTTTGTGGAGATACAAGATAGGTCATCATCAGTAGTGGAGAATGGATCAGTCCAAACATTAACCTTTGAATAATACGAGTAGATATTCATATTATAAAAATAATAATAAAATAGTGTTGGATTACACTCTTTTTTTATACTACTATGGTGGCACACAAGCATACAGCCCGTCTGATGATAAATGGAGCCTCGCTAATAACTAACCGCTACCGTAATTCTAACACATTTTGTCGAAATCCAAATGATATCTATTATTATTTTTATTTTATAACATAGGGGAGAAAGAAGCATGCGTCGCCCATGAACACCCGCAACATCATAGGCATTGCAGGTATGCTGCCGGCCTTTTATGTGGAAATATCTAATTATAAGAAACTTACCACAATTCCTACATCAGGATCATAGTATCTCAAGAGTAGTTGTATAACTGTGCTTTTACCGCAGCCGCTTGCGCCGACCAATGCTATTGTTTGACCCTGGTCTATTTTCAGGTTCATGTCTTTAAGAACTTGAACATTTGGTCGAGTTGGGTATTTGAAATATACTCCCTGGAGACATGCTGCACCATTTCCTTTCTAAAAAATATTATAATTACAATTTAATATATACAAGGTGAGATACATGGTTTATCTCTTAGATTATGAAGCACATTACGTTATACTACATCTAAGACTTATCTATTTACTAAATTTCACACATTCAGTTATTTTTAAGCATAATTGAATATATCTATCAACTTAACAAACATTAATTTATTTATTTATTAAAAATATCCACTTTTCATGTTCTTCCGTGGATAGGTACTTAGATATTAATACCTAGTATAATAAATACTTACAAATTCTTTTATAGGTTGTAAAGGATCCGTTATTTTAGATTGCAATCTAAGCAAGACTATAACACGTCCAGCTGCTTTTATTCCCTTATGAAAATTTGGAGCAAAAGCGAAAGCTTGCGCTGCTGTCGCCGCGCCTATTAAAAGTGAGTCAGCTGATCTATAATCGACAAAGGTAATATGTTACTGAATTAGGTATTTAGTAAGTTCATAATACTGGATAATTGATTAAAAATATAACATTTTGTTTATTCCGCTATCTAGGCATTTAGCTTACTTTAAAACTGTTGCGTATTCTATATGCTCTGTTATAATGAGTATTCCGCCATAGTATAGAGCTGCTGCATAAATGAAGTTGAAGAAGCCTCGTGATAGACCAAAGACAATTCCTCGCCAATGTGCTGTTCGTTTAGCGAGTTCCAAACCCGGGCGAAGTAGCAGAGAATAACTATTCAAGAACATTTTCTCTTTGCCAAGTGACGCAACGGTACGTAGATTTGATACTGCTTCAACGGCCAGCTACACAAAAAAAATATAAATTACGAAAAATATTCTTTATATATCCCACATCACAGTGACATCACATCCCATCCCCTAAACTTCTTTAAAAACCCTTTCAAAAATCTACTCAAAAATTCTTCCAAAATTTCCCGTCATCAACCTTCTTGCCCAGCGTGGTGGTGATAATATGCATAAACTCTCCGATGAAAAGGACAAACAGTCTATGACCCCCAGTATGAAGAGCAGAGGATAGCACATTGCAAGGTATTGGGGAAGGCTGATATCCAGTAGTATATAGATCAGTGATTCTCAACCTTTTTTTTGTTGCGGCACATATTTAACGATTTCAAAATTTGGCGGCACACAAAGAAAAAGATAAAAATTATTTACTTACTACAACACACTGCATAAATAGTTTATGACAAAATTTTTAAATATATGCAAAATTTGGCGGCACACTTTTAAAATTTGGCGGCACACAAAAGTGCCGCGGCACAGTGGTTGAGAATCACTGATATAGATAAAAGTAGTGTAGATAGATAAAAGCTTAAATGAAGACGATGACGATATCTCATGAGGCAGATATTATAAATGATATATTTTTCTTTTATGTAATTTATAGGTTATACATAATACAATAATATTTTTATTATTAAAAAGTTATGACGTTCAATAACCTATATTTACTTTCTTTAAGAAATGAGCTATGATATGCAAAAAGAATTAGTCAAAGCTGACAAGAGCACGTTCAAACACATAAACAAACTTTCTGTTTTACTTTGAGTATTACTAAAGATTATAATAAAATGTTTCATCGCAATAAAGAAAAATTAAGGATATGATAAAAACAACATGGGAACCCAGGTAAGTAGGAAATTAAAGAAAAGAAAATAATAATGTTAGCGTACCTTAGAACTGGATTCCATAATCTTAGCATTTCCAAAAGATTCGGCGTTCAACATTCGTCCTTCTTTATAAACTATTACAGCCATAAATGGTACAAAAGCACATGCGATCAAGCCCACTCGCCATTCATAATAAAGTGAAAGAATCTGAGCTAGAATTAAACTTCCTATTGCCTGCAAAACTGTTCCAATTCTTTGTCCTGTAGCCTAAAAATGTAGAACATTATTAAAATTTTATTTTTTTAATATATCATAGACAATATCTTTAAATAAAATACTGATATCGGAAGTGTTAATAAGAGCATTTTAATTTTCATTTAAGAGTTTCCTCTTGTCGGTGCAACTAATTCATGCATCTTCCTCCAGCCAGCTCTATCCCAGGCCATATCCTTTATCTCCCTATACGAGAGCTATCTCTATAATAAGAGCAATATAAACCAAAATAATAATATTTATAATTTTTTTTTCGGCACTACGCAAAAACTTCTACACCAAATTGGATGTAACTTTTACAGTTTTATTTCTGACGATGTTACTTGTCTCCACGCTTATGAAAATTATGAGAAAATTATAAGCAAAAGCTAGTTATAAATATAAACAGATCCGTTCTGTATTTGCAAAACGTAAATAATGTAAGATCAACTAACTCCCTGCACCGCCGCAGCTTCACCAGCTAACCGCGCACACAATGCACCTGTGGAATTATTCTTGTCATCATAATATGCGATCTCTTGTTGCAGAAGTTTCTCGAACATAATTTTCCGTAGTCTCTCAGTCAAGTATTCCCCAGCTACTCCGTACAAATATACCTTTTAAAAACAATGATAAATGAAAGGATTTTCTAAAATAGTATATGTAAATGTCTGTTTATATAATAAAGATAACACCTACTGTAATAAAATTTGTAATTCCAGCAAGTATACCCACGACAATAAATATGATTACAAATTTATGTATTTCAGATATAACTTCATCCTTATCAAAATTAGAGAACACCTGAAAAAAATAATTTAATAAGTAATAATAAAATACATGAACATAGTTTATCAAAAAGACTGTTACAAACTTCTTACCCCTACAAAATCCCCGAATATAGCACCGATAATTGGCATAGCAAACCCGCTCAATAAAGAACAAACACTGGCAACAATAATAGGTTTCCATTCTGGAGAATTTAATTTTACCACCTCAAAGAAGGATACGTCCTGAATCGTTTCTTCTACTTGTATACTTTCCTGTAAATAATCATGATAAAAATATCGCTATTTATTGTTTGTATTAATTACGCAATAAATAAAAATGCTGATAAACTAACAATTCCAATTATTGAATACAGATCAACTTGCAGAGATAAATTTAGAAGACAGAATTCAAGATTCAAGAATATTTATTTGTAAATACATGCAGATGTTAACAATACAATTTCGTTCAACATGTTTAGCCTGTACGGTATACAAAAATATGTAGTTACACAGCCAGTCCAAAATTATACATTATGTGATGACGATTAATTGTACAAAGTCAATTTTATACAATTAATCGTCATCACATTCTAATTTTAAATATACTTAAATAAATAATAATAATTGTCAGGCAAGAATAAAAGAACGATGTCACAATGATATTAATAAACATAAACAAATATTTCTTTCATACAAAAACCGTTTTGGATATTTTATATTATATCGACTTCAGTCAGGACCTGCTTTCAACAGAAGGTTATTTAGAATGATAATGAGAAGTGCCTAGTTCTTCCTTGTTTTATAATAGGTACAACATATACTCACTGTAGACTTTGATTGCATGCTTTCATCATCATCTTTTTCACTCATTATGGATAATTTACGAGTATTGTTTGGTTTTTCTATAAAGAAAAATGGCTAATTATTAAATAATATATTTAAAATTAATCACAAATGAATATTATGTTAACATCTTACCTGAGATTCCTTCAGTTTCAGGAGGTGTTTGTATCATCACCATATCGTAATAATGCCCTTTTTTCTCCATTAATTCATCATGATTGCCAGATTCAATTATTTCTCCACTTTTAAATACGTATATCATATCAACATTTCTTATGGTTGACAATCTATGTGCTACTATAATAGTCGTGCGGCCTTCTTGTGCCTAAACAAATACATAATAAATATTTGTATACAATAATCATCTAAAAATACTCTTAGTTTAAGCAGTTTTAAATTTATTAAAAGTAGTTTCAAATTATCTTTCGGTATCTGATTATAACATTTAATGCCCATTCCTATAAATTCAAATTAAAATCATCCTTATTCAAATAGACTTATTTACAAGCACTTTTAATCGTATTTTTTTATAAATGTACAGTTCGGGAAGTTGATATCTTTTTAAAGAGACCACAAGAAATTCAAACTTTTAATAACTTTGAAATTTATTAAAAGGCAGATTTAAAATCTCCTTCGATATCTTATTATAGTATTTAATGCCCATTCTGATAAAAGACCTATTTATTACCTTTTTCTAAAAGATACTTTGGAACAGCAAGTTTGAATTTATATCTAGTATTAAGATAACTAAGATCGTTGTTTTTAAGAAGCAGTTGAGGATTCCTGCGTAAAATTTCAAATTTCTCGACTTTCCAAAGAATAAATTATACTTTTTTATAATACAAATATGCTTTGGATGTCGGTTGTCTTACCCCATAATAAAATTCAATAGGACAGTATACTATGAAAGAAACTAAAAGAAATTAATCCGACAGTTTCAATATTATTATGCCGTTTAATCCTGCATACAGCATACGCCGCAGAACGTATGTTAGTATTTAGGTGCATGTTTTTAAATGTGAGGAAATTCTAAGAAATCTATAAAAAAGAGGTTTGTTATTTAATTTTTCAGTATTGTTTACGCAACTTAGAATGGCAAACAAGCTGACGGCCTACCTAATGGAAAGTGGTAACCGTCGCTTATAGGCATGAGCAGTACCATATACATAACAAAGTATACTGTTTCGACCATGATATTCCCCATACGTTGCCATTCCTGAGGACTCAGGTGATATTCCTCTGTACTCTGTAATTTCACTGCTATATCCCCACCCTTCAAACCGAAAAACGGCCTGCAAACACAACTGCTTCACGCTTGAAACACGAATGGGACAGAGGTGCCCAAGCAAACGACTTGTGTACAAAGTCTTTCTCTGGTAAAATTAGAATTACAGTAGAATACGAATTGTAATTTTGGATAAAGATAAATTTATGCGTACATATATGCATTTGGAGTATTGTATTTAGTTATGTAATTGTACTCATTACCATTTTAACTCATTGATTACTTTGGTTCTTCTGAACAAATTTTAATTTTGGATTCTACCACGCAATAAAATTCTGAAAATAGCTCTCTATCTATATAGCTTTCTGGTCAGACAGAATTGAATGCGTCTTTTTACTGATACAATTACCTTATCCAGCGCTTTTTGCACTTTTGCTTCAGATTCTGTATCAAGTGCACTGGTAGCTTCGTCAAGGAGTAGGATATGTGGATTTCGTACTAACGCACGTGCTATAGCGATACGCTGTTTCTGTCCGCCTGACAGAGATGCGCCTCTTTCACCCACTAGTGTGTCGTAACCCTGGAATAGTGTATTGGTATTTCTACTTCTAGTTTAAGGGTGTCATTCTGTAGCGTCAAGAATTTTCAGACGAACGTCGTCATACAAAAAGGTCTTTAAAATGACTTACCAGACAACGATTTTATGTACTATAATTGAAGAAAAACTAAATTTTTTGGTAAATATGGTTACTATGCCATACTGACTCCTACTAACTACTGATCATAAAATTACAGAATATATAATAGAACCATAACAGGTATATTTCATAAGTTTCAATGACATTATTTTATTAATTTAAATATACCTGATATTTAAATTAATAATATAATGTCATTGAAACAAGATTCTTTGTAATTAAAAAAAAGGGGCTTAGGTTTAAATTCTGGACTCGATCTTTATAACTGGATTAGTGTTCTTTTTCAAGCTACATTCTAATTGTACAATCAAAAGTATTACTAGCTACATTCGGGGTATTCTCGTAATGTCTCTTAAAGGAAAACTATTTCACAAACTATTTCTGGCAACATTTTCTTTTCTTTCTTTTTTACCTATAACTATGGTCCATACTACTTTATAATTTACTATTCATATCATAAAATAATAACAGTAAGTAAATGAATAATCTTTATAGAGAAATATGTATAGTAAAAAAAAGTATATTTTTTTAGAATTGTAAAATTAAATTTTACCGCAGGTAATTTCGTTATGAAAATGTGCGCATTAGCCTGTTTGGCGCAGGCTTCGATTTCAAAATCGGTGGCGTCCTCCCGTCCGTAGCGGATGTTCTCCCTGATGGTCGTGTTGAACAGCACTGGCTCCTGGCCCACCAGGCCAATCTGATCGCGCAGCCATCGAACGGATAACTCACGGACATCAGTGTCGTCCACACAAACCTACAGATTGTTTGTAATTTGCACATCTTTACAAGAATCTGCTTAAGAACTTACTTAAGAATTTGTTCATTTGTTGTCAAAAACTAGCGACACGCACCAACTTTGCACGTTTTAATTTTAAATAAAAACAACCCATATTATTTGTTAATAATGCAGCTTTCTACAAATGAAAAAAATTTTAATATCAGTTAAGTGTTTTTTTGAGTTTTTATTTATTATAATAAAAAAATAGGAAGTAGGAATCGTCACCTATAAACATGAATAGCGCCATAAACATAACAGAGTGCACAGCCATTCCCATGGCATTTACCATGTGTTGGAAACTTATTTAAAACACATTGTGTGTTTTAAATTTACAAAGTGAATTTACCGGGTACAGAGGAATAACATCTGAGTCCTCAGGAATGGCAATACTGTTCATGTTTATAGGCGACGGTTACCACTTTCCATCAGGTGGATCGTCAGCTTGTTTGCCATTCTAAGTAGTATAAAAAAAACATCGAATTAAAAACCTATAGTATAACAGATATTTAGTTAATGTTAACATTTGTAATTACAGTGTGATGTTAATTTTAATAATACAATAGATGTTTAGTACTCACGCTTCCGTCTATAACGTCGTAGTAGCGTGATATTAGCTGTATGATGGTTGACTTGCCGCATCCAGAGTGTCCCACTAGCGCTACTGACTGACCGCGTTTCACACTCAGGCTCACACCTTTCAGTACCTATATTGCGAATTTAAAAATTGTTGTAGTATATTATAATTACTAAATTCATATAATCTCTGAATCATCATCTCATAAAATCTGGCTATTTCCATCATCATCATATCAGCCGTAAACTATCCACTGCTAAAAACTGCGAGATATCGTTAGGGTAACACATAAGATTTATGATATGATGGTATAAGGCAGGGGGAAGCATAAAAGATCCGTATGGGTCGACGTGCATCGGCTTAGCTGACCCCATCTGCGAAAAATAAGATAAGAAGATCCATTGCTAAACATAGGCCTCCCATATAAGAGAGGTTTTACCACGCTTGGCGGGCAGGTTGGTCATCGCAGTTTTTTTAATGAAAAATAATGGAATGGTAACCTCGCTTGCACTATCGGTATACACTGGCGGGGCTCCAGTGAGGGATGATAGGTGAGCACGAAAGCAGGTCAGTTAGCCCATCGTGACGAATGCAACAAGTATTAATCACGATGGTTTTCGCGTGGAGGTCGACCTGACGGGGTTTCCTAGAAATGGGGCCATTAGTCCGCATAACTAACAATCCCTTTCCCCCTGGCAATTACAGTTAGGCTTTGATGATATTTGAAGATATATAAACGCTGCTGCCCATCTTTCGATCATTAAGTTCCTTTAGTCGCCTCTTACGACACCCACGGGAAAGGAAGCTAATAGTCTGGCTATTTTCATGTCCTTAAATCTGATAAATAGATGACGTAAAACTATTTTTATATAAAGTTAACGAAACAGAAAATCTTGGAATTAAAAAGATGCAGTCGCCTGCAAAAACATAATTATTATTATTACTTCTTCCTAAAATAGGTCTCCATTATAGAGATTATAGAAGAAAAGAAAAAACTTTTTAATTTTTATTGCAAATTAGCTTTTTGCTCGCCACCTCACACGCGTATATTTCAGAAGGATAAACAATGGAGTATAACTATACTTTTAGATTGTGTATCAAGATAAAACATATATCTACTACATTTAAAATTAGACCTTCTGATATACGAGTATGAAAATCTTATGATGCTGAGAAGATTAATGTTTTTAGTAGTTTTTGAATGATGCCGAACAAACATACAAACAGAAAGACACACAGATGAAATTTTTAATAATTATTGTTTTGACTTTTATAGTTCTTATTAAGACCCCTTACGTCAGTTGTTTTCAAATATTCCTCATGTATATATATATATATATATATATACATATACATATATATATATATATATATATATATATATATATATATATATATATATATATATATATATTATAATTCAGTATCATTGATTAATTAACATTACTGATTTAAAAGCACATTAAAAATTTTAATGTTTACATACTGGCACGTCGGGTTTTGAAGGATAGTGGAACACGACATTTTTCAGTTCAATATTCCCATCGATATGTTTGGGCACCGCGCCCTTGTTTAGTAACGAGTCGATAGTCGGCACGTTGTCGATCAAACTGAAAATCTGTGCACCAGCACCGCATGCGACACCGAACACCTCCACAAGACTCGACAACATACCGAAATGTTCCGAACCGGTCATAACATTTACGAACACCTAAAACATGAGAATAAATTTAATTTATATAATAATTTTATTGATAAGCTTACATAAAAACTCATCGAAATAACTAACTTAATAGTTAATTTTCTAAACAAATCTCCTCTACCCTACTCATATTTCTGTGCTTGCGTAACTTTGGACAACCGAAATTTAACATATCTTTTATTGAGCCAATATATAAATAATGTGATTACAATATATACATATTGATATATTATCCATTTCTACTTCTACATATTTCTTGGAAATGATGATCTTTCATCAGGCGAGTCGTAAACATTTATGCGTTTCAAATGTAATTAAAAGATATTTAAAACTCATGTGATAGTACGTAAGTAGATTTAATAGTTAATTTTAAATAATTTACTAATACTTACAGCGAGAATGGTAGCTACATTGTATATTTCAGGTTCATCTACCGTTAACTTGTATCCAAACCAAAAAGAGAGAGCATATGAACCAAAGATACAGAAAAATAATATTCCCATAGATAAACCGTTGTAGAAGCCTGAAATGTGATGTTTTATTAGCGATTTTATTTTATTGCTATTAATTGAAACTGCAGATGACAAATACGACTTAATTTCTTAAGATAACATAATAAAAATAAGAAAATAATTCCCTAACTACCTTTACTTAACTTTGGTTTTACCTTTTTTTATATTAACTTTTCGTATATCTCTCAAATGACTTTCATATCTTTCTATTTCTTTTTGTTGCCCACTAAAAGCATATACAGTGCGAATTGCCGATATAACTTCATCAGCTACCGCTCCGGCTTTGCCTGATGCTTCAGCTTCTTTCGTAGAGAGTCTCGAGCTCAACTGCAAAATAATATGTACTATTTTCAGGTAGGCCATAGGAAGATTTTGCAGAAAAGTTATCTCAAAAAAGCCATTAGCTGCTACTTTACCATGTTACATAAAAATGATACCAAATTCAAGAGTCGATAAACTCTCACAGTCCATCTTAAGAAAATACACTTTAGTAACTATTCAGGTGTACAGTGACTATGCTGATATCTAACAATGTGTTCTTTAAATTTTATCAAAATTCTAAGTATATAAAATATATGATTCGCTAGCGTTACGGTGATCGCTCTGCACAATTTAGATGCCGAATTCGTTTCTCGTCGAGCCAAAAATAATGTCCTAAATTCTCCAGAATTTGGATGTGTTGAGGTTCGCCTCAGAGTGTCGTTGTTTATTTTGCTAGATTGTGAGACATATTATTATTATTTAGAGTAGGTAATTTGATAGGATTTAAATATTACTGTAATTACTAGTTTAAAATATTACCCATCCTGCTAGTCCAAGTAGACCAAATGTAATAGGAAATGATATTAGACATAATAATGCTAGTTTCCATCCTAATCCCAGAGCTGTAACAATTGAACTGACGGTAACTGTTAAATAGAAGACAGCGGTCGCTAATTTTTCACCGATACCATCTTCCAGCTTTATAATATCACTGGAACAGAAATTAAAATTAATGAAAATATATACAAGGTAGGCCCCATGTCTATATAATATAGACACCAATCCGATATCTATGTATCGGTTTGTTCTCGACATTTATGGCGGGAAAAAGCTCATCATCCATTTCAGTATCTATTTTCAAATATGTTAAAAGTCCATAATCCAATATTATTTTTTATATAACAGACTTAATATTTTCGTTATTGGATCAGTATATAGATATTGTAACTACAATATAAAAAAAAACAAAAAACAAACTAATAGTTAACACGAACATAAGATAGTCTACTTATGTTCAATGGTAGTACAAATAAAAATCGACTAATTGATGTAATAAATATTTAGATTTGTTACTAATTTCTCTGCTCTAAATGAAATTGATATATAAAAAGATACTATTATTATAGTATCTTTTTATATTAACAAAATCTGAGTCAACTTATCCTTCTTTTGTATTATGATAGAGTGCTTTGTTCCCCTACTCATCTTATACTCATATTGTAATCTTACTTTGTAACCTCACGAGAAAAAAATTGTAGCAAATAAGCGCTTGTGTTTATTTTATTTCTATCACCATCGCACTTTATTTATACATTTTACAAAATAAAATATATATAAACTGCCATTGGAAGTGGATGGACTAGGAAACCCTATGTTACGGTATTCTAGCCCCCACACTTGGCCGCTGGCTATACAAAGAACAAGTAAATAAACCATACGCTGAAATTATAGATAGATAGATAGTATAGATGTAAAGGAAAGTTATTATCGCCTAATATTCTTCAGGTCATTACATAATACATGATGTCAAAAATTCTTATCAATTGCAAAAGTTCCTTAGAAGCTTTTAAAAGCAATTGCTTAATACATACATTAGTAATTAGTTGTTTCATTATTATCTTTTATAGACTTTACGTGGCGATATTGTTGAAACCATTATAATTCATGTTAAAACTGTACCAATCATTTATATTGGTACCACGGATAATACTATCTGTACCTGCTCATTTTTGCAGCGAAGTCGCCCATCTGATGTGTATCAACATAGCCGAAATCTTGATTTAGTGCTGTTTTTAGATATTCCTCTCTTATCTTATATACCTGTCAACATGTACAAAATAACACAAGGTTATTATTACTACTAAATATAGGACGATATCGACTCTCTGGTATCAACTTCCAGCAGCAATATTTCCGAACCGATACGACAACATAACCTTCAAGAAAAGAGCATATTTTCCTTTTTAAAAGGCCGGCAGCACACCTGCAATGCCGTAGGTGTTGTGGGTGACCATGGGCGGCGGTAGTCACTTAGCATCAGGTGAGCCGCATGCTCGTTTGCCCCCTGTGTTGTAAAAAAAAATCAAACTAGAGTTCCTAAGCAACATTTTAAAAACGTAATATTTAAAATACACCTGAAAACAGAGCCTGTTAATCTGTGATCTCACCATAAGATTCCCAAAGCATTGCATTATAAAGATTTATCTATGGAGAGTGTATGTGGTATTATAAAGTAATGGATGGTAACCTAAAGAAAAAATATGTCTTACGGTGACATTCCACTACATGTGCAGCCACAATCTTTAAAATGTTACAGAAAGTCATAATGGAATTATTCACTATAGAGTATTAATTAAGTTACAAAATTAAGTGAGTACCCATAGTACCTTTTTTTTATTTTTTAACGTCTGGAAAATGCTGATAAATAGGCAAGTTGCTGAAAACTAATAATTACCTATCGACTCGGATGTCTCTAACTTTGTGTAAAATATTACGTTTATAGAAATGGAGTCTGATATTTGCATCTATAAAAATAGAATACATACTTAGATTTTGAGAAATTACTAAATTTTGTAACTATGAAATTATCTATAATAATCAAAATATTGAAACGAAATGAAACGAAACAAAATAAAACATATAATATAATGATCCGATATGAAAATAAATAAAATGATATTTATTTGCTGTGGATGTGGTACACAATGGGATGGAATTATTGATAATAAGTAGCTTGCCAGCCAGTTTTTTTTTAATATACTTTTTTTTTATACAACTTAGAATGGTAAACAAGCTGACGGCCCACCTGATGGAAACGGGTAACCGTAGCCTATAGAAATGAGCAGTATCATGGACATAACAGAGTATACTGTTTCGCCCATGATACCCCCCATGCGTTGCCATACCTGAGGACTCGGGTGTTATCCCTCTGTACCCAGTAAATTCACGCCATATTCTACCCTTCAAAACGAAACACAGCTATGCAAACACAACTGCTTCACGGTTGAAACACGAATGGGACAGAGGTACCCAAGCAATCGACTTTTGTACAAAGTCTCCCTCTGGTCTAAAGGATGCATCTTTCGGATGCAACATTTTTATAGGTATATAACTTATAATATTCTGTCCATCTATTATTTGGTATTTATTTATCAATTAATGGTTCATTATATTTCTAAGGTTTTATTCATTGCACCTATTGTGCATAAATAAATCAATAATTTAAAATATTGTTCTTTATTTATATGAACATTCACTCACTTGATTATGTGCTGCTACATTCATTAAAACTGTCGAAACATAGGATAAAATAATAACTACAACGCCCACAATAGATATTCTTGTCGCAAAGAATCGTAGTCCTTCCAAGAATACATCATCTTCTGGTGATCCATTTTTCAAAGAAATTCCGTAGTCCACCATATTTTGAGATAGATTTGAGAACAAGATCATGGTAACTGGCATCATACACCCGCTTGCAACTGAACATAATAGTGCTGTTACTATGTAAATGATATCTTTAGTGCCTGCGAATCTGTACTGTAAGTAAATTAAATATATATATATATACATACATATACATATCTGTCACGCCTGTCTCCCATTAGGGTAGGCAGAAACAATGGAACGCCAAATGCTTCGATTCAAACAAACCTCTTTCGCTTCTTCCACATTCATCAATCTTGTCATACACGCTCGTCGGTTACGGGTACTTTTAATTTGGCCCTTCTTCAGCACGTCGCCTATTTGGTCGACATACGTCCGTCTAGGGCGGCCCCTACCGACATCTCCATTCATTCTTGCTCGATAAATCTCTTTCGTAATTCTTCTTTCATCCATCCTCTCCAAATGACCAAACCAACGCAACATTCCTTTTTCGATTTTGGTCACTACATCGACTTTCAGTCCACACTTCTCTCTAATCACACTGTTTCTTACTCTATCTTTTAAAGTAATACCACACATACTTCTCAAAGCTCTCATCTGTACAGCATTTATCTTACTTTCATGCTTCTTCTGCCATACCCACGATTCGCTTCCATACATGAGTGTTGGTGTCAGTACTCCTTGAATTATAGCAAGGCGAGCTTTGCTCGATACATTTTTACTTGACATAATCGAGAGCAGTGCACCGTTAACACTGTTTCCCGCTTTAACTCTCCTCTCAATATCTCTTTCACACTTCCCATCCCTCGTAAACAAAGAACCTAAATATAGAAACTCACTCACTTGCTCCACTTTTTCATCTCCTATCATAATCTGGCATGCCGTTAAACTTTCATTCCTCTCAAAAACCATTACCTTCGTCTTCTTCGCATTTATTTTCATACCTTTTCTTGCATACGCTTCATTCATTATAGTCACCATTTGTTGTAATTCATACTCCGACGATGCAAAAAGTACTTGGTCGTCGGCGTATAAAAGAGTCTTAAACAGAGACTCATTCATCCTGAATCCACAATTAGATCCTTTCAAATCGGTCAAGCAACTGTCCATAAATAGGTTGAACAGCCAAGGAGACGCTACACAGCCCTGTCTAACACCGCGTTCAATGCCAAACCAGTCTGTATAGACTCCATTTATTCTGACACAGGCATTTGAATCCTTATATAAAGATTTGAATGCCCGTATCAAATGGCTGCTCACCCCATACATTGCCAGTGTTGACCACAGTTCATTCCTCTCCACTCTATCATAAGCCTTTTCAAGGTCAATGAAGGCGCAGAAAACCTTCTGATGTTGAGCTAAGGTTTTCTCTGTTATGCACCTTAAGGAAAAGACTTGATCCGTACATCCCATACCCTTTCGAAACCCTGCTTGCACATCCCAAATTTTACTTTCCATCTCATTCATCACTCTTTTAATCAAAATCCTAGCATACAATTTGCCTACAACACTAAGAAGGCTTATTCCGCGGAAATTTTTGCACTCCTGCTGTGACCCGCTGCCTTTATATAGTGGCACAATAACAGCTTTGCTCCAGTCACCTGGAACACAACCGGACCGCCAACATTTATTGAACAGCAGACACAGCAGGTTTACAATGATTTCTCCACCTTCTTTAAGCATTTCGGCAGATATTCTATCGAATCCCGCTGCTTTACCAAATTTCATAATCTTCATTGCATTCATTACTTCATCCATACTTATATCACTTTCACTGTCAACTTCTTCGTCCATTATTTCATTTTCAACATTCTTTCTTTCACTTCCACGTTCAAATAAACTTTCAAAATATCTCTTCCAATGATCTAAGACTTCCTTTTGTTCCGTGATAACATTACCATCCATATCCCTTATCACGCCCATTTTCGGATCTCTCTTTTTACCTCTAGCTGTTCGAACTAAATGCCAGAAAAGCTTTTGATTAGCTCGAAAATTTCTAGAGAATTTCCTTTCATACTCATCCTTACATTCCTCTTTCTTTTTGCTTACTAATTCTTTAACTTTCTTTTTCATTACATCATACTTCTCTTTTGCAATTTTTTCAATGTCACTTACATTACCTTGCATTCTCTTATTAGCTCTGGTAGCTAACAAATCCATCCATGCCTTTTTCTTTAGAGCCACCATTTCTTTCACTTCGCCATCCCACCATACATTCATTCTCATCTTAACATCCTTCCTCTTACTTACACCACAAACTTGAGTAGCTATATCAAAGATTCCGCATTTAAATTCCTTCCAAAATTCTTCTATCTCATAGTTATCTTTCTTCAGTAGCTCTCTAAATCTTTCATTCAATCTTTCTTGATACTGATTTCGAACCTGTTCTTCTGTCAGTCTCTCTACTCTTACTCTTTCTATTTCTGACATACGAACACGTGGACGATGTCGCCATTTATTGAATAAGCCACCTATTCTCGATATCACCAAAAAGTGATCAGTTCCGACATTCGTACCACGATAGACTCTTGTATCCTTCACTTTCGCTCTCAATCGTTCATCCACAATTACAAAATCAATCATACTTCTCTCGGTTTGCCTTTGCCATGTATACATATGAATCAGTTTGTGACTAAACAAAGTATTAGTCACCACCAGATTTCTCTCCAGGCATACTTCTAATAAACTTTCACCATTTTCATTCACTCTTTTATCTCCAAACATTCCTAAGTTCCTTTCATATCCATCGCGACGGATTCCCACCCAGCCATTAAAATCACCTATCAAAATAATTCTTTCATTCTCCTTACATTTAGTCATAATCTCCCTTACACTATCCCAGAAATCCTCCCTGACCTTTGGTGGCTTGGACATATCCGGGGCATAAGCGCAAAGGAGAAAAATACGGGTCAAACCAACTTTCAGTCGTATCCAGAGGAGTCTAGGACTTACAAATTCAAATTCTTTAACAGATGCATTCATTCTCTCTGACAAAATAACTCCCACTCCTTGGCTGCTTCTTTCAGAGTCATTAACTCCGGACCAGTACCCAGTATATCGGTCATAAGTAGTAATAGAGCAGCCTTTCTTTTTTGTTTCACTTACTCCTAATACATCAATTCTTCTTTCACTCATCATCTCACATACTTCGTCTATTTTACTATCCATACCTCCACAAACATTCATCGTTGCAATTTGGCATTCCTTTGCCCTCTTTTTGCCATTTGGGGATACAGGGGAGACATGACGTGACCCGTGGCATAACGCATCGCCGTCGATGAGAAATTTGTCCCCCCCAGATACGATGGGAATATATATATCTTGTTACTTATCTACCTTTTAGATATTAAAGGTTAAAACATTCTTGAAAGTTTGTTTTGTACCTCTTATCTTCAACCGATTATTATGAAAAATATACATAGCAGTAGCTGGTATTTAAGATGAAAAAGGACATAGAAGTCTGTGTTAGCCTTTTAGGGTTGTAAATTACTAATACCTATGTGACAAATTTAACAAAACCAATTCAGGCTTTAAGTTTAAATATTAATGTATTTATAAAAAAAAAAAAATAACACCACTTTAGAATAGGCAAAGATGGAAGAAGTAATACGAGTATACACAAAAAACAATTAATGAGAATATTCTATTTTTGAACTCGCTAAAAAGTATTACAATTAGAATATACAGTAATAGACTACTGCAACATGGATAGCTATTACTTTAACAATTCTTTATTTAAAAAAAAAAAACAATTGTGCCAATAAACGTTTAAGCATTATATAAATATTTGCTCGAATGCGTAAATATTGATAAACACTTATATCAGCAATAATTATAAAACTCTCAAGCCTCTACCATTTATCTTGTTACCCTTGAGAAAAATGTTTTATGTCCTAGTAATTAAACTTGAAACTATCTAAATACATTTAGATATTCCAATGTAGTAGTGTAGATACCTAACCTAGGAAGTTTGGTTCAAAAATAAATCATAATATACTAGATTGTTATTATTACTAAAGGATAATTTAATTTCAATTTATACGAGTTATATAAAAAATCTGCATTTTTATAACTAAATCATACTAATCTTTATAATAAGAGGGAAGAGATTGTGAATATGCTAGTCTCTATTGCTACATACAATACAATCTCTAAATCGTCTCATATACGAGTACTTACCAAGGTAAAAAAAGATATACTTGACACTTCCGCTTCCACGTCATCATGTTTTCTAAAATAAATTTATTGCTTATTAGTAATTAGGTCTTAATTACTTAAAATAAGTTATTATGTAATTATAGTTTTAAAAAAGCAATTTTGGTAATTAACTTAAGTGATGAACGAACACACCAAACAAGCACAATTTTTTTCTTTAGAAATCATAAGAATATTTTTCACAAAACTTTTTAATTATAAACTAAGAATAACTCGTTTAATAAAATGTTTCTATAGCCATTATTTTACTTCAACTTTTAGTTAATTTGAAGTTTTGTTATACACTAGCTTCTTACTCGCTATATCCTACGTAAAAATCAATTAAATAAATCGCTTTTAGATGGTGTATCAAAATAAAATATGCACTAAATTTTAAGTAAAATTTTCAGAAAAGCAGCTCCAATCTGATGCAATAGTTGTAAGTTTATTAGACAGATAATTTTTACAAAAATTATTGTTTTAGGAGGTATTGATTTTATTAGAATCTTTCATATTATTTTTTCTTAAATATCTCCCATATACCGATATCGTCAAGTTACAATTTTATTATATTAGTAAAATAAGATACTTATAAAACCGATTATCCTAACTATCGATACACAGCCATAAATATGTCTAGAAATCTGAGATTTGATATATACATTTATTTTATAACGCAAGCATTGTCTAAGGAAGGATTATTAAAAATTTAAATTAAAAGAGAAACACGTAACCACATAAAGTCACGCGTAACAGTTAGTTGATACACAAAGCAATGGCATGAAGTACCGTTATTTACGTAAAGATAATTGTAAATAATCTTAAAAAATACAGGAGACTATTGAAAATTATAATTAAAATACAAAGGGTACTTTAATTACGTATAATTTTTACAAGTCGTTCGAAACAAAGAAATTATTAATTCTATTATCTGTAGTTATAAAATATTAATATTTCAATCGATAAAAGTTACAATTATTTATAACTTACTTGCCCATTTTTTTGTTTAAATATTTTTTATCCTTTTTACCAATCAATACAATCTTGAACTTAATTTCTCTGCTTGCTTGTTTGCTTCTTTAATTATTTCACTGAATCTTCTCAATTCACTGTTGACACTAATTACTATTATACGAAAGGTAGACACGATTGTTTGACATACTTATCACTAATAAATTTTCACAAGGAAAATTTGCTTTATATATACATATTACATATTTTTTAATTTTAAAATTACATTATTGTTGCACAACTAGTTGTCAATGTGTTTTAATATTTATTGTTACATTGAAATGTATGTAAGTATTGCATTAGTACTCGTCTATAAATCTCAACTACGGGCTTATGAAGACTTATTTAAATAAGATAATTTTATCATTATGAAATAAAGATATAAAACACGTAACATATATTTAAATAATGCCTGTGAATTCGTCTCTATAGAACCTGTTTAGTCCCCGATTTTCGACATTCCCGAGGGAATTTTCTCGAATGAAATTGAAACATTACCTATGGAATCCAACTACATATTTCAGTTTCGTAAATAGGTTTTTTCTACTGTATGATATTGAAACGATAACCTCGCCAGCGCTATCAGTATACGCTGACAGAACACCGATAATAAATGACAGGTAAGGATGATAGCAGATCAGATGGTCCATCGTAAAGAGTTCATTAGGATAAACCACGATGGTTTCCAGGGGGAACCGCGTGGAGGTCGACCTGACAGGATATATTGCTAGCAATGGAGCCTTATTCGACATTACTAACAATCCCTTCTTCCCCATCGTAGTTAAATTACCTAGGCCCTTCTTTAAATGGAGTCTGCAATTAATCAATAAGCGATATTCTATATTGAACGACGAGTTATAAAAGGATTACTTAAAAAGGTGAATGTATGTGAGGATAGTTGTTACTCCCTGATACTATTGTATACTGCTTTTTTTATGTGTGAAAATGGAATGGTTACCCTGTCTGCGCTAGCGGGATACGCTGGCGGGACACCAGTGAAGGGTGATCGATGAGAATGAAAACAGGTCAGTTAGCCCATCATGATGAATTCATCAGGAATTAACCATGATAGTTTCCAGGGGAAACCGCGAGGAGGTCGACCTGGTTGGGTATATTGCTAGCAATGGGATTCTTAGACTCCATTACTAACAATCCCTTTCCCCCCAATTGTGTACTTTTTACCTATCTTATAAGGAAACTGATACGGAAATGTAGATAGTTAGTTGAGTCGAGTTATAGCCACATAACAGTGATCACTGGGGCCAAGGAATTGTTAGTAATATGGACTATCAGCCCCATTACTAGCAATATAACTTGTCAGGTCGACCTTCAAGTAGCGCCCCCCCCCCCTGGAAATCATTCTAAATTCCAGGTGTATTCATCACGATGAGCTAACTGACCTGCTTTATCATCCTCATCTATCATCCCTCACTGGTGCCCCGCTAGCGTATACCGTTAACGCAGGCGGAGTTACCATGTTCATTATCATCCGTAAAAACAAAAAAAAAACAGTGATCATTTGAGCTATCCGTGTTGAATTTTTATCTACCTACTTTATCCCTAGTAAAACAAAGATTTTAAGATTAGGTAGATATTTATCTTGTTACAGAATCAAAACTATGTATGTACGAATATAAATAGATATTATTATATTTAGAAACGTATACGAGTATATACAGTGTGAAATAAACACACATTTATATATGAAAAAAGGTGTCTTATTCCCACGGGACTTTAATTCATTAATTTCATTATCGCATTAAAGTGCGAACACGTAGAGAACACTTATTTGACGTTAAGGAGAACAGAGTTGCATAAGCAAGCTCTCTCCTCTCTCTTGCATTGAAACTACTTAATGATGCTTTGAGCTAGTATTCACTATTAGACGTATTTGCCTCCAACTTGCTGGAAGTTCATCAAATGACGACAGAGTGTTCATGTTAAGATATTCAAGATATAAATGTTGTTTCTATGTTATTTTCTGTTGTTGTGTGTTTGTATGGTATTTTAATTCTATTAATGTTATTCTTTTATTATAATAAATAATAAATTTACAATTATTTATTATTATTATTGATACAATTTTCGGTTTTATGCGTATGTCTTCACGAAGCGCTTTTACATTAGTTAACGATGTCATTATAACAAGTTTGTTTCCGTAAAATTGGCTCACTGATCTATATTTGTAAATCACCGTGTCTTGGTAATCTCTTATGGACTCCCGCGATAAAGCTTCGCCTAGTGCGGGGTCCAATGTACTCACATTGTAAATTTTCTGTGATAAATGTATAAATAATTTATTTATTTATAGTAAATAAGTAAGTAAATAAATAAATTGTACTGATGCTTTGTTAGAGCTGAGCGTAAATCTTATCGAATTAATCAAATAAAGAAATGAGTCTATCATAAATAAGGTCTGCTGATATCCAATAGAAGTTCAAATAAAAAATCTTTTGATTGAATATTTTGATCTTTAATTAATCTCTTTTAGAATGCTTTTCTTTAATAATTTCAATAAAACTATTTAGTTCTATTGAAACAGATTTTATTATATTTACTCGCACATTTTACAATTTCCATTAATTTTCAATTGACTGATAATAGTTTATCGGACAAAGAAACATTATTTACAAATCTATTCATTCACGTTATAATATTATGTAGATATTGTATACATTGTAAATACCTTTATATAAAAACTTCATAAGAAACATTTTAAAAAGAAAAAGAGATGGCAAAAGAAGAAGAAGACTATGGAATAACTACATGAAACAAAAGAAAAGCTATGTGTTATATCGTATAGGGAGGTCAAGAAGCTTCGGATAGAGCCAAATGGAGAAGAGTTCACAAATTACTTGTTTTGACAAGAAGTAACTCTTAAATAAAAAAAAATTGATTTGTATAAATTAGTCCTCAGTACTACCTAAGAAATGTACCCTGTTTTTTTTTCATGGATGAAAATGGAATGGTAACCCCACCCGTACTATCGGTATACACCGGCGGGGCACCAGTGAAGGATGATAAATGAGGATGAAGTAGGTCAGTTAGCCCATCGTGACGAATTCAACAAGAATTGTTCACGATGGTTTCCAGGGGGAACCACGTGGAGGTCGACCTAATAGGGCATATTTCTAACAATGGGGCTATCAAACTTCATTACTAACAATCCCTTTCCCCCCAATGTACCCTATTTACAACCATCGGCTTGATTGCTATTCAAAACTACATAAAAAATAACGGTTTCTAACTCCAATTAATTTGCTACTATTGTAATGAGTTTCAGTACTCGTTGTAGTAAGTATTTGCACGTCTTTTGGTCTGAAAATTATTTCACCCGTACCACTTTTTCATTACATACATATCATATTACATTTACACGCCTAAGAGGCACGATGTATTTAAGAATGAAATAAATAAGGATATCATTGTTGACAAAATAGACATATTTTCATTTATGAACAGATTTTTCTATTTCCAATTAATTATCTATTTATTAATTTATTTTATACAAAATTATTGCCGTGTGGTCCCAGCATGGAATAGGCCACTCCTTCCTTTACCGTGAGTGTCATAAGAGGCAACTAAGAGAGGGCAAGGGAAGGGCAGCAACGTCCCTCTTAAAACATCTCTAAAGCCTAACTGCGGTTGCCAATCCCCCTGTCAAGGGTAGCAACTGCTGGAAGACACCCCCAAAGGGGGAAGCTTATGTTCAGCAGTTGACAGTTAAAGACTGAATGGATAATAATGAATACAAATGTATCCAAAATACACAGTACAGGAATGATATCAGACATAGTTTGTGTGAAACTGCTTTAAGCAGTTATTAATGATCCGTTCGTGTCATAAGTGTAAAGTTGCAAGTTATAAGTAAATTTAATATTCACTTATAACCTTCATCCTTTCCTTCCCCGTGGATGTAGTAAGAGAGTTTGATGGTCCAGAGATAAGCTGCGTTGTCCCTTTTAAAATATCACTAAAGCCTAACTCAGGGTTGCCTTCTCGCCTGCTAAATGTAGCGAGTACTCGTAAAACCCTTTTAAAACGTCACTAAATCGCAAGATTTTTTTAATAAGTGATAATGGAATGATATCATCGCCGACGCTATCGATATACACTGGCAGGGCGCTATGATAGGTGATGATGAGAACAGGTCACTTAACATATCGTGCGAATTCCACAAGAGTTAATCAAGATTGTTGTCAGGGGGAGATGAGTGGAAGTTGATCTAATAGAGTATACTACTAACAATGACGTTTTTAGATCCCCATTCAAATTCAAATTCAAAAATCATTTATTCATGTAGGACATTTTAGCCGCTTATGAACGTCAAATTTTTACATTATAATTTTATATTTACCCTACCGTCCAGTTCGGTATATAGATCCAATTGAGAAGAACTGGCAAGAAACTCAATTGAATTACTTTTTTTTTTAAAGCCAGTTTATTTACAATGTATATTTATATAGGTGTCTATGTCTAACATTAAATGAAAATTCAGTGCATGAACAACTATTGCCATGCACACTCGTCATTCAAGTAATCGTTTAGTGAGTAATAGGCTTTGCTCAGTAAATATGATTTAACAGATGTTTTGAATTTATTTAAGGGTAATTCCAACATATCCTTTGGTATCTTATTGTAAATTTTTATACCTATTCCCATAAAAGACCTATTAACTTTTTCTAAACGATACTTGGGGACAGCAAGTTTGTCTTTAAATCTAGTATTAATATTATGAATATTGCTGTTTTTTGGAAATAAGTCAAGATTTTTATGAACATATAGAATATTTGAATATATAAATTGAGAAGCAACGGTGAGAATATTTGCCTCTTTGAATTTCTCTCTTAATGAGTCACGACTCTTCATACAGTAGATCGCTCGAACGGCACGTTTTTGTAATATGAATATATTCTTAATATCTGCCGCTTTTCCCCATAGTAATATTCCATAAGAGAGTAAACTATGAAAATAACTAAAATAGACTAATCTAGCAGTATCAGTATCAGTGTACTGTCTAACTTTACGCACGGCAAAAGCTGCTGAACTTAGTTTCGCTGCAAGGCTTTGAATTTGTGCACCCCATTGTGTTTTATTATCTAGTGTGATTCCTAGAAAGACAGTAGATTCTATAAATTCGAGAGATTCGTCATTTAATTTAATATTGCAATTAGTATTAAAACTTTTAGATAGAGAGAAATTAACACATTTTGTTTTTTTAGCGTTTAACATAAGATTGTTAGTTGTAAACCAGTGCAGGAGACGCCGCAAAGCACTATTTACATCGTCATAATTATTAGTCATTCTATTAACTTTAAAAATCAATGAAGTATCGTCTGCAAACAATACTATGCCGCATCTATCCTGCATGGCATATGGGAGATCATTAATGTAAACTAGGAATAAAAATGGACCGAGAATAGATCCTTGAGGTACACCCATTTGCACAAGTGACCCGTCAGACGTAGCGTTGCTAATCTTCACTTTCTGTATTCTATCAGATAGATAAGATTTTATTAAATTTAAAGCATTGTCTTTGACGCCATAAAAAGCAAGTTTTTTTAGCAATGTATTATGATCAACGCAATCAAAAGCCTTAGAAAGGTCACAAAAAACACCTATCACATCCATTTTAGTTTCCCATGCAGCAAATACGTGTCTAAGCAACTCTGCACCTGCGTCTGTAGTTGAACGACCTTTGGAAAAACCGAATTGACTATTGTGGATTAAATTATTTAAATTGAAATAACTGACAAGTTGCATAAGGATTATTTTTTCAAAAATTTTACTGAGTGCTGGGAGTATGGATATAGGTCTATAATATATTGGGTCACTCCTATCTCCAGATTTAAAAAGCGGTATGATTTTACTAATTTTCATTATGTTAGGAAATTTACCTTCATCTATACATTTATTGAAAATAAAAGCAAGAGAGGGCGCAATAATTTCCATTATACTATCCAGTATTTTAACAGATATACCCCATAGATCCTCTGTTTTTTTATTATTAAGTTGTTTGAATATTTTCATTATTTCTACTGATGATGTATGTCTAAAGTTAAATTACTTACAATGCCGTCCCTCCCCCCCCCCTCAGGATATTGTAAGAAGCGACGGATATAGAAGTGCAAGAGGTGGAAAACTCGTAATAATACTGTCCAATTCACTTGAAAGACATAGTAATAATAAATATTTTTCTTTCATAGGATAAATCCCATGCTCAACAAATAGTGGTAATGGTCAATGCGGCACTAGTATTTTGGGGGGAAAGGGACTGTTAGTAATGGAGACTGAGAATCCCATTGCTAGCAATATACCCAACCAAGTTGACCTCCTCGCGGTTCCCCCTGAAAACTATCATGGTTAATTCCTGATGAATTCATCATGATGAGCTAACGGGCCTGTTTACATTCTCATCAATCACCCTTCACTGGTGCTCCGCCAGCATATCCCGTTAGCGCATTCCATTTTCACCCATCAAAAAAAAATGCGGCACTAGTAATTCAAGTGCTGCAAGCGTTCATAGGCTGTTTGCGATCAGCTTTGCCAAATTAGGTATTTTATTGTAATTTTAAATAATATATTTTTCTTCGAGAAATTATTGGAAAAATTTAATGGGAAATTAAAAAAAATTATCCAAATTTTTTCAAACTAAATAGCAGTATATATTATATTCAATAGGATGTGCTAATGAAGCTAGCAACATGAGGAGTGTTTTTTCGTTATTTGCGTAGTGGTTACATAGCAAAGGGTAGTGAAAACCGACATAAGTTTATGATTAGGTAAAAGTGAACGAAATTGGATCAATTTGGAGACACAAAAATTGACATTTTGGTAAGAATAAAAAATATTATCTGGCCATTCTGCTATAGACGCTGGCAGATCCTACATATACTCAATCACCACTGTCTTTATATAAAAAATAATATAAAGCGCCCTATTTAAAATAATAATATGTCTCACCGTTTAATAGGACCCCTTTACAACCAAGGACGGTTTGTTGATGTTCACGTCAATATAAATTGTATTTTTACATTAAAAATAACTGTTCAAACGATCAAATATTTACACGTGATTATAGGGCGATAGGTTAGTGTTGGCATAAATACTTTTACCTCATTAATCTACTTAATGACTACCATGTCCTCATATAAGTATCTACCTATAATTATAATTAAATTATAACTTTTTAAAAATAAGGTAGGTAATACCGCCAACATCTTGGGAACATTGCCATATGGACAAAACTTATTTCATTTTATCTAATTTAATTAATTATATCCACTTTTTCGTTTTTTGATTTGTCGTCATTTGTTACAAATCAAATAAAAAAAAAAAGAAAATATGTCGATAGGACGTAATATACATTTACATGAGTCTCTGTATATTATGTAGCTATATTAAAACATTTTTTAAATATTAATAAGGCTGTATTCACAGTATAAAGCCACTATTAGGTCGCTTTCTATTCAATCTCGATCTGGTAAAATGTTATTACCTAAAAGACAATATTAAGTTTCTCTGCTTAATAATAAGAAACCAAAATAAGGATATACGCAGAAGAACCTATGTAACCAACATAACCTGAAGGACAAGCAAGTTAAAGTGGCAATGAGCTGGTCATATAGCTTGAAGAACCGACAACCGAAGAAAGAGTCTTGAATAGCAACCTTATATGCGCAAAAACAATGAAGGACAATACGCCATTAGATGGCGTGACTACCTCAAATGCGTTGCGGGAAGTTGCTGAATGTATGACATGAGGCCTATTTTCAACAGTGGACGTATAATAGCTGATATGATGATGATGATGAGACAATGAGGTCGATTCTAAGGCGTTATTTTTTAAACGAATTCTATATTGTACTTAAAATCAATATGAACTAATTTTGTAATATAATAGATTCAAGACAAAGCTATTATAATTTTAGAGAAATGGATTCCCAGAATCGGCCATTTTATGTGACTTCATAATACAACAGTCTCACTCCGGTCTATTCGCCTATGACACCCCCCATATGTTGCCATTCCTGAAGACTCGGGTGTTATTTCACTGTACCCTGTAAATTCGTTGCCTGTGATTCCACCTTTCAAACCGAAACACAGTCAAGCAAGCACTACTGCTTCACGGTAAAAACACGAACGAGACAGAAGCAAACGACTTTTGTACAAAGTCTTCCTCTGGTAAAATTGCGCCGCGTTGCTTTGATACAGCAAAATTTTCGTAGAGTTGAATGTGTTTCACGTAGAGTATATAATCGATTAGTTCCATGTTTTTTTTTAATAAATGATAATGGAATGGCAATCCCGTCCGCGCTAACGATATACATTGACGGGACACCAATTAGGGATACTAGGTGATAACGAAAAGGCAGATGAATGTCGACCTGATAGGGTATATTGCTAGCAATGGGACTAATAGTCCCCATTCCCCCAATTACTTCCATGTTAGGTGTCACGTCTGTGGGACATCTGGAAGAGAATAGTCGATTACAGATCATAGAGAAACTATAGTAACATTATCGTCAAGGGAGGTCCGTGGCTACTATGTGGGCCGGTGCTGGCAGGGAGCCGGTTTAATTCCTTGCCCTCAGATATGTTGAAGCGTAAAGCAATCATATAACATATGGTAAAATAATGTCAAATATGTCAAGACACTATCATCAAAAAAAAAATAGATATCATAATCGAAACTATACCATTCTGTATTAGAGTTTATATTCATGCATAGGCTTAGTATAACTACTAAGGTTTCATGTACTATATCCATTTGATGATAAAAAAAAAACAAAACATATAGGATTTGCTTTAAATTAACAACCAACCTCTGTAGACATAAACAATACTCTGACACTATAATGAAAATACCTACACTGTACAGCCATAGTAAGTCTGAATAGAACTAAGGCGGTTTCTCTCCAAAATTATAGGCATGTAAGCGTAGCTCCTTGGCAAACAAATGTATTAGTGAGATAAAAGTGCATACAACTTTTAGTCAAACTGTCTTTCACATAGTAACGGTACTGATTATCACTGTTGTCATAAAAAGCCTTTATGATCCCATTAATATTATAAATACATATATTGTAAATAAGAAAGTTTGTAAAGTTGTTTTGATTTTCGTATGTTACACAATCAAGTTCAAACGGCATAACAGATTTGAATTAGATTTGGTTCATACGTATATAATGTTACCTTATATAATGTTGCATGCAGGCAAAGTGACGAGAAACAGCTAGTAATAATAAAAATGTAACAATGGTTTATTTTTAAGGTACAGAAAAACTATTTTATTTATTTAAATAATATATCTATATTTATATTAATATATTTTAATTTATAGTTTGTAACAATATGATAGTGTATGTTACTACTACAGAAGCAACAGATAAAAGCATAGAGTAGTTTAGACGAAAAAAATTTGCAATATTAAAATAGATAGGGCGCGATCGTATTAGGTCCCGAAGTTCAGTTACGGTGTCTCGTAATTCTTCGTCTGTAATGCAAAGACCAACCATAAATATTGTTAATAATATTATTCTTATTAATTTTCTTTTTATTTATTCAATACTTATTCTTCTCATTCTTATTTATTTACTCATATTAATTGTATTACAAAAATTATAAATAAATATTACATTATAAATTCGAAAGTTTGTGAGGATGAATGATTATTAGACTTTCACGCACTAACTACTGAATGAATTTAAACTCCCATGTAGTCCCGGTATAAAATAAAGCACTTCCTTTTCTGTATATGTTGTAAGAGACAACTAAGGAAGGGCGTGAGGTGGACAGCAACGTCCCCTTTTAAACATCTCCAAAGTCATCTGCGGTTGCCAATCCGCTTGCCAAACATGGCAACTACTGGCAAAACCCCTCAAGGGGGAGGCTTATGTTCAGCAGTGGTCAGTTAAAGGCTAATATGGTGATGTATTTAAATGAAATTTGGTACACGGATAGGATATATCCCAACTAACAAACAATACTTTATATATTGTTTCACGCGAGTGAAGCGGTGGGATAGAGCTAGTATTGTATACACGAGTAGTACAACTATACAAACATTAGTAGGCGAGTAGATAGGAATTAGTAGAACTATTTTCTTACGTACTTCGTACGTTATTCATTCCGTTTTCCTTCAAATGAACGGTCAGCTTGCTTGACATTTCATGTTGCATAAAAAACTATTAATAGATACTTTACCTGGTTGCCTATTGATAAGAATATGGTCAGCGATGTTAAGTATGTTGTCGGTTTGTCGATGGACTTTCTCGCAGTTGTCTACCAAATTCACTAATATCACCACACACATGAGCAGACGTAGCAGACTACATACCGCTGGAAAGTAACCAGCGTCGTAGGTGGTATGCTTCATAGAAAAAAAAAGTCATATGTAGTTCATTTTAAGCTTTTGCATTATTTACACATATTTTAAATACACTATCGGGACTTAACGCGATGGCATTTTTTTTATAGATAAATAGTATCTACACACCTGCTTCTTTATTGCCGAGGTTTCGACTTGGATTGCACCTCGTCGTGGCCAGGACAGGACCGAAGTATATAAATATTATTTACCTGCACAATATCGCGTTAAGTCACAATAATGGATTAAAAATATTTGTTACGTATAAATTAAGCATTTCTCGAAGTTTAGCATACATGAATTTGCTTACAAATAGTATATAAGGAAATTCTTGTATATAATTCCGATCGATTGCTATTGGAATATATCGCGTAGAGCACGCTCGAATTGCAGATACCTGTATTAGTACAATAACTAGTTTTTTACCATTCAATTTTCACAGAATTAATTAATTGCTCAATACCATGATAACTGATAGGATGGACCGTAAACTATTAGATTACATACGTACTAGATAATCTGTTCAAATACGCAAGTCTCTGCAATTTAGTATCTAGATACTAAATTGCATCTAGTATCCGTAAATCTCTAGATACTTACGGATATTAGCTTGTACAATGCCCTTCATGATGATGAAGATCAGAACGACAAAGGAACATTATTAGAGAAAAGATGGTTTTACTCGGCATGATGATAACAATAATAATAATAAGTTTATTTCAAAATAAATGTTACAAACATCTTTAAACATAGGTGAAACCCTGCTCTCTAAATAGGTAAATCCTGTACTTTATGATACCGCGGAAGTACCTACACATAAATTTAAAAGCGCCCACACACAATTAGTTAGCATATATTATTATTTTGTACCGTTCCGTGCCATGCCGTGTGTGCCCCGGCATAGAATGGACTACCTCTTCCTTTCCCGTGGCTGTCGTAAGAGGCGACTAAGGGAGGGCGAGGGATAGACAGCAGCGTCCCCCTTAAAACATCTCTAAAAGCCTAACTGCGGTTACCAACCCGCCTGCTAAGCATGGCAATTACTGGTAAAACTCTTTGGGGGAAACTTTATGGAAAAAGCTTATGTTCAACAGTGAACAGTTAATGGCTGAAATAATAATAATAATTATTATTATTTTGCCCACCTAGACATCCTCTGTCATATCATATGTATTGCTTTTCGTAATAGTAAAAACATATAACATCGGTACGTTTTACAATAAATTAATAATATTCATAGCAACGTCCTATGGGGTTTGAGTATAATTAATATAGTATAAATAAATACCTAAGTTCCGTTTTGTTAATTACTATCTAGTACCGTATGCTCCCGACATATAATAGGCCATCCCTTATTCTTTCGTGGCTATCGTAAGAAGAGGTTAAGAGAACTTAATGTTCGAGGGATGGGCAGCACCGTCCTTCTTGAATCATCACCAAAATCTAACTGCGCTTGCCAATCCAAAAACGGCGGCAAAACCCCCCATAAAGGGGAGGCCTATGTTCAGCAGTGAACAGTTAAAGACTGATATGATACGAATAGGTACGCATTGTTATGGAATGTTCCAACAGAATTTAATGAAAATGTAAACAAATGAATAAATGACTCGACCATGTAGGTATGAGACAGTCTTAATATGCAATGAATAAAATATCGACTAATTGATTGAATATTTCCACTTGTTAGTAATTTCATTTAGATAATGTATCTGTGATAATTTTAATAAATAACTTACTAGTATATTAAAAAAAATGAGTTTTTCATTTTTGTCTATTGAAATATTATATTTACTTAACAGTGGGAATATTCTATTTCTTACCTGAGATCCAATTAACATTCTGACTGCGAGATTCAAAAATCTTATCATATCAATAAGTAAACTTAGGCTATTTAATAGAAACTGGAAGAAAAAAAAATTAGATATAGTTAGATTCCTGTATTGCAAAATTTTCTAGATAGTTAGGTGTATTTATCCATATGATTAAAATTATTTTGTACAATTTATTTTATTTTGTTATTTGGGTGTCGAACGATTAATACTAGGCTCCAAGCAGTGATCTATTAATTTTCCAGATAATGCCTCGTTTAGAGGTAAACGTGCTTGGACAAAGCGGTAGTCGGACATCGATGGCTAATGTGCAAAGTTGCAGAACTTTCGTTTATAATAATAGTAGTCAATCTTCGAGTATCAGCGGTCGCACACATTGGTACTGATGATAGTGGAATAAAAAAAAACAGCAATAATAGACTTCCACCAAAAAACATCTAGTTCTTTAAAGTATTTCTATGTAAGTGTAATAAAATATAATAGATTAAGCATACAAGAAACTCAATTTCTTATATTTATTTCATAATCGCTCACCCGAATCCCAAACATGTTGTTGATGAACGTAGATTGTTCTATGAGCATCAAGTAACATCTACATAACCATTTTACTTCGTGATCGCTGCTACACAATGGCTTTATTATCAGATTTTTTTTCGTTAGCAATTTATTAACTCGTGAGCATGCATCAGAATAAAACCAGTTCAGATTATTCAATAAATCACTTTCTACTCCCGGTAAAGGTTCAAGTGAAGCATATTTATGTTGAAGTAAATCACAAATGCTTCGCAACCGACATTCAATCTGCATAGCATGTGCAGATAAATCCAATGTAGTTAAAATTTTTATCAAGAGAAAAATGTACGCGACGGAATACATTATTGGTGTTAACCAACCGAAACTCAAAACCCAAGCCGCAAAGTCACAAGCTGAAGTTATAAACCAACTGAACAGAAAGAAGACAATACTTTTCATTATTCTTTTTTTAATTGCAGGATAATTTGTAACGCCGAGAATTTTATCAATATTTCCATATTGTTTATAATATTCAATGCTCACGTTTCTTCCGTATTTGTATGCGTTGTAGACATCAACTAAATATTGAAAATAATCGAATACCATTTGCACTAAGTCAGTAAATTTAATTGAAGCATTTATTTGACTATATACATTGATCACTTTATAATACAGAGTGAAAAAATTTATTACACCCAAAACGGTGACTGTTAACGCATATTTGAAAAGTATACAAAAATTATCTAAGGACGTATTAATCTGCAAATTGCAATTCAGAGAAAATATCTTCAGTAAAGTATTCAAAGGACCCAGTACGTTGAATGCATATTGCCCGTTATCGACTTTTTTAGATATCATCACGTCACGTATTTGATTACGTCGGACATTCAATTTTATAGAAGCGCACATAGAGCTACTGTTCGTTTATGACTGAGTGGAGCAGGCAATTTATAAGTGTGGTGTTGTAGCTATGTCACTACCTAGTGGAAGTCTGATTAATTATACATGACAATCATATTTGAACGGTTTGCTACACTCACGATAATAGTTGGTAATAATTTAACAGTGTTCCCACGTATTCGATTAGTAATTAATTATTAGGTGTACAAGTTTATTACGATATTAAACTAGTAGGTAACTATTGGTATAAGTGAATTGTATTACCTACTAGATACTAGTTGTAAATGTAACGTCGTTTACAGGTGCTTATAATTTTCAATACTAAAAAATATTTTTAATAATCAGACACTTATTTATTTATTATTGTTTTAAATGAAACAGGCCAGGTGCGAGTTGACCTCACACGTCGAGAGTTTCGTACATAAATATATACATAATTATGCGATAAAATGCATTTCTCATACAAAATATTCATATTACAATTGATCATTTTTGTTAATCGGTAAAAATTAGACTAATTAACTACATTTGGTTTTTAAAAAGTTTTTTTATTAATTTCTCATAATCAGTTTCAAAATAAGTACCTACAACATGAAACCCATTAATACATATACCTATGAACTTTTATACAGATACGATTTTTCTTGGTCCTAATTATTTAGTCGTATTAATATGGATTAAATGTTATTTATTATTTAGGTATCAAATAACTTCATTTTAACTTCTTGTAGTGTATCATTTTGTCTGTAAGTATAGTTAAGGTGACCAACAATTTTTTGTTCAAAAAGAGTACACTTTACAAGTATTTCATAGGTAAAAACAGAAAAAACGATAAAAACTTTATTCTCTTTTAAAAACATATTTTTCTTCGGAGTGGAGTTTTTTGCTAAATGAGGATGTTCGTCTAATAATGTAGCCACATCCGAACAACTTTCATTTTGCATATTAAATTTGACTGTTAAGACGGCTGACAATGTTTTTACAGAAAGTTGCGATTTCTCACTGCTCCAATAATCATTCTCTTGTGAAAATACCCTTTCAACAGCATTAGTGTCTGGACAACATAAGGAAATTTCTATTAAAACTTTTAAATTTTCATGTGGGACATGTTCTACTCTAAAATGCCGAAAGATTTCTACCCATCTTTTGTCAAGTTCTTTTTTCTCATTGTTCCATTTCTTCAGTTTTATAAAATTATACAAATGAGTACTTTCAGAGTACAAGATTTGAAAAGAGTACAGTTTGCGAAAAAAAGAGTACAAAACACAGTAAATGAGTATAGTTGGTCACCTTAGTATAGTCCTATCCCAGTAAAATTTACACTTTTAGTTCTCTAAAACAGTTTCTGGCTTATATTTATTAGTAAGGCTACTTTTTTTTCGTATAAAATCATATTTGATGAATTGTACTGCTCATGTCCATAGGCGACAGTTACCACTTTCTATCAGGTGTACCGTCAGCTTGTTTGCCATTCTAAATTGCAAAAAAATATTGAATCTACCTGATCGAGTCTATGTTTGTAGTTCGTTTGCACAATACTTTTACAGGTTACAGTTATATGCTAAATAATTTCTTCTGCACTATTGCAGTGTCTGCAGAAATCAGTGTTCTTGTCAGTGGTCTAATATGTTTTTAGTCATTCTTTCAACATATCTTTGTCAATGTATGGATGGCAAAGGTTTACCAAAGATTTGGTTTGATTTGTGTGTGTGTGTGTGTGTGTGTGTATATGTGTAAAAAATATTTTTTCTATCTTATGACGTGTAACAAGTCTTCTATACTTTCATAATTTAATGTTAGAAGCCATTTAAAGAACACATTTTTGCAGTTATAAATGTTTAGTTGTAATATGTTCATCTTTTTATTAATCTTGTTGTAAATTGATTGCCCATGATAATAGGAAAATTTTTGGATAAAAGATGTCTTACAATTTGCGTTATTAAAAACAATATCACTACGTTTTTTTTGCTACATTCATAAATGTTTGCAGATTGTTAGAATCTGCAAACATTATTGTATTTCATTCATTCATTCATTTCATTCATATTGTCTTACAATTAAAACTTTATTCTCCTGGTATAGAAGTGTAGTAGAATAAGTATATGGGCAAAAATTACTAAATTTTAGAATACATCTTTGTACTTTTTCAAGCATGAGAACGTGATTCCTAGATGCACCTCCCCAGGAATCAATACAGTACAGAATTACATAAATTGGCATATAGGTAAGTGTGGTTGATATCACTGAATAAAGATTAATTTGAGGTAAAATATGATTACAGGAAAGTCAACAATCTGTGAATACAAATATCTGGTGTGCATTTCATTCTTGCTCTTAGTGAAAAAAATCCAGTAATATTAACCGATATGCTTCTTATATTTTGTGTTACAATTTTTAATGTCTCTGAATGTGGTAATAACTTAGTACAATCTTCAGGGTGGCAAGTGTAAGATGTAAAATAGCTTATATTGTCTAAGTTATCAATTATATGTTGAATATTATTATCCATAATCGATATTAATTGTTAAATATGTACCATATTTAAAATGTTTCATTATTATTTCTGAATTGAGTCTAAATAAATGATGAACTAAATACCATTCAAACTTGCCAATAGTAATAGGTACAAACAGACCCATTGCAAGCAATATACCCTATCAGGTCGACCTCCACGCCGTTGTCCTTGAAAAAATCGTGATTAAATGTTGTTAATTTCGTCATAAGGAGTTAAGTGAGCTATCTTCATTATTATATATCATCTCACATTAGTGCCCTACCAGTGTATGTCAATAGCGCAGGCGGGGTTACCATTCCATTTTAACACATAAAAAAATAAATGTTAATTACAATCAGCTGCTGAATTTGAATGTAAATTAAATTTAAAACAAATTATGCACACAAAGTATGTAATATGTAATGTAAATTGTACGCACACTAATGTAACTATTTTCTTGCATTTATGTTTGCATTTCCAATCTGTTATTATGAAAATACGTCTATGGATACATTTTAAATTTATAATCTGTGGTAAACATCTTCTTGGTGTCTTTTTATTTATCTGCAACCAGCTGTCATTTAATGTTTTGTCGATCTATACGTCGAGCGAAATTGAGCGCATAGTTTTTCTAATCTGTGGTTAAGCAACAAACTAATGATGAGTAACGATAATGGTGAACATAGATTAGTGTTTATGTAAATATTGCGTTTTGCCTCCTGAAATTATATTTAATATTCAATATTTTGCACAATTATAATTTTACTAATTCAGTGACTTTAAATTACTACTTATTACGAATTATGTATTTAACTTTTTAATGTCTGTCGTACAAATACCAGTCTAAAATCACTTGGGTACAGTGTAACAGTCACCATTAAATGCACAAGGTATGTTAAAATATCATATTAGAATTTATTTTTAAGGACACATATCAGTATTCGTAAATTCTACTTATTTTAATACATAAGAATTCAAGTGTAATAAATCGTTTTTGTCATTCGAGCTGTTTAATGTGTAACAGAAGTAACTTTATAGCTGATTGTGAAATTCCACAATAAATATAATATAAATAGCACTTAATACTAATTATAATCACAAAGGACTACTATCAATCTCCACATTGTCTCCTGAGAAACATCATAAATAAATAAAATTGCACAAGTGATTTATGACATTTTTATTTTAATGGGTAAAAATAAAATAGTAACTGTCTTCGCTATCGGTATATGCTGGCGGGGCACCAGTGAGAAATGATATGTGAAGATGTATATCGGTCAGTTGGTCTGTCATGATGAATTGGATAATAATTAGCCACAACAGTACAAAAGAGAAAACTCTATGGAAATAATCCTAATAAGGTATTTCTAGCAAAGGACTGTTAGACCAATAAGTGCCTGTCCTACCCAAATACTGAAATGGTACAGTTTTTCTATGACTTCTAAGAATACAAGAAACTTCTCTGGATTTTTTAACAATTTTCGAGAATTCCAATTTGGTATACCTCTTTATCTATCTTTTATGGGAAATCGCTTTGTGATTTGATAATATAAATAGAGTACACATATTTATGTATCATATCAACCATTAACTGTCCCCTGCTGAACATAGGCCTCCTCCTATTAAGGGGTTTTACCAGTGGTTACCACATTTGGCAAACAGGTTGACAACCACAGTTAGGCTTTGATGTTAAATAGGAGTGCTGCTGCCTATCCATCGATTATTAAGTTCACTAGTTACCTCTTACAACACCACAGGAAAGAAAGGTATAGACCATTCTATGTCAGGACTAGTGTTTTTTTATATACCTATTTTAGATCCAAATATAACAATTGGTAATTCTACTGATTTTCTATTTTGGCATTCAAGATCACTGGTTAGACCTCATTACTAACTATTCCGATCCCCCTACACAAGGTTGCCATTCCATTTTCATACATTAAAAGAAAACCCATTAATATAGCAAATGAAAATAATGGAATCCTCTAATATCCTTATTACTAGCAATAACCTTAGAAACCATTGTGGTTAAGTCTTGTGGAGTTTCTCATGGTGATTTAACTGACCTATTAATTCATCCATCATCTCTTATTGGAATCCTGTCTTACACTAATAGCACAAACAGGGTAACAATATCATTGTTATGCATTAAAAAAACTTGTTACTATAAGAAACTTTAATACAATTTTTTGCCAGATCATTGCTTTTTCTTATTGTGGCCCTATCATCTACACTATGTCATCTGACTGTCAGTAGTTGATATTATTATATGAATGTTTTCCAGGGTTAGAACAATGGGAGGTTGTCGCTGTTCATATGGCTCATGCACTGTGAAAACTGATGGTAAAACTCACATGTTTCACTACCCAGTGTTTGACAAAGTGAGGTGCCACCAATGGTTGGTTAATGGTAATAGAACTGATTTCCTAAATTTGCGAGTGTCACAGCTCAGGAACAGAGTGGTTTGTCAACATCATTTTAAAGATGAACACTTCATGAATTATAAGGTAATAAATAATTTAAATATGGTCTATACATAAAATACATTAAGTAATATAATACATCTTTTAGTTATAAATATGAATATTTGTAAAATTATTTTAATGTATTGATGTTTTGATTTTTATTACTTAATCATTTATATCCTACATTTCATTTTACACAAATTAAAGATTATGTCTGTCATAAAGTATATACCATACTTTTATGCATATGACATAATGGATTAATAACCCATTAAACTATGGCCCTATTTTTTCTGCTGGATAAGATAGACTTTCCATAAGAAAAGTATATTAGCCTACTATTACTACTAATTCAAGTTTTCTTTCATTAGCATATGTTTTACTATTTTAGTCATCTGTAATGACATTTTATACATTTAAAGAAGTGATGTATTCTTATGATTGTATTCATGTAAATTTCTTCTGTTATTTAATAAAACTTTTTTTATAATTTCAGAAAGATAGACTGAAATGTGACGCAGTACCCACAGAAGATGGTCCTTATTGTAATCTAAAAAGTAAAGTAGAAAACCCATCTATACTATGTGATATTGCTGTTGACGATATTGAGAATGAATGTTTAACAGTTAGTGATAAAAAAGCCAATTATTCAACAAAATATGCAGATTTTTTGATGAATAATGATGTAAAAGATTCAAATGTATCTACTATTAGTACAATAAAAAAGGAAAACTTAGAACAGTCTAATAATAAGGCCATACAAAACATCATCAATATGAAGCTCCCAAATACCAGCAATATCAAGTACTGTGTTACTGATAAGTTTGGCAATATTCAAAATAATAATATTATACAAAGAGAAAATCAGAAAATAAATTTAATCAATAATTATAGTTCAGAATGTAAACAAGTACAGCCACCTAATATGATACAAAAATATCAAACTCAGTCTATGTTAACGTCGCCACTTTCCAAGAACTCTCATGAAAGTTTTATTGAAATTGATATGGCGCCCGTGAAAAATAAAAGTGTCAGTATATTAAAAGACAATAAAACTGCAGTATCAATGGTCAATCCAACGAAAAATAAAATAAAAATCATATCAGAGAAAAAAATATCAGAACCATTTCCCATTCCAAACAAATTACGGCGGATTTCTCCAACTTCAGTTATCTGTGGACCAAATACTGAAATTAGAATTCAGTCAAATGAAACAGATAATTTTAACACTGTAATATCAGATGATAAACCAGTAGAATACACTATTGAAGAAGTGGGTATGAAATTTAACGATATAAATAAGGAAGAAGGACCTCACGTTGACAATATAGCGGCACAAAAGACAAATAAAAATATAACAATTGAGAATATTGAAATTAAACAAATGTCAAATAAAACCCCTGAAAAAAGTATTCAAAACCTATGTGCGACAACATCCCCTAAAATTTCTCTTATGAAGACTAAAATACCACCAGAAAGAGTAGCAAAAATTGAGGAAAAAAGAAAGTTTAATATGAAACTAAGAGACATTATAGAATCTTGTCTTGATAAATTAGATGATCCTTATAGAATTGTTGAGGAAGTTAAACAAAAACATAATACGACGAAAGAAATAAAACAAAAGAAGGTATCTAATAATGAACCCAATCAGGATAAGGAATCTAAGATATCTAGTATGCATGAGCATTCTGTTGCAATCTTAGAAGACCGTATAAAGAAAATGGAAGAAACTTTGTTAAGAAGAATAGATCAAAATTCTGAGAAGATAAATGAATTAAAGTTTTCAATGTTACCTCACCCTTTGAATACTAAGTCTGTCACTACTCAAATTCCAGTAAATGAAGAATCGCATAAAAGACGCCTTTACCAAGAAATATCAAAATATTTAAGCCCAAATGCAAATAATATAATTTATGAAGAACTATTTTTGAGTAAATATACTCAAAAACGATTAACTTCACCGCCTTTAAAACGTCGCAAGGCTAGGTGCCTTTTGTGATAAATAGGTAATATGTAGTGTAAGGTTTTGTAATAAGTTACATATTACTATATTTTACATTATTTATTTTAAAAATTACATTTATTAAATAATTCTCACGAGAGCCTTCCCTGTATTTGCTCCCCTAAATAATCCTATGAACGCATCGGCTGTTGATTCAAACCCATCGATAATGTGTTCTCGATATTTGAGCTTTCCTTCTTGTATCCACTGTAGATTTTGTTTGATTCCTTCAGTTGTGCGATTAGCGAATCTATTCACTTGAAATCCTTCTATTTTTAACTGTTTACTTACGATTGAAGGTTGCAGTATAGTAGCTGAAAAAGTATTTAATAGGTACATTATTTATTTATTTACTAGGGATCTAAATAATATATAGCCTATTTTTCTCATTGATAATGTAGATTTCTATAGTTTAAATTAAATTAATTCGTTTTTGAGTTTATCCATTACAAACAATAAAATCTTTCCTCTTTATAATATTAATATAGAAGAACACTAAAAGCATACACTTTTATTATCTTCAAATACCTAATGTTTAAATTTTAAAGTATGGTCTTGACTTTATTGTATTTTTTTATAAGAAATACATGCCTAATTATGTTTATTATTGTCATTACAATTAGAATTTTCTTAAGTGGCCTTAATGATGGTTAAGACCGAACGTTTTGTTTTTAGATGATTTTTGTTAATTTCTCAAAACTGCTTTTTTTCCCTATAATATTGACATGTACCTTTGTGTATTACTATGTGCATCCCGCGGCTTCGCCCACATAAGTTAATACATAAAGAATCTCATGTTAGTACATGAAATACTTAGGACAATATATGTTAGGATATAATACTAACAATATAATATAGTACCAAATTTCATTTAAATATATTCAGTATATAGTTTTTGCGTGGAAGAAACACAAACATCCATTCATATATACAAACTTTCGTATTAATAATATTAAAAGGATTATTTTTGACTTTTCGTTTATTTTTCTTTTACATTTTATGTCATAAGTCGAAAACTATGACGTAAAAAATACATAAAAATACATTTGTAAATGTATAAACGAATCTCTTTCATATGATTCCCATTTTTTTTTTAATGGATAAAAATGGAATGGTCACCCCACCTGCGCTAGGATACGCTGGCAGGGCACCAGTGAGGGATGATTGGTGAGGATGAAAAGGCAGGTCAGTTAGCCCATCGTGATGAATTCATCAAAAATTAACCACGATGGTTTCCAGGAGGTACCGCGTGGAGGTCGACCTGTTAGGGTATATTGCTAGTAATGGGTCTGTTGGATCTCACTACTAACAATCCCTGTACCCCATATGATTTAGGCTAGTACACCTATTTTGAAATATCAAATATCCCTTAAGGACCCCCTAGCAAACTATTTGTTCAAACCTATTACAATATGTGGGGGACATCAATATATATAAACTTAGTTTTTTTTTTTTTGTGTAGTTTACATCAGCACGATTTTATTATAGTAGGATACTTTGACTATTTTATTTATTTATTTCACACTTTATTGCACCAAGCAAAATAATAATAATAAATACAGTAAATATTAATGAGAAGTGATACAAAAGGCGGCCTTATTACTAAGCGATCTCTTCCAGACAACCTATTTTAATAACTACTTAAAAAAATTACTCGATTACCTTTTCGATTTTCAGGTTCTGTTTCATTATAACTCGATATTGCACCGCAAACTGCCACTCTCCCAAACTGATTCATTTGCGATATTACGATACTACTTAATTCTCCGCCTACATTATCGAAGTAACAATCTACACCATTTGGTGCGTTTTCCCTAAGGAAATCTGCAATGTTCACGTTTTTGTAGTTGCCTGCAGAATCAAATCCGAGTTCACCAGTCAGCCATTTGCACTTTTCATCTGTTCCAGCAAATCCTATTACTCGACATCCTGAGAAAAAAAAACAATTGTTACTCCTAGGTACTTACATACAGATTCGCTATATATTTATTTAACTGTAGCCGGTGATCCGGGGGCCTAGCCATTTAAAAAAGATACATATGCACTCTGAGACATACATATCTTTAACCATAGCTAAAAGATCGTGGGATGGTCAATTCTGGAGTGAATACGACCCTCCCTCCCCCATTAAATACACCTATGGTGCCCTGTGGATTTTGTTTTATCCTGTGATTTAGAAAACAAAATTTTCTAATTTGACTGAGGGGGCTGGGTGTTCAGGACTGTGCCCCCAGATCGTTGCCTGGTTTCTCAACACATGTTTTTTATTTATATCACAAAGGTGGCAGACAAGCATACAGCCCATCTGATAGTAAACAGTCACTAGCCTATGGTCGCCTGCAAAACTGCACGTTCGCATTGCCGACCCAAAATAAACCTTAATATACCCTTTTTGAAGAACCCTATACTGTAGTCTCTAAGGAAACCCTTGGTAGGGTATGGTATATTAGCTTGAGGACCAAGCCGTTGTTATAATTGCGTGGTACTTACTCTCTTATTTAGTATTCGTGATATATCCTCACTGGTAACCCACTATCGTAAATCTAGAGCTCGCATAATTGTCAATCCATTTTCGTCCATTAAAAATCCACCTTTGATCCACTTCTGATTAAAAATGTTAACCGTTGCCTATAGATATTATGACCGTTTTCTGTTTAGTATTGCCTAGTATAGTATTATGTTATCTGTAGTATTTCTAAGTTAATGAATTTGCATTAGCTAAAAGTATTTATACTCAGAAAATACGATGTTACTTTGGGAAGTGCTAGTACACAGCTGCTATCTACGTATAAAGTATAAAGATTCTTTACCCAGTATCTTGGCGATTTGACCGACAGCTCCGGCAGCCCCTGACACTACCACTGTTTCTCCAGCATTTGGTTGACAGATTTGTGTAAAACCAAAATACGCGCTGTTCCTATAGAATAAATCAATATACGATACATTAAAATTACTCGTAAAGACGTGGTGAACTTAACACTAGATATGATCAGGTTTAGCCAAGTTGTGCATTTTAATGTGCTTCATCTCAGTTACTTAACATGACAAACAAACTGACGATCCTCCAGAAATATCTATTGCTATTGTCATTTCAATAAGGCAGAGTCAATATTTTTTTTTATGTTGGAAGATATCTCAGCCAATTTTGAACCGATTTTGATGATTCTTCTTAATATATATTTTTTTAATTTACGTTCCATACTAATCACCAAACCACCAAAATAGGTTTTTTTTTAAACTAATAATAATTTATAGAACTTACAAAGACATACAGATGACTCACCCCACTCTTCCACAGACGCCTAAGCCCAAGGATACAGGCAAGTTACCAAAATCCGGTAAACGATACAAATATGGCTTCTGGTTACAGAATTTTTCATCACTAGGTTTTGTGATAGTATATGTGCGCCAACCAAAATGACCCATAACCCATGAACCAACTGGATAATCTTTATTTTTACTTTCGATAACCCTAAAACAAGTAATCAGAAAATAAGCGATCAAATGTGAGATTAACTCGTGCAACAAGACTTCTTTTAATGTGAAGAAAATGGAGTAATGGTACTGTTTATGATATCAGTATAGACTTGCAGCGTATTTATCGTGTATAGGTAATAGGTCGTATATGGGTAAGTATTAATAGGTAGAAATAAAGTGGGGTAATTTGGTCCATCATGATGAATTCACCCGGATTAATATTAAATCCTTGCAAAATTCCACTTCAATCATTTCGACATACACAATGATTGTACAAGTAGGTATAGTTTAAAAATATTACAGTAATAACATCGCAGAATATACTGTGACACTCATGGCATCCCTCCCTTTTGGATGACTGCATTAGCTACATCTTACCCTTTAAATCGAAATAGGTAAAATAAGTAATAATAATAGGTAAGTGTAGGTAGTGTACTAACTTAGCTACTTGACTTCCAATCATATCACATGGGTACTTGTCGCCGAGTTTTACCCTCTGATATGGATCGACGCTTATGTATGCTGCTTTGGCCAAAAATTCTGTAAAAATATTAAGGTATTAATTAATACAATTCAACGAGTATCTCGACTGTTACAATAAGTCACAGAATAAGTAAGTATACCTATTCATCTATGAACAACATATTTTTGTTATAATATTTATAAGACCAATATAGGCCAAAACAATAATTTTTTGAAATTTTGTTTGTCTTTATGTATGCTTTTGTTTAAACAGGAGGCAGACTAGCATGCAGCTCACCTGATGGTAAGTGACAACCGTCGCCCATAAGCACTCGCAACACTAAAGGAATTGCAGGTGTGTTGCAAGTCAAAAGGAATCTGCTCTTTTCTTGAAGGTTACGATGTCGATATGTATATATGCTTAATATGTATGTATGTTTGTTCCAACTTATGCAAAAACTACTGCACCAAATTGGATGCGGTTTTCACAGTTAAAATCTGGTAAAAAGTTTTATGTTCATATACCGTATAAAAGTCTTTATTTTAATGGTTTACCTACTTCTGAAATCCACAGGTACGTAGCAGTGGGCAAAAGCAAGTACATTCATAAAAAAATGTTTTGATGCTTGAACTGTCCTTACAAATCCATCATATGTAATATAATTTCTTGGTAAAAATATATCTTGTTGATAAAAATCTTATTTCATTCTAGAACCGAAGATTCTTAAGGATAAGGATCAAGTGTGAAATACATACAAATATAAATAAGTACACAATTTAGGTACACATATAATACACAGAAACGGGATAAACGATACTTTCTCTCTGGCAAGTTTATCCAAATCCTTATTGAATAAATATAAATGTGAATGTGTGTTTATTTTGTTAACTCTTAGCGCCTTAACGGCTTGATCAATAATTATGAAATTTGGTAACACGTACCACGTACACGTACGTTTTATTACGGTCATGCAGGTTACGCGGACAATGTCGCGTGTACAAGCTAGCTAAATATAAAATGTAACAGTTACCCACGTCGTAACCATGTTATTAAGTATTAAGGTTATTTTTAACTCACCATCATCTTGTATCTCGGGCAGTCTTTCTTCAACAATTTGAAAATCACTGTTTTTTGGTTCTCCAAAAAAAGGCTTTAGAACAATATACTTTTTTGCTAGCACCATGGTAAACAATTTTTTTTTTAACTGTGATTACTTTTCGTTGATGTAAGACTGTATAGACGCCTCTAGATTGGCGGGAAATTTAAATTTAAGCAAAATTAAAAAACTGCAAAAATATTTCCAACCTATTCAGTTTAACATTATATCACCGTTCGTAAAATGGTTGGACTATTAAGTAGGCAGAAATGTAAGTAGGTAAAATATAAGTTGAGATAATGTCATATTGCCGTTATCAGTACATACAACTATCTGTGTAGACCTATCAGTGACAATAACATTGGGTTGCATGATGTTATCTATATAGACTTGAATAAAAATGATAAAACCTTAGTGATATATTAAATACCTACATATTTTAGTTTATTAGATTTGTTAGTACCGTTATGTAAAGAGTCCAGTCTTTTGAATGAACGTAAATGGAATGGAATGGTTACCCCGCTTGCGCTATCTATATACACCAAAGGTTCTCAAACTTATTTTGTCTACTGCTCACTTTGAGAATAAATTATTTTTAGCGCCCTCATTTTTTCACCTACTTAAAAACCATTATTACTTCAAATTACAAATCACCCCCCAAGCCTCTACACAACGGCCCCATTTTTTCTGGGTCTTTTACCGCCCCCCTTTAAGCTTACAGCGCCCACAAGGGTGCGTTATCGCCCACTTTAGGAACGGCTGGTATACACTTACAAATTGCTAGTAAGGGGTGAGAATAAAAGCAGGTCAATTAGTTCATCGTGACGAATTCAACACGAATTAACCCGATAGTTACTCGAGGGAACCGCGTGGAGGTCGATCTACATACTCTATATTGCTAGATATATGATGGGTGTTAAGATATCACTAAGAATCTCTTTATCCTCAAATTTTAGGAAACAAAAAAGAATCGTGGATCTCAGGGTTTGAATTACGTGCTGGCTGAATGAACGCGTTCGACTTTTTCGAAGATTAAAAATTGGTCGCACTATGCCGACTTATTAATTACTTTGTCACCAAATTTATATTTTTTTTATTAGGCATGTAATAGCTACTTCAAAACTGATATCTTATAAAAAGTACGTACGTAAGTAGCATGCGACTCACTTGATGGTAAGTGACTATCGCCGCCCATGATCACCCACAACAGCAGCGGCATTGCAGGTGTGCTGCCGACCTTTTAAAAAGGAATATACTCTTTTCTTGAAGGGTATGTTGTCGTATCGGTTCGAAATGTCTATATTTGACGGAGAGATTACGTTTGCACATTTTCGCTCATCTCCGACAAAACATCGTTTATTTTGATAAATCACAAGAATTCAACCGGAACTCTGTGCTCTCGTCTGTGTGCCGAGGCTGTCTATGCTCAAGGAGTTGGTTACACAAATTTGTAATTTAATAACACTGTAGATAAATTGTCATGTACCTAGTATAACAGAAGTGAGGGGGATGGGATTATATCCTATTAACATAATAACCTGCACGTAGTCTTTTGGAGACCATCATATTTAATTCCTCTTGAATTCACCTCGATGTGTTAACTAATCTGACTTTATCTTCATCACATCCTTTACTGGTACCTTGGCATTGTAAACCGTTATTATAGGCGTGTGCGTTTTCATTTATTTATCTTTTACTGATCACATTACAAAAAAGTATTTTGTATAAAAGAAAAAATCATCTGTTACAAAATAAAATATAACAAACAGCATTATTAGTAATAGGGATCCCATTGCTGGCCAATATACCCAGACGAATTAACCTCCATGAAATTCATCTGACAATCATTCTGGTTAATTCTTAAGAATTATTTACGATGAACCAACTGATGTGCTTTCATTCTCATATATCGTTTTTCACTAGTGCTCCATCAGCGTAAAGCAATAGCACAAGCGGGGATAATATTCCATTATCACCCTTAAAAAACCCTCATGCTAACTGAACGTTAACTGGAGTCTCTGATTGGGGACGACAAAACTTAGTCCAATTTAACCCCGCTAAAACACAAGCTTACGCGTTCACAGCTAAAAAACCCCATTTACTGTGGCTCCACAGTTCCGGGGCACGTCTCTAACATCTTTAAAAGTCTCTAACATCTTTAAAAGTCTCTAACATCATTAACATCTCTAAAAGCATTGGGATACTTGGTGTCGACATTTCTAGTGACGTACAGTTCCGTGGCCACTTCGAAGAAAAGATGAAGCTGGCATCTAAAAAAATCGGTATACTTAATACAGCAAAGCACTATAAATCCGCCCCAAATAGAGTATTGCTGTCATTTATGGGCGGAAGCATCTAAATACCCGCTCTGAACCCTTCGACTCAGTGCAAGGGCGAACTATGAGAATTGTCGATGATCCCAGGCCTACAAGCGGTATCGAACCTATAAGTCTTAGGAGAGATTTTGCCTCACTCTGCGTATCTACCGCTTGTACTACAGATTGTGCTCAGAGGAATTGTTCAATATGATGTCCACGGCAACATTCTACCATCGCGTACAAAGCGGTTTCAGATATGTTTTCTCCCACGAACACTCAGTTTATGGAACGAGCTCACTGCCGAGGTTTTCCCAATAGACTATAGCATGGGGTTCTTCAAAAGGGGAGGAGGTAGAGGTTTCTTCAGAATCTGCAACGCGCGCGTAATATCCCTGGTATTGCAAGCGTTCATAGGCTACGGTAACTACTTACTATCAGGTGGGCCGTATGCTTGACTGCCACTTCCTGGATACTATCGTAGTTAATTCCTAATAATCTCATTACTACTGGCCAATGAAGCTTATTCATCCTCAACCGTAATCCCTCATTAGTATTCACTAATATAAATTAAAACTGTGATTGTAACCAATTTTTTTCATCCATTAAAAACTAGAACCTATTTGTGTGAATGGGTGCGCTCTTATCAAAAGTTACACAATGACATATGACGTAGTTTACAGAACAATAGTTGTATGTGCCCTCATAAGCACGAAGCTAGCGACAATTGTTATTTAACAATTTTGATAGGTATGAATTTGAAAAATTTTGTTATTTAGACTGTTAAGATTCGATGTTGAGCTCTAGACTTACATTATACTAAGTCTAAGGCTCTATAGCATTACATGTCACAACCAAAGTACATATTCATTTTCGACAATAATAATGAAAAATCATCAAAAGGGACTCTAAACATCAGTAACCTTTAAACACATAATATGCAACATAATAATTATCATTACCACAGGTATAAATTACATATATTGACAATTAAAACTAGTAGTTTTATTTGTCAATAATAATAAAACACTATTTATTATTTATCCGAGTTTTAATAAAAATAATTCTCAAATTATTTTACAATAATACTCAGGAATGACAGCAGACTATTCTCGCTTATCATCTGTAAAACAAATAATGTACCATACATAAATAAAAGAGATTCTTATTACTTATAATCTAGCAGACGTTATAGGAGAGGGATTTATATGTTAAATGGTTTAAAAGATAAACCATATCTATCATGGACGAAACAATATATTCTGTTATGTCCATGGTACTGCTCATGTCTATAGGCGACGGTTACCACTTTCTATCAGGTGGGCCGTCAGCTTGTTTACCATTCTAAGTTGAATAAAAAAAAACATAATATATTTATCATGCAATAGTAGCGGATTGATTTCCGCACAGTACAAATATTGTATTAATATCTGTTTGTATTAGTCTGGGTATTATCTATGTACAATATATATATATTTATAAAAAGTCAGTTGTCTGATATCCATAGTGCAGCCTGCTTAGTTTGGAACAAGATGACACTGCGTAATATATAAAAAAAAACCTTATGAATCAATCATAAAGCGCCAACTGATCTAGCTTCATTTTCATCTATCATTGCTCCAGCAAAAACCGGTAAGCACAACCAGTGTCTCCATTCCATTTTCATTAATCAAAAAATGTATCTAATTATATTATATCTACATTTAAGAGCATTTATTCATGTCAAAAATATTAAATTAATCATCATCATATCAAGCGTTAAATGTTCACTGCTAAACGTAGGCCTTCCCCATAAGGGGAGTTTTGCCATTAGGAACTCCAACTTGGCAAGGGAGTTGGAAAACGCAGTTAGGTTTTGGTGGTCCTTTAAATATCCACATTTTAATTATTAACTTTAGTACCTTGGGCGTTAGATACATGTTATTTGTTACTATATGTTGTTTATTTCAATTAAATAATAAAACTATAAACAAAACGATTGATTATAAATAAAAAAAAAAAAATCGAATACATTAGATTACACATAATATTTACAATCCCAGAATCTATTTAATATATCATTTATGATCTATGCAGTAATCTCGTACAGAACAATATGGAATACCAGGAAAATGCCGTACTTTTTTTTATATTACAAACTAGATATATTTTTATAGACATTACAGGATAGTATTTTTTAATCTGTAAATTTATTTATAGTCACTCATAAAACTATCTCTACCTCTGGAATGGAATGCAACGTAAAATCAAAATTAGGTACATGTTGCTCATATCTATAGAGATCAGTTACCACTAACTGTGTAACCCCGCTTGCGCTATCGGCATACGCTGGCGGAGAACCAGTGAGGAATGATAGGTGATGATGAAAGCAGGTCAGTTAGCTCATTGTGACGAATTTCGCTAGAATTAACCACGACGATTTCCAGGGGGAACCGCGTGGAGGTCGACCTGATAGAGTGTATTGCTAACAATGGATCAGTTAGACCTCATTACTAACAATCCCTTCCCTCCAGTTACCACTAACTATCAAGTAGGCACTCGCAATGGATTGCTTGCCATTGAAATTGCAAAAAAAAATTAAGTATGTTCTTACGGAGTGGGGGCAACCATGGCGGCTGCAGTTAGCTTCGAAATTATGCTGCCGGCGACCAAATTGCCGTAGTACGCCTGGGCAGCGGCGGCGGTGCTGCCTGCCGCTATTCCGGCACTTCCAAAACCCAACATAGGAGCCACTAAGCCAATTCCCAGGCCTCCGGTGGCATAGATAACAGTGCCACCAACGACGTTAACTATGATTGCGGACAATAGCCCCATATTCTGAAATATAGAGATGCTTTGTTGAACCGACTAAAAAAAACATCATGTACACTTAGTATAGTCAGGTTCAGAAGCATTTAATGGTAATGTAAATAAATGAGTGATTGAACGTTATCAACAGACTTCAAAAATGACACTAATTTCATCTAAAATGTCTTTGTGACAATTTCAACAAAACTTCATCGTTACTTAGGACTATAGCTCTTTGCCGTACATTATAAAAATCGATGACTTATCTACATATAGCTCTATTTTCTCGTCACAGACCGACTGAAGAGCTTGTGATGGCCGCCATGTTGTCTATGTGTATATTGGTACATAACGAAGCAAAATGCCAGATTTATCTCCCACAAATAAGTAGGAAAGCATGAAAAAAATATCCTTTTTGATGTCGTACCAAGTAAGGACTCAGATTTTGTTCCACGAATTTTTTTCTCGTACTTCAATCGTGACAAAACCAGTTAATTTAAAAACCAAACTACTGAACTAATTTCATAAAATTTATATAAAACCAATCTGAAAGCCTTTACTTGTGACGCCAACATTTGTGCTGAAAAACAGCACTGTAGCG